AGAGACAAGTAAATATATTTATAAATACATATTAAAATAAAACCCGTTTAGTTAAAGGCTTAGCAAATTCCAATAATTCATATTACCGCCGTCGATTTTGCTTATAGGATACTACCTTATTTGGAGCGCGAATAAATAGGTAAGGTCTGTAATTCGCAAATAAATCTAAATACATATTGCTTAAAATATACAATTCAATATAATATATTAATTAGTTGCCCCATTATTTATTAAGGTTTCTTACGAATAAACACCAAATTTGAATAATATATTAATATAATCAATATTTAAAAGGCTTAAATGAAAATTCTTGTAAAAATATAACTAGTTAATATTAAATAGAATTTGGTTAAACCGATTAACCAAATTCATCCTAATTAAAGAAGGCTAAAGATTAGTTAGCTCGGGATCCGCTCGTACAAAGAGCGCTCTAGGAGGTTTCTACGAGGATTTTAGAAGAGTATATTGTAATTGGGGATATCGCCTGAATTTATTTTTCTCCTCAACAACTAAAAGCTTTAGGATCGCAGCCTAAATAGGTGGTCCGGGACGGCACTGAAATAAGATTCTACAAAGATTCCGCTAGGTTTCTATAAAATTTTCATGAGGTTCTACGAAATTTCGGATAATACGAGCACTAAAAAGAGCACCGTATAATATTAATAATATTATAAATATATATATATATATAGTTATTTCTTTTTAATTTTTTAATATAATATTCGATTCTTTTAAAAATATTATTTTAAATATAAAAATAGTAACATTAATAACAATCCAAAATTATTTTCATTTATATACTTAATTATATTTTGAAAATATATATAATTTGATTTTAATATAAATATAATTACTAATTTTATTTACATTTTGTATATAATATTAAATAAAGAGAAACAATTCTTTCCAATAACGGCTTATAAACTAATATAAACAAAAAAGAATTTTAAAAAGAAGAACAAACATATTATATCTTGGTAAATAATCTCGAAAAATATATTATCAAACATGTATGTTAAAGCTTTATGTTAAGCTATATATGTTAAGGCGCAAATACTACGGTCTTAAGCAAACCTAATTCTTCAAGATGTTCCGCAAAACAGCATAACCCCCCCCCCCCGTAAATTTGCACCAAAAATACTCATACATTTCATTCAATCTTTAAGGATTTCTATATCATTATAAAAATATAATTCGGCATTTAAATATTAAAATTTTAACCATATTTAATAAACCAATCCTAATTAAACCTATTTTAAACCGGATTAACAACCGATCAAAACCAAACATCATAACAACGTCCCCATATATTTGCATAGTTTAGGAAATCATGCAAAGCCAAATCTATATCAAAATCCGACTAACTTAATTTTCGCTAAAAACAAAATTACTAAAAACAAATATAATTTAAAAAAATATTTTAGAAAACAAACAAACAATTTAAACATTAAACAAACCAAAAAAAATGATCAAATTAGACAAATACTATAAAACAATAAATAAACACCAAAATCAAATAATCACCTACAAAACAATTAAACATCAAGAGAAATAAAGATAAAAACAACACAAAAATATAAACAAACAGAAAAACAAAAACACGACGTCACGGCGAAACTATGCTTATCCATTAAACATCCAGAGTATCTTTTCGGGTAGCCCATATATTCACTAGATGCCAGGGTTTGACAGAACGTCATCGGGTATAGTAGTCGCATAGCCGCTTTCCCAAATTACCAAGTCGTATTGCATTGGGACCCAATTTCTCTTGACCCCTGTTATGTTGTTTCACAGGAAACAAGGGATAAATTGGAAATATTGGGCCCCAATGCATGGCAATCTTGAATGGCAGCAATATCTTGCTCCCTTGCAGAGAGGGTGCCCTGGATGACAATCGATTTTGATGTGCTGCCAGAGCTGGTATGAGCTGTCAGAGATGGCTGCTGCATTGGTGAGCTGCAGCCAAGTGAGCAACTAGTCCACTAGACGCCTAGAGCACTAGCTGAGGAGCAAGAAAAAGCACGCCCATTTTTTCAAATCAAAACTAGAAAAATAAATTCATGAAGAGAATGTGTAATTCAGGATATTGATCGTATGGAGACAAGCCTAGGTCCTGCGAGCTGTAAAGCCCGTCGATTTTCTTGCCCAAAGACGAGCAAAAGCGCCGACCGACTCAATTAAATGGTTATGAACTTAAACAGGGAAATACCTTACAAATGGTTGGTGGACATAACAAAAAAAGAAAGAAAATAAAGCAAGATACAAAAAAAAACGAGAAAAACAAAACAAACCAAGAAAATACAAACACAAAAAACAAAAGAGACCAAAACAACGGCCATACAAAAACAACACAAACATACAAGCACACAAACACACAAAGATACAAACACACAAACACAAAAACACACAAACACGCACACAAAAACATACACACACACACACAAATACAAAAACGCGCACGAAGACGCGCGCAAACGCACACACACACACACACATACACACACATACACACATACACACACACACACAAACACACCCCAACGACCCCCCGAGGCCTTCGTCGCAACGCAACTTGCTAGCCGGGATGCCAGCATCTCAGCGCTCCAGGGGGGCCAAGGCCGACACGACGCTGCTGGCCTCGTACGCCACGAACGCCGCGCTCTCCGCCAGCGAGACCACGCTCCAGAGCGCCCTCGACGCAATCCTCGCGGACCTCGCCACACACGCACACCAACACGCACACCAACACGCGCACACCCACATACATCTCAGGGTCGGCGGAAAACCGAAGACCGGAAGAAATAGAACAACAAACCAAGGGGGACAAAAAACAAGCAAGACAAAAAAAACATGCCAAATACAAAAAAACCGAAGAGCCGGAAATAGACACGCCCAATAATAACAAACAAAAGACGAACATACCCACTAATGCAACATAAAAAGATACACTTAATAAATTAAAACAAAAACAAACATACCCAAAATCAAAATATATATAAATATATAAATACAAAAAACAAATACACAAAAACAACAAAAATAATTACATAACAAATAAATTAAACAAATATAATAAAATCACAAATAAAGAACTATAAATAAAAACACAAAAATAATTATAAAAAAAAAAAAAACAAAAAAACCACTAAAAGAATAAATAAAAAACACTAAACAAAAAACAGTAATATTTATAAAAACACAATATAAATTTATATAGATATATATATATATTATATACATATATATATAAATGAAAAACACAAACATACACACAAACACAGAACAAAATACAAACAACAACCACATATACAAAAAACAAAAATAAGAAACAACTAATAGTAATACAAACAACAGACACAAACACAAACAAACATATAAAAGAGACACAAATAAAAAAAAAAACAACAAACAAAAAAACAAAAAAAAAGAGAAAAAGAGAAAGAGAAGAACGATAAAAAAGAGAGAAATAAAAAGAACAAAAACAAAAAATAAAAAAACAGAGAAAGAGAAAAACAAAAAACACAAGAAATAAAAGAAAGACTTAAAAAAAAAGAAACATAAAGAGATAAAGAAATAAAGAGATAAAGAGATAAATAGAGATAGAGAGAGAGAGGGAGAAAAGGGAGAGAAAGAAAAAGAGAGAAAGAGGAACAAAGAAAGAGAAAAAACAAACACAGAGAAATGCAAAGAAAAATACAAAGAAAGAACAAAACAAAAAAACAACAAGAAAATAATTAAAGAGAGAAAGACCGAGAATTAGACAGAAAAAAAGAGAAACAGAGAGAGAATAGGAAAATGAAAGAATGAGAGAATAAGAGAAGAATATAATAAGAAATAAAGAGACAGAGAAAGACAAAGAGAGACAAAGAGAAACAGAGAGAGAAAGAAAGAGAGAGAGAGAGAGAGAGAAAGAAAGAGAGAGAGAGAGAAAAAGAAAGAGAGAGAAAGAAAGAAAGAAACAGAAAACCAGAGAAACAAAGAGAAGAGAGAGAAAAAAAAAACAGACAAAGAAAAAAACCAAACAATTCAATCCAAATAAGTCCCCAATATTGTTGGAAATTTAACCCGATAATTGTTTCGGAAAACCGCCAAAATCTGAAGAAATATTTAAGAATAACATCTAGAGTTCGGAAAGCCAAAACAAAAAAACACATAAAACAAATAACCAATGGCCAACTTACAGCGAAACAACTCCAAACAACAATCTAAAAAAACCTCTAAAATTTCAGCATCATTTTAGACAATATAATCTCGAAACCACACCGGTTTATGAGATTTTGCCAACTTACAACATTATATTTATCTAAAATCAATATTTATGCTAAATAAAAAACAAAACAATAATATAAAAATATTTCCAAAATAAATTAAATAATAATTTAACTTAATAAATTTCAACTTTCAATATATATATATATGAATTATATCAATTTATCAATTAATAATTATATATATATATATATTATCCAAATCTATAATATAATAATTTCAATATAACATAATTATGTGTATAATTTTATTAATTCGATTTAATTCGACAAAATGAGGCTCTAAAGCGCGATTCTATGGCGCAATCAGATTTTCGCCGGTCTTTATCGGCATTCCGCGAGCAATGCCTTGTGCATAGCTCCAACAATTAATGGCTCAAAACTGCGTCTGCCACTTTCTGCCGCCGTTTCAAAGAGACATGGCAATGATCCAATTCAGTCAGTGCTTCGAATTCTTTCAACAAACCGGAAGCTTACGTCCGGATACAACTCTTGTGGAAAACACCTGCAAAAATACTCCACCTTGGGCAATGCCCCAAGGCTGCTAGACATGTAGGATGCCAGGCTTTGATTTGACTTCCTCAGAATTGCCTGCATACCAAAACGATCACATCAAATGACTTGCGTTCTTGTGCAGCATTTCTTCTGAAGAAAGTATATGTTTGTCGAACACTGCTCTCTCGGATCAAACAGCTTCGTCTTCGTGAATGTCCTCACAACACAAACACTGAGAGAGCTTTGGCCTTGAGAAGTTTCATCGGTGCGTTGAGTCAATCGAAGCCTAGGTTAGAAGACATGCAGACCTCGCTACCTCGCTACACGGCGGAGCTCGTGCCATGATGGAGGCCCTTGGCGAGCTCCTCGGCTTCCAGGCCGAGTTGCCGCCCAAACTCCCGGAAGGCCGAGCGGTGGTACCAGACGAGGAAGAGGATAATCGAGACGGTTGCAGTAGCTGTCAGCAAGAGCGTGGTCAGGGAGACCCAGGGATCAATCACGGTACACTCCCTGACATGCAGCCGGGCGATCACAATCAGGACGAAGAGGGACAACACGCCCCAAAGATTGAACTTGTTCACCATCTTTTGCGTGTGATGCCGGCCAGTGGCATCAAGATGGAAGGAGGCAGCGTGACCCATCAAATTCAGAAGCATAAAGGAGATGGAAAGCAAGAAGTACTCCTCTAGTTCATGTCACACAGAACAGCCAACCAGCAAAAACCAATAGCTATCATGCCCTGCTTTCCTGCTTGAAAATCGTTGAACAAGAATAGCATCAATATCCGTGCTACAGAGCAAGGACACCATCAGTTGGCAATAGTTCTCTTGGGTAAACCCTTCTCCTCCTTCTCTGTCGCGGGGGACTTGTGAAAAAAAAAAAAAACACTATTCCGGACTTCTGTACTTAGCCTCCCCCAAACCAGTCACAACTTCACACTTCCAAAAACAGGCTGTTTTCCTGGGAGGGTATAAGTTGATCCACGCATGGCTTCTCCTCCAACCAGCTCGTGGCCCCCGAGCTGGGCAAGGTGTTCATGACTTGATTCCGCAGATTCCTCCGATCTCAGGCCCCGCAACAAAAAAAGGTTGGAAATGTTCAGGTCAAAATGAGGTTCACCTACCTCTGTAAAACAAAAGTTGGACTCTTTCATGTCAAAACTAGGTTCACCTACCTCTGTGGGACAACTCTGTAAACATCTCTGGAGAGGTTGCTGAACATGGCAATTGACCCCTTCAAGGAGCTTTACAATGCCCCTTCATACCGTGTGCACAGTGGGCATGTATGTGCCCTGGGGTTCCAAAGGCGGTTTATTTTGCATGTTTTCTGTGAAAGGCGGTTTTTTGCCAGGAGTAGTTTTGTCCAAGCTCAGCTGATATCATTGAACAATTCGGGCGCCGTATGTGTTCAGGACCAAAGTGCGCAATGACTTGACCTCCGTTCCCACAAAACAAGCGGAGGGATTATCAAAGGACAGGCTGAAACACATAGATTCACCGGTGTCAAAATTCACGGCAGAAAACGTGCTTTCACGCTGGGAAACAGGCTTTCACGCCAATTTCACGGTATTTTCACGGTGATTTCACGCTACTTTTGCGTACATGACGGACCGCTATGTTCACACCAAAGCTGTTGTGCCAAGACATGTTGGGGTGGAACTGGCTTTGTACAATCTAAACGTGGCAACAGCATGAATAATTCATCAAATACCACGCCATGGCTCACTGCAGGCTCAAAAAACAGGCTTTGGCTGCAACAAACAGGCGAGGTGCAAAGGACGTTTAAAAAACAGTTGTGGATTTCCAGGGTGTGAAGAAGTTCAAAATTCCCAGATCCACCAAACTCAAAATAAGGTACGAGTACAGCCCCGCAACAATGATCTTGCATTGGGCGTGGCTCTTAGAAACAAGAAAAAAAACCAAGGGACTTTGAAAGTGATTCGCACAGTGATTCGCAAAGTGATTCGCAAAGTGAAGTGCCCTGAAGCCATGATTCGTCAGGGACAGCAAGGCCAGCATGGTGGTGGCCACACGAGGCATGGCCAGCTTTACACCCAGCGCGAAAGCCTGGAAGCCCATTAAGCCATAGATGATGGATGGCCAGAGGTAGATCTTCAGCAGTGCCTCGGACTGCCTGGTGCCCGACATTTGGCATTCCAAAGTGGAGTTGCCTCACGCAAGGGAGCAATGCCTCAAGTCACGAAAAAGAAAGAAGAAAAAATGAGAGGAGGAATCATCCAGAACATTGACTGCTTCGGGGTCCAAGCTAAGAGCAAACCAGGTGGCCATTCAAGGCGCAGGTAAACATTTCCCAATCGAAGCCCACAGAGGACGCGTTGATGGGCCAGGAGCACTGGAGGACGTTGCCATCATCATCAACACTCTCCGTTACGCTGCCCTCCCCGACACACCCCAGCGCGAGGCGGTAGAAGGCGCCACAGGGCTTCTGGAGACTGATTATGAACATCATGGTCTTGCGGTCAAAGGGGTAGCATGATAGGTCCTAACAGTCCCAGCAAATCAATGCATGAACAGTTGTGGCGCGAGGGTCCAGGGTGTTGGGGTTGCCTGTTATGCAGCAGCCAATAGATCCTGCGGGCGAGATGGAGCTTCACATTGACTTGTTTCTATCAAACAGTGTCTGAGCAGAATCGGGATCTGGGGCAAAATCATTGTGTGTTGGTGCGTTCACACAATCTGTCAACAGAGAATCTCAAGATGTTAGACAGCTGAGAGTCATATGGGTAGAGCGATTGCGAAAACTCGCCCACGTAGGTCTTGCTGATGGAGGTGGATTTTCCAACCTTCGGGTTCCATAGCTTCAAGGAGCTCATGGTTGTGATGTCGCCAGAGCCTGACCCAAAGTTCTGCACATCCACCATGTCCTCTGGTTTCTCGACAAAGGTGGTGGCAACTTCCGGATACACCGTGCCAATGGTCATTCTCCCCTTAATGTACTTCTGCTTGTCACTGAAGCCCAGGAACACATCCCAAGAGGGGATGATGGTGAGGGGAATCCAGCCATTCATGGTCTCATTGAATTCAAAGCCCCGCGGCAAATCCTGCACCCGACGCTCCGCCACGTCAGAAGCGGCCAACCGCAAGAGGACCAGAACAAATCTGAAAGCCATCGAAAGTACCCAGGCCACGAAGGTTTCAGCAGGGTGATAACTTGAGCCAAAGTGGAGCAACTTACTCAGGTGCCACACAGTGCGATCTTTTTCAAAGGGAGAGGGAGTGCTGACGGTAAGAACTTTGCAAAGTTTGAACAATGCAATCACAATGTTCATTCCTTAGCCTTCATCCGTCAATATTGGTGTCACGCATGGGCGCCAGGGTAGCATGCAATTACATCTACATCGACGAGTAGAATCCCTAACGAAGAGGGTCCAAGTAGCTCTTCCGGATACATTTTCTTTACGGTTTGGATTGCTGGTGCGGTGGTGAGGGGGATGCCTTCCCATCAGTTTGCTTCATTAACGGCCAGGCATCACATCCCCAAACCCACCATTTCCGGGCCTATCTATCTGATATAACTCAAGCCCAGCGGTGCACCGGGGCTCGCCTCGACGTTTGCCAGGGACTGTCCAACTCATGTCGTAGCAAAATCATCTTTGGATACGCGTTGAGCAAAGAGTTGCTTGAAGGTTAGCTTGTTGTCTTTGTTGCAAATCGGCTCTTAGTTTGATTGTTTGATTGGATCATGACGCTTAGCGAACCTTCAACATATGTTTAAACCATTCAAGTAGTATCGTAGTATTCATCATATCATATCAACACATATTATAACCTATTGTATGCTATCATATTATAGTATAACTCACATCATTCGAGTTCTCCACAATCTTAGACTTAGATGGCCGACATGTGTTGCATGCTCGTGACATAATCCTACTGTTTGAAACACGTGTCCGAGTTTGCGACTTATAATAGGTATATGTGAATATCTTTATTGTCATCATGGTCTTTCTTACATCATTAGCCTCGTTGTCTCAATCGGATGATCTTGAAAGTCCATCTGCGCGTCACTCCGTGAATTCTGTCCGCAACATGGTGAGGTTGCTTCAAATCCACCGGTGGACAAGTCCGGCGATTTTTGTCAGCCGGCAATCTTGCGAAGTGTTTCAAGGCCGTCAGTTCTGGTGTTCCAGAAGCTGAGCCCGGTCACCTCCCTTGCGCCATGACCATGGCATGCGCCTTGTAATCCGGGTCCAAGTTCTTCAGCAGAAGATCGTGGATCAATCTCTGCTCATTATCCTGGGGGTGCAAGTGAGAGCAACAGGGGCGCAAAAGAGAAGCAAACCTGTCAACCTGTCAGGAACAACAGGAAGCCAACCACCTGGAGTTTCCAATTTTCAGGCATCCAGTTTCTTGCTCTTCCTCAGCATTTTGACGATCCTACCCTTGAGATGGGAACCTGGAAGCCTAAGAGAAACCGAAACATCCATCGATGGCTATCCGATCCTGGCAAATGGCTATTCATGGACCAAAATCTGTGGTCCCCTGTAGGCTTGACTTTGACCTGGAACCACCTCCATTTTTTGGGAGGGACGTTGGCTTTCTCCTGGCTTAATTTTGAAGAATCCCCATCCATCGCCGAGCGTCCGGGGAGAAGTTGTGGCCCAGCTGCTTCAGGCGTGTCACCGTGGAGGAGGCCGTCTCTGCGGCACCGTGCACCAGCGCGCGCTTGGCGTCTACCTAGCTGGTGCTTTGGGTAAACAACTTAGTAAAAGGGCAAAGGGATTTGGAGTGTTCATGCTTTCTGAGGGGTTTTGAATGGTTTTGAGGGGAAGGGGGTGAGAATTTCACCACCAGATTCCATGTCAACAAGTTGACCTGCAAACAAGAGTCACCTTCACACCGCCGCATCTTTAGATGGTCCCCAAGCGCCTTTGGGCACCTGGAGCCAAGCTCGGCCACTTCGGGGACTCTCCAAAGCCATTGGGGACCTTCAAAATGGTTCCAGGTGCCTCTGGTTCCAACGGAGGTCTGAGAACCATTCAAAGTCGAGAAAAACGCGGCGCTTCTCCTACAACCTTCTCCTACAAAATCAAGGACTTGGCGGGATGCGGGGTGAATTGCTGAGTTACACTGGCCCGAGCAAGTTCAAACTGCCTATGGATACACCTGCTAACAGATCCATCTTTGCCAACTCAGACAAAACGAATTGTTGGAGGCCAAAAAATTGAGAGAACCCTGTCGGAACTCGCCCTCGATGCCTTTTCAAACCCACCTCCCCGCCTGCGCCACGGCTTGCTGTCGCGCCAGCATGGCGGCGGCGATCTGGGGGTCGTACTTGAGGTCGGTGAGTTGGAACTTGATGACCTGCACCTGAGGAAGGGTCGTACCGAGTCATGCCCATACATGGGTATGGGTCCAATTTAAACCACCAGGGGACCACAGGGCTTAGTGCCTGTTTCTATTTATTAGGGTTCCATTTTGGGTACCGATTTTGACCCACAGCCACATGGACCCACCAAGAATTGAACGATTCTAATGTCCGCACCGATGTCTGGGAGTTTTACCCCTTCCTCGCATAGAATTTCATTGTGGTTCACCTTATAAGGAATTCCCATCACTGTCGTATCCACGGAAAAGTTGGACTTCTCACATCTGGGGAAACTCCCCACAAAATCAGCTGTCCCTGGATGTTTAAGAAAGTATCAGTAGTTTGGCTTGCTTCTGGCAACTTGACAATCATTGATGACAGGGCACCAGCGTTGGCCCGGGGTTGTATTCTAAGCGTTGATTTCCTCTTTACAATTAATTACCAACTCGAACCCACAAAATCTTTCTACCCGCCCCTCTCCCCGCCCTTTTCCCCCCTGGCCCGACCCAACCCAGTTTGTTGGTCGATGTTGGTGGACTGTTGTGGTCCTTTTGCCGAAGCCTTTGATGGGGGACAAGACTCGCATGCGTCAAGGACCCGGCCCTGTTGCAAACCGCTAACCCCACAGGTGGTATACTTTCTGGAAAAAATGACGCCAACTGATGAAACCCACCCAACCAACCTAAACCAGCCCCATCATAAGAAACAAACAGCCCTAAGACCCTCACCCGACCTAGCCCCCTGGTTCGACATAGACCACCCCACCCCCTGACTTCCGAGGCGCTCCAGCACTGGTCACCGCCTTTTGCAGCTCATCCGCCAGCAGTTTGCTCGGGGAATCCCCACGGAGCTCGTTGTAGTGGAAGCCTCCGTCAAATGGCCCGGAAAACGGGCTGCTTTGTGGCCACCTTTGGGTCATTGGGGAGCTTCCCAACATTGCAAACTCTGCATTGGATGGTACTAGGGAAACGACAGGGTTGTGGGGAGGTTTGTCCCTTTCTGCCGCGATACAATTGGAAGCCCTGCCCCAACATCTTTTTCTTGAACACTGGATCACAGGGTGAACCGACCCGTTCCCCCAGCCCTGTGAGGCATGGCGCCCCGGAAGGAAGGAGAACAAAGGGGACCGTCGTTTGCAGGAAAGCCGAAACTGTAACAGCAAGGAATCCCCACGTATAGGAGAGGCCGGTGAATTCCCGTTAACCACAATCAAGTTGCAAAGCGTCAAGAAATGCAAGCAGGTGACCAACAGCAGTGGTATCCGTGAAAGGCTGAAATGCACTAGTGGACTTGTCAAGGATGCGCAAGAAAGGATTGTTCATATTATGATGAGGCTGGAAGCCCTCACTCCCCACCCGTCCCACGGTTCGGTGACCTTGCTCGCAGAGTTATTAAACCCCAGTTGCCCAATCCCAACGGTCAGCGGTAAGCTGAACAGCTTGAGCACAACGGCAAGGCAGTTGTCAAAATGATTACCACCCCTTTCCGTTTTAGTGGCTCGGAGGAAGCGCTGACCTCCCAGCCAAAGTTCCCTTTGAAACCAGCATCATTGAATGATCAATATCTCGACCAATCCCTGTTGATGTGCCTGCGGTTTCACCAAGCAATAACATATTTACGAACCAGGAGCATGCCCCTCCAAAAAGCAACTGGGACAACTCAACATCACCGCAAGCCACGGAGAGCTGACCCAAAACAAGAAACGTGCTTAAAAGCCGGAGGCTTGCCTTCTACCAAAACAAATGGGGAGGGGATCTTCAAACCGTTCTGCCATGTTCTGCCATCTCGAAAGCTTTGACCGCCGCCCTCTTGCTCCGTACTCCCAAAGGGAAACTGTCTGGCAAGGGTCGCCGCCCCCTTCCTCCCTTCGACACCTTAGGTACATTGGGGTGGGGATGGGGTAACACAAACAAACATTGGCCAAGCAAGATTGCCTGCGCCAAAACGATGCAGCTCAGGGTTTTCTAGGAACAAATTCCATCTAGAACATGAGATACGCCCCCTCGTGATGAACAGTGCCTCATTGATGGGCCAGGTTCCACCTACTGTAAATCTTGGGCCAACATTAAGCCCAGTGGTTCGACCAGGCCCCCAGTGGTTCGCTAATTCCGAAGCCAAGCAGCGAGCAGCCACTAATCTTAGCACCATAGGTGCCTGGTCACTCGTGTATCTGTCAGGTTCCGCTGTGTCAACCCTGGCTTTCTTGGCGGACACAATCTTGTACGCGATGTTTCCGCTGATGTAGATGGGGTTTCCATCCTTCAGGAGTCAAACTCAAGCTCCGAAAGTAGCAGCTTCTCTTGAATCCACTAAAAAAAGCATCGCCTTTTGATCTGAACTTCGGGTCGAGCCGTGTCCTTATCTGTGACGCTCACCTCACGGATGTCCAGGGTCTTGCGAACAGTGGTGATCTTTCTCAACTCCACGCCACAGGGATTCACCACATGGATCCCAGGATCGTTGATGCTCCCCACGTATTTGCCCCACACCAACACTGCCGCCCTCTCGTTCTGGTCAAACCTTGGGACTCAAACACCCTCTTCGCAGCGCTGCAGAAAGGCCTGCGTACTAATGTGTGTCTACCAACATATATATATATATGTATGTATACACAATATATGTATATACAATGTACATGTGTACATATATATAATATGTATACACATGCATGCATACATACATGCATGCATGCATACATACATACATACATTACACTACACTACAATACACTACACTACATTACATTACATTACAATACATTACATTACATTACTACATACATACATCCATACATAACATAACATAACATACCATAACAACATAACATACATACATACATACAGTACCGTACATTACATTACAGTACATTACATTACATTGCATTACATTACAGTACATACATACACTACATACATTACATACATTACATACATACATACATACATACATACATACACACATACATACATACATACATACATACATACATACATACATACATACATACATTACTGCATACATACATACATACATACATACATACATACATACATACATACATACATACATACATACATACATACATACATACATACATACATTACATACATACATACATACATACATACATACATACATACATACATACATACATACATACATACATACATACACATACATACATTACATACATACATACATACATACATTACATACATACATACATACATACATACATACATTACATACATACATACATACATACATACATTACATACATACATACATACATACATACATACATACATACATACATACATACATACATACATACATACATACATACATACATACATACATACATACATACATTACATACATACATACATACATACATACATACATACATACATACATACATACATACATACATACATACATACATACATACATACATACATACATACATACATACATACATACATACATACATACATACATACATACATACATACATACATACATACATACATACATACATACATACATACATACATACATACATACATACATACATACATACATACATACATACATACACACGTACATACATACATACATACATACATACATACATACATACATACATACATACATACATACATACATACATACATACATACATACATACATACATACATACATACATACATACATACATACATACATACATACATACATACATACATACATACATACATACATACATACATACATACATACATACATACACATACATACATACATACATACATACATACATACATACATACATACATACATACATACATACATACATACATACATACATACATACATACATACATACATACATACATACATTACATTACATTACATTACATTACATTACATTACATTACATTACATTACATTACATTACATACATACATACATACATACATACATACATACATACATACATACATTACATACATACACATACATACATACATACATACATACATACATACATACATACATACATACATACATACATACATACATTACATACATACATACATACATACATACATACATACATACATTACATACATTACATACATACATACATACATACATACATACATACATACATACATACATACATACATACATACATACATACATACATACATACATACATACATACATACATACATACATACATACATACATACATACATACATACATACATACATACATACATACATACATTACATACATACATACATACATACATACATTACATACATACATACATACATACATACATACATACATACATACATACATACATACATTACATACATACATACATACATACATACATACATACATACATTACATACATACATACATACATACATACATACATACATACATACATTACATACATTACATACATACATACATACATACATACATACATACATACATACATACATACATACATACATACATACATACATACATACATACATACATACATACATACATACATACATACATACATACATACATACATACATACATTACATACATACATACATACATACATTACACATACATACATACATACATACATACATTACATACATACATACATACATACATACATACATACATACATACATACATACATACATACATACATACATACATTACATACATACATACATACATACATACATACATACATACATACATACATACATACATTACATACACATACATACATACATACATACATACATACATACATACATACATACATACATACATACATACATACATACATACATACATACATACATACATACATACATACATACATACATACATACATACATACATACATACATACATACATACATACATACATACATACATACATACATACATACATACATACATACATACATACATACATACATACATACATACATACATACATACATACATACATACATACATACATACATACATACATACATACATACATACATACATACATACATACATACATACATACATTACATACATTACATTACATTACATTACATACATACATACATACATACATACATACATACATACATACATACATACATACATACATACATACATACATACATACATACATACATACATTACATACATACATACATACATACATACATACATACATACATTACATACATACATACATACATACATACATACATACATACATACATACATACATACATACATACATACATTACATTACATTACATTACATTACATTACATTACATTACATTACATTACATTACATTACATTACATTACATTACATTACATTACATTACATTACATTACATTACATTACATTACATTACATTACATTACATTACATTACATTACATTACATACATACATACATACATACATACATACATACATTACATACATTACATTACATTACATTACATTACATTACATTACATTACATTACATTACATTACATTACATTACATACATACATGCATACAATATACGCGCTACCCCTCCCAAAACCTACCCACATTGTACCGGTCCGTGCTTTGAGATTCAATTATCTTGAGAACAAAGCCAAGAAATAACAAAACACATGAAAGAGCACACAAAAGGCCGACTCTGGCAATGGAACATCTTCAATGAGCATAGCCAGGACGGGCAGAACACGGTGGAAAGGATGGCGCTCAGCGCATCTGGACAGCATAAGTTTGCGTCCACATCCATCTCTTCCCCGGAGAAGTCCTCCTCAGGGAAGAGCTTTCGACTTGCAACCATTTCATGGTCCATCGGCCTGTGGCTTTCTTCAATGTCGAGCTTTGGCCCTGCAACTACGGCAAACACCGGGGTTGGGTCCTCATGCAAGTCATAATCAAGAACCTGGCATGAAAGGATCTAAAGGGTGGCAGCACCTGCTAATGAATTGAACGGGCCTGTACCCCACTTACCTTCTTCCACACACATACTCCATTTCACCAACCAGCCCGCAATCCCGGCACATGGCAACTTCCGATGTTCAACCTTCGCCTCATCCGCATGAACCAGCATGCCCGCAGCCATAGCGTGCTGCTCCGGTTTCGCCATGCCTAGACTGCGGGAACTTGTGCCCCAACCTTCTGGCTTGGGCATCCGACTGCTGACGCGGACACACACCGTCCAGCATTCTGGACACAATTCGCGCGCCCAAACTATTGCCCAAGAAAGCAACGTGCGTGGTGTGAGACGCGCTTCAGTTCAACTATGCCACGCGTCAATGCGAAAAGTCACATTGTCCTCTTTGCCCGCTCCCACGAACCATCTTTTGTCTATATGTCTATGTTTGCTTCGTACCCTTAGCCAAACGGGCGCTGCAGTCCTGCGAGGGGACCCACTAAGGCTTGACCTGCGTCAGGTTGAGTCACAGCATGGCTTCAGTCGCGGCAGGCGCTCTCTTTTCGGGACTCAATTCTGACTAAAGTGATGGCGGTTTGCCAAGGAGGTGGGATTGCTTTGCAAGTCCTCCTCCTCAAATAGCTTGCCCTCTTCACACTCCGTCGTCATCTGCGCATAGCCTCCTTCACACATTCACGTGAGTTTCCGCATTGAGCCGCAATACGCGAGCTAGTGGGCTGCCTTGATTCCAAACAACGAGCAAAATCAAACAACGAACTCAGACATCAACAAACTGCAATGGCGATCTGGGAGGAGCAACCTTGAGACCTACCTCAACCAGAATCAACATGTGGTACTCAAGCTTACCAAAAGCCGTGTAAATCGAAAGAAGAACCTCAACTTATCATGGACGGAGTTGAACCGAGGAGTCCCCAAAGAAGGAACCTTCAATCATGGCTGGAACCGTCCACGAATCTTAGTTTATCGAGGTTTTGACCATGGAGCCTGGTCACATTTCTTTGGGGGAGCACTCCAGTCCGCAAATGGCCTTGGAAAACCGTCGTTGTGCGATCTGGGGGATTCTGCACAAATGTTGCTTGGATACTGGAAGACATGGTCGCTCAGAAAGGCTCCTTTTGTCATTTGTTTTCTCAAAAATATCTCAGCCCCTTGATAGGTGTACCCCCCCTCCCGCAGTTCGGCTGGGCGTTCCGAAAAAAAATGCAAACGAGAATCAACCAATCAAATGTCAATGTTCGGTTGGTCCAAAAATGAGCGCTCACACAAGGCTTTTAGGCACCTTTTGCACAAGCTGCCTTCTCATCTAAACTGGCTTCTTTGGTCCAAGCACAAACTTCAAGGAACCCCAATTCTAAGGGTTTCCGGCCAACCTTCTCCCAGTCTCTTACGCCCTGCACTGGCCAGGGTTTGGCGCACTGTTCCGACATTGTTGGGCGTGCACGCCATGATGGCCTCCAAATCTTGGTTTACTTTCAAAGCGTCCATCAAACTTGGGGTGATATTCCGGATCCAAAGTTGCTGCCTGGTAGCCCGGCCACCCACCAAATCCGAGATTTGTCGCTTGAGGAGTTGGGCTACAAAAAACGCCCCCGTCCTTCAGAGGTCGGGGACAAAGGGGGCAACTGCGAGTACGGGGACATGGGCGACAATGGCGCCGGCGCGAAGGGAAACGGCGCTGCCGCGCCGCCCCGCTCGAACCTGGCGATTGGGTGATTTCAACCTAAACCCGAAGGTGCCGTAAGGAACACGAAGAGATCTTCTTTGGCTCCTTGGAAGCCTGGGTACTGAGCAGAGGCCTGAACTTTTTGGGGCACTGGGGAAAATAGATGGATTGTTTGGTTCTACTCATTTGCCAGTGCCATCTATTCTTCTAAAAGGATCAGGGATTTGAACACATTCACATCTCTCGAAGATTTGCCGACAAAGAGCTAGATCTCTCGATCTCCGACATACAGCTTAAGATTAGCAACATGCTTCACATATCTTCACATCAATGTGTCTTTGTTGTGAAAAACAAGAACTCAATTAGGGATCCTCAGCGACGAGTCTTCATGGAGGCTGAGCCCCTTGTTATTCCAAGGAGTGCTCGCTATTTTGTGTGCAGAGAAGGTCCAACCGTCACTTTGCCGACAGGTGCACTGCCCGACCCAAAGCCCTAAACCAGGCCGGACCCAAACTGTTTCAAACCCACACACAAGCTTCACCCGACTTGTGAGGAGTTTATGATCCTGTAGCCGCAGCGGCCAAGATCCCCAACCTCCTGACCCTGAAACCGCGGTCGAATAGAAGAGCTGCATAGAATGCCCTCTTGATCTGCGGAAATTTGAATCATTCCAAACCACGATAAAATAATGATCCCTGACAAAGGACTCATTACGTTGTCCCCCCGCTTCGCTCGTCGTAAACGAAGCAGATCACGTTGGGCCTGCAGGGTAATTACAACTCGTGGTCCCTGCTGGCAATCATCTGGCAAGTTGATCAGTGAAGGCAAGTCAAGCGTATGAACCAGTTCTTGCCCATCTGGCCGGTTTTGCCAACTTCTTAGCAAAGATGTATCATGTACAGGTCTAAGTGTGCGACAAAATTTTCTGCCGACCCCGGCTTGGCAAGTGAAGGACTCGCTAAATGGGACGCCTCCTTAATCAGGGAAGGCTTTATTCATCCGTTCTCACTGTTGGGATGGTTGGCTGTCAGCAACTTGAGGCCGCGGTTAACATCCACTGGGGCCAAGTTGGATACGCGTAACAACAGCAATTCTACTGATCAAACAAACAAACAGTCAAACAATCAACAATCAAACAAGCAAACCAACAAACCAACCAGCAAACCAACAAACCAACCAACCAACCAACCAACCAACCAACCAACCAACCAACCAACCAACCTACCTACCTACCTACCTACCTACCAACAAACCAACCAGCCAACCAACAAACCAACCAACCCGCCAGCCAACCAGCCAGCCAGCCAGCCAGCCAGCCAGAGCCAGCAAGCCAGAGCAAGCAAGAAACTCGTTCTGGCCATGGTGGCGCTACACTTTCTCATGACTAAGAGGTGCATGACCATCCTTAGCAACCCTATAAGGATCTTTTGTCGTTCAACCACGATCCACACGAATCAAAGCCTCCACCTCCCAACTCCCTGGGCCCTCGGGCGGATCCGGCTTGTCGGAGTTGAGAATCACACGCACACCTGGCCCAAACCTCCACCTTCTGACCGACTCAGTGGCCCAACTCTGAGACCGTAACTCAAACTTTCTGCTTTGTTCCATATTTAGACCACCTCGAAAATAGCCAGTCAGCTTGTGTTAGCCGGTGAGACCTTCGAAAACTCAGAGCGGCGCCGAGCAAGTCGGAAGGCTCCAGCCTCCCATCCGGTCCAGCGGATGTTTGAAGTCGATCTTCGGGCAGTTGATGAACATGCAGTTCACCTTCACCTGGGCATGGCTCCGATAAAGGTCCCCTTTGAGCATCACCCCGAAACCAGATTCACGCTGAATTGACAAAAACAAAGGGGAAGTAAAAGGATCCCTGCCGGGTGTGGCTGCTTCTCTTGCCGCCAGCGTGGGAATTTGCATGTTTGGGAACTTCTCGCTGGTTCCTGCCAGGAGGGCGTTGGAACTTAGACCTCCTTTTGTGAGAGTACCCTTTTCGGGATTGCAAAGGGAAACAAGGAACTTTCCCATCTTACTTTGCACGTTCCCCCATTCTGGGGACAACCCCACCTGAGTTATGATCAAAACCTGGCGCAAAAATGGTTGACCCAGAACCGTAGAAAGAATTGAAAAGGCGGCCGCACCCATTTCTGGCTGGGACTGTCCTTTACTACCCTCCAATTACCCCGGTTTTGATTGTGACTTACCTGTTAAAGGTCGCATCTGGTACATCCAACCAGGGCCGGCCCTTTAACATCTCCCCCACGGAGAAAAACGCAAATGATCACCTCTTGGGTGCCTTTTTATTTGTTTCCCTTCAGGCGGCAACAAGTTAACCACCTAGATCGAGCAACACATGCAAGCAACTGATCCATGTCTGTCCAGGCTGCTGTGGCACAGGGCTGCAAAACTATAAGGGAGGTCAATTGAGAGCAAATCCAATCAACAAGTACAATCAGCCAATTTTCGTGTTCCCGTCCCCTTCACATGTGAAGTCTTGAAGGAGCAACCATTTCTGACCTGAACTGAAAGTTTTAACTTTTACGGCAGCCAAGCTTTAAGCAAATCAGTGAACCACTCATATCAAACGATCGCACGAAATGGATGCCCACTTTAAGCTACGCATGGATCCACATGGCATAAAGCACTAAGTCCCCAGGCGGCCATAATTCACGGCCCGAAAGCTTCAAACAGCACAACAAGCTGCTTTCTGTTGGGTCTTGCTTTTGTACTTGCAGCAATCCTCAGGCTGTGCTTTCCTCAGACCAACTTTCGTCTGTGCGCATTCTGCGCGGACTTCCGGCAAATACACATGGTTCATCACTCCAGCTTCCTTATAGCAAACCACCCTTGCAGAAAATGTTCGCGAAACACATTTTGACTTTCACGGCGAGCTTTTGCGGAGGCCAACACTAAGACCAGAAGGTCTTCCCCTTCATATCTCAATGCCGACCTTTCGTTGTACTCCGAGATCAAATGCGCCGTTTTCCCTCAGAGGCACAAACAAATCTGAGGTGCTTGACACATCTGAGGGTGCCCGGGCGTTTTGGAGGTGCACGGGAAAATCCTGGTGTTTCCAAAAGGTAGGGGCGAAGGATCCATTGACAAACCAATGAACAGAAAGCCATTTCTTGGCGCCGATTGAGAAACTCTATGGAGGTCCGACTGAGTCCGCAGACCAGGATCCGCTTTGAGATGTACTGCACCATGGCCGGGCTAAACTCCCCATGGACCTGCGAAGGAAGCGGTGGTTTTGGAGCTGACCTGCCTTGGGATCCCACCATTTTGAGACAAACCTCCGTAGCTCGCTTTGTTTCCGGTGCACCCCCACCCACCCCCCCTGTCTCCGTCAAAAACTACCAAGAGACCGCCAGTCAACATATCCAGTACACAGTCTGCGGTTGATTCGCGCGGGTGACATAGGGGGACTCTAAATTTTCCGTCAAAATCAAGGGGCTTTCAACTTTTCCCATATCCATGTTGTCAGAATATATGTCTGAGAGGTCTCTCCTGCGCCTTCGGCGCGACAATTGCGAGGTCTCTCTGGACGGTTGACTTTCGATATTCATTTCACTACCATCTTGCCTCATGTCAACCTCACCTCAAAAGCAAGTCCCTTCTTTTTCAGGGCCGAAGTGTGGAGCCCATGGGGTCATTCAGGGCGTGGGTTTCAAGAGCCCAGTTTTCTGGCCAACCTGTCGAGCCCTTCGAGCTTACCTCCACACTTGTTGCGCGCGGAGAATCACCAAGTGCAGTGTGAATCATGTTTGTAACTTGTTGGAAACTTGTCTTTTTTCAAACAAGCAATGAAAGGGCAAAGGTGAAACCCAGAACCAAAGAGTGACGCAGGTACGTGTCGCAAAAAGGAAGCGACGGAAGGCGCAGACCTCACTCACGAGGCCCAATTCCCGAAACGGGAGGGGCAACGAAACATCAACGATCATCAAACCTTGTCAACGACTCCAGCCCACCCTGGTTGAACAAGTCTGAATCATTCGGTTGCCGATTGGTGACGACGGTGATGGTCAAAGGAACGAACCCCACGTACTGTACATATTTGTCTCTTCAAACAGGTAGAGTGTTACAAAGTCACCTTTTAACAATTCAACATGGAGCCGCCACCTCACATATGGGACCTTGGTTCCAACCCCCCCCCCCTTTTGTCGGCGTCTGCACCAACAATGGGGCCGGGGTTCACCCAACTTTCGGGCTGTGTCGGACTCTGCTCGGGGCGGGCCAGGATGCAGTCCACTTTCAGGCGTGGGTAGACGCAGTCAAGGATCTGGCAGTACCTGGGACGAGAGTCCGATGGACCCTGACACGTTACGGGGGATGTGTATGGATTTAAGGGGGATGTATGAAAGGGTTTGCCTCATAACCCCCAGAAAGTGTAGGACCACTCAACTACGGGCCCATTCAAACAATGGAGAGGGTATGTCAGGCTAAACGCCCGGGTCGCCCAGGCCGAGCGTGCGAAGTTTCACTTAGGCCAAATGGAATGTCTCTCAAAATGAGATTGCCCCTTCTGGTGGCCGGTTTCCAGCTGTTTTCCCCCAGTCCAAAGGGAATTTTGTTTTGGGACAAACCCATACCCTTGTATCAATGGTGCAAACGGCAAGCCCTCACCCCCATGGGCCTCACTTCCGAAACCCGGCACAATGAAAATCATAGCGATTTGGCCGCGTTTGATGAGAGTTCAGGGACCCAAACTAAACCGAAAGACAAGGTTGGCCATGGACAAGGTGGAAAGTTACGGAGCAAACGGAAACGGGGTCCCTTAAGGGGCATCATACTTCCCAATTCACTTAGATACCCTTCTGAATGGCCATACAAGCCGCTGGCAATGGCAGCCTACCTAACTCCATCCATTTGGAGCACAGGACCCTTTTCCATGCAAAGTCCAATCGAAGCCATGGCTACAAGTCCAATTTGCTGGCGCCCGAATCGAGTCTGGGGAAGCTGCTCCTCCAAGCGTTCGGGGATCTGGTCCTCGTCTGTGTAGCAATGGATCACCTGCGGAATGCACCAAAAATATACATGCCACACATGAAAAAAGGGACGCAACATGACGCACCAACAATTGACAATCGGGTCCCCATGCCTGCATGCCTGCAATGGCACTAGCTTGTGGGCTGAACCAGGTATTTGCCCTGACAAAATCAGGCCTATACAACTAGTGCTTGGATATGTGCAGTAATTCATTCAGCAAAGCAACCAGTGTTGGGGCCAAAGACCGGAACCTGACAAACAAGGGCCAACACAGCTGAAAAGGTTTTACCGATCGGCAGGCAATGAGCTGCAGCGGACAGTAACATGTATAATTGTGCTTTGCTTTTGTTGTCTCAATCTGGACCGCAATTCACTCCCAAGTGCCCACTTTGGGAATTTGCTGTTGGGGTGGCAAGTGTTGATGTGGCAGAAAACACAGTGTCAAGAGTGCAGGGTATTTTCGTAGCGAATGAGAGAATACCTATTCATTTCTCAAGCATTTTGTTAAGGCGATCCGAGCCAAGCCTCGGCACGCCCCAGCTCCTTTCCTTACAAGCATGTTTAGGCCTGCTTTGGGACGCCAAAACCGGAGGCTTGGTAAAAGGGGGCATGCGGGGTCAACGGAACGCACGGCAGCCCAGCCTTCACCCACCTGGCTTCCTCATTCTGCTCAATGTACTGCAGAGCTCGATTGATTTGGTTCATGCTGGCACGTTTGGAGAAGTACCTGAGTCATCGCCGATTCCTCTGCGTTGCATTTGGCTCAGGGCTTCCTTAATCTTTTGATATAATATATGTTGTCTTTCTTTGGTCTTGTAACCAACTGGGACATGGCATAAATCTCTCTAAACTCTAACAGTCAAAGTCCAAGCATATGGTCGGGGACCAAGTTGTGTCACCAGAAATACACGTAGTGCATCGCCTGGGCAAGTCGAATCACCAACTCGTGAACCTGTGGGTTCAAGTCCAAGTCGAAAACAATTTTGACTTGCCCCAAATTGGGCCGCTGCATTTGCAGGTGCCAAAACCAATCCAGCCATGGCAATTTCCGTTTGAACACAACCAGGGAAATATAACAAATTGACTTAAGCACACGGTAGTCTGCGAATCTCGGTGTCTCCTCTTGATTTGCAAACTAGGGGCTCAATCTCTTCCCCCGATTAAGTCCCCCCATTCGAAAATAATACATTTTTCGGGACACATATTTATTAAGAGGGCTGCAGGGGTCCCCTTTTTCTTTCCAGGGACAAAAGGACCACTGGCCACGGGAAGAGCAGAAATGTAACTTTCATATTTGAGTTGTGACTAAGATTGATTCAATCTACGGGTATGTCTTTTGAGTTTTCACGTTTGAGAGGTTCCTTGGTGGAATAACAAGGCAGGCAAGGCAGGCCTGATCTTGGTGGGCAGCAGTTGAAGGAGGGAAGTGCTGAAAGCTGGCATGTTTGGGTTTGTACATCCAGCCTTTGAACAAAGTGAAAACTGAGGTCCGAGCACAACCCCCTGGTCCTGCAGGTTCTTCAATTTTTGATGCGCCCACCTCAGATCGTTGCAGCCAGATGTGACAAACTCGACGAACTATCCACGCCCTTTTGGTTTCCTTGATGGGAAGTTAAACATTTTGCTTTTGTCTAACCATGTAAAAGTAATGGGCGGTAGTCTTCTTTTCAGCCTTCTGAACGGGAGAACAACCCGTGGCCACGTGATGACAAAAGATGCAAGGTCTGCAAAGCTTAGATCTTTCCACAAATCACCACAAAGAGCAACACATCGCACCTCCCTTTAAAACGGGGCGACTCTGTTCGCCGATTCAACAGCAGCTGAGCTGCGAAAGTGCCTCACAGGACAATATCCACTAGCAACTCGGTCTTCTTTTCAGCCCTCTGATGCGGAGAGCAGCGTGCGCTGGTCAATGTCACGACCCTGTGCAGTCCAAGGACTTCAAAGTGCAGCCTGTGGCACAGGTGGAATACGCAGGCATTCCAAAAACTAATACATAACTTAAAATAGTTTGGATAGATATAAAATAGATAAATGGATAATTAAGCAAAAACTATTTGACTAGCAAACAATAAATGAAATTGTTAGACTAATTATTGATAGATTCAGGAATAGATTGAATATAGAAAAAAGGTAAATAGATTAATAATTAAATCGGGTTAACAATCAAAGGAATATACTACGCACCATACACAATAGAATATAACAACAACAAAAAAAACAAAAAAAAAGAAGAAGCATACTTCATATATACATATATAGATGTTTTTGTTTTAACAAAAACACTTGATTTTAACAAAATGAAGAACAACACAAACACAGAAGATGCTGCTGCTTGGGAAATGACATAAGTAACATGTGCAACTGCACATCTCCCTGCAAGCCAACTGTGTTGGCAGCTGCGAGCGTATCAAGTGTATCTCTCAGACCCGCAAATCCCAAAGGATTGAAGCGAACTAAAGGCCACGCTTAAGGCCATAGGGTTGCCCAATTTGAGGGAATGCTCTCAAGACCCAAGGCGTCCCATCACAACAAAGAACACATCGAGCAGTCCAGATACAACGCGTCCATTCACATTCCGCATCACATTTGAGGAACTAAACAAGGCCAAATCCCCCGGGGAAACGAATCTTCACCATGAAACCGGAGGTCGCAAAACAAACCTTTGTGAGGTCGCGAGGGGCTGCCGTGCCAGATACATCCGCTTTCATGCCCGCGAGAGTGCTGGGCTTGGCTGTGTGTGCGCGTGTTGTTGAAGCCATGCTCATGGGCCGGCCTGGCTGCATTCAGGTTGGTTATAAAAGAACTGAGCTGGAACCAAATCACTTTAAATATTCTTATATCAACGTCGGATTCATCCCAAAGAGGCTGTACAGGAGCTCGAAATTGATGCCTGAAATCATGTCCACTGGATTGAAATTGCCGCCTGTTCTGTTTTGAGCTCTCCGCCCTCCCTGACCTTGAACTGTTCAACGGTAGGCTTACCCTCTAAGAATCCTTGAGCATTGAGCAAATGCCTATCCAACAAAAGGGTTTGACATTTAGCAAATGCTGACCCAAAAAAGGGGCTGACTGATGTTGACCGTATTTCAAACGCTTTGCGGACGGGCGCTCGGTTGGAGTCTGGGCTGCCCGCCGCTTGGCCTCCGTCTTGTCCACGAACCATTGGATCACGAAGCGGACTACCTGCGTCCGAAAGCCTGGAACCTCTCCACGGGGCTGCGCTTTGCGCTTCCCGAGTTCACGGGCCACCCTTTGGGTTTGGGAGGGGGGGGAACAAACAACCACTGCCCTCAACCGGCCAATGGGAGAATCAGCCTGGACAGGCTTCCTTGTTGGCGTTTCAATCATGCACATATGCAAGGAGACAAGGCCGAGCATCAAACTGGGAAACAGTATGTTGGGGGTTAAACCTCATAATCGGTGTTGAGCACCCAGCAACTAATGAACGTGACCGCCCTTTCAAGGTAAGCGCTCTGGAGGGTTGAGGTGCCCATTTGGCTGCTTTATTTGGGATGAAAAACATTTTCCCTTCGTTTGGAATCTGCGGTTCCCGCTTTTTGCGAGGTCTGGTCACCATCGAACAAATCACATTTTGGTAAGGCCTTCCAAGCCACTGCGCAAGCTACCACAATTTACCAGCATGCACATCACACAATCTACTTCTGTGCCTTGCTACAGAGACGGGGACCACTTTTGAATGGTGCTTGAAGGCACACCATGCTCAAAAAACATGTTGCCTTCTTCTTCGTCTCGCTTGTGCCACACCCATCAACCAAAAGTCTTGGCTCGCTTTGCCCCTCGTTGTTGCCTCCGTTCCGCGAATTTCCACTCGCCTTGGAGTGGCTGAGCAAGCGAAGGAAGGCCGTGAAGATCGAGACCCGTGCAAAAGTCAGCATGACCTTACGCGACTCGATCTGAGTGGAAGTTAAGAAGAATCTTAGCTGACGTGCCAAGCAAAGAACCCACCAGCTTAAAAATCTCAGCCACGGACTTCCTACACCAAAACTATGTGACCAAACATGGTTGGTGAACGGTACAAGTACCCAAAACCATGCGCTTGTGCATGGAGAATTAGGATTGGTGTATGCGATCTCCAAGGCTTGTTGCTTACTCGCGGGTTCAAATCACGGCCTTGAGACGACTTGCTCAACGGGCCGAATAGGGACGGCCAATGTTTTCCCGATCATCCACTTCCAAACTTCCACTATGGTATTCCGTTGTAATCCTAGGCTAATCTCTTTGCTCGTGGTGACTATCTTGCGTGCTTGGACCAGCATCCAAAACCAGCTTGTGCTTTTGGCAGTACTTTCTTGAGCTGCTTGTGTTCAACCCCCACAAACACACACACACAAACACAAACACACAGAAGCACAAACACTTCACAAAGGCAACACAAACACAAACACAAACCGCGCACAAACACAAACACACACGCACGCACCAACCACATACATGAAATACATGCAGGTTCACTATCTCAAGGCTAAATGCTGTCTGGCGCTGATGCCAATGTATCTTGTGTGACTTGTGTTTGTTGTTTGCGTGGTTGCTGCTTGCTTGCTAGTTTGCCTGCCTGCCTGCCTGCCTGTCTGCCTCTGCCTGTCCTGGCATCCATCTGTATCCCTGTCTCTGCCTTTTGGTACGTGTGCCTGTCTCTTGTTGCAACGTCCCTCTCTCTCTTTCTCTGTGTCTGGGTGTCTCTGAGTTTCTGTGTGTCTCTATTGTGTATGTACGTATTCGTTGTGTGTATGCGGTTGTGTCTGTACCCGTGCGTACGCGTGTGCACGCGGGCGGGTGTGTGTGTGTGTGTGGGTGGGTGTGCCTGTATCTGCGATCTGAATTCATGGTGGGACGATTTCTTGGCATCCCAATTCCGGAGTAGCAATTTGCGTTGGATCGTAACCTTGTGTTTAGAGCACTTCGCAGCATTTCGGATGAAGATTCGACCTTCCTCGCAATGCGATTTACTAAGGCCTTCATAAGCGGCGCAGCCAAAGCTACGTGTGTTAGGAATGCCAAGGACATGCTGAAGTGTCAAGGATATGGTGAGGACGCTACCATGACGCACGACATCCTTGAATGTCCTGCGTCGCTTCCGAGCAGGAAATAGCACGTCACTGCAGTTGCAAATCCTTGGTGATAGAAGACCGGAGTGGAAATGATTGCCCTTGCCGGTGTGCGCTGGGTATGTGTGGCTCAGAGTGTCTGCATTGTGTGCGAGTGCGTGCCAGCCTACCTGCTTTGCTGCACGCCTGCCTGTGTGAGAGCATGCGTGCATGCGTGCATGCGTGCATGCCTGCCTGTGTGTGTGTGTGTCCGTGTCTGCGTATGTGCGTTTCAACAGGTCTGCAGCTACTGGGTGGAACTCAAAGCAGGTTAAAACAAGCCGCCATCGTGGTGGTGATGCCGTAGTAGATGTAGAAGTAGGTCAGCATCTGGCAGTGTCCCACTGCAACTCAAGGTGCACAGTCCACCTTCGAAAGGTGGATTACCTGGTTTCCTCTAGCATCCCCGGCAAACAAGGCAGGCCCGTCACTCAAGCATTACGTTATAGCTGCCCAACCGCGTCTGTTGATACAACATGAGGGGTTATTCCTACTTACTTGTTCCTACTTACTTGCTCACATGTCCTGGACATATGCATTAGAGATGGCCTTGCGATGCCTTGCGGGCAGTAACTTAAAATAGACTGACACTGGAAAACAACAACAACAACAACAACAACAACAACAACAACAACAACAACAACAACAACAACAACAACAACAACAACAACAACAACAACAACAACAACAACAACAACAACAACAACAACAACAACAACAACAACAACAACAACAACAACAACAACAACAACAACAACAACAACAACAACAACAACAACAACAACAACAACAACAACAACAACAACAACAACAACAACAACAACAACAACAACAACAACAACAACAACAACAACAACAACAACAACAACAACAACAACAACAACAACAACAACAACAACAACAACAACAACAACAACAACAACAACAACAACAACAACAACAACAACAATCAAAAGGCAGGCTTTGGAAGCTGAACATACATTCTCAACTTGAGTTGGAGAACAGCATACCTGTATCAAGATGCGCGAAACCTACTGATAGCATTCTCAACTTGAGTTGGAGAACAGTATACCTGTATCAAGATGCGCGAAACCAATTGATAGAGTCTCTGAACGCAACAGCTGGCGAGGAAGCCACACCAGCATCTACTCCCGCAAGAAAAGCCTGGCACCAGTCCTTTGGCCAAAGGTTGGGGGGGGTCCCCTTCAAATCAACCACAAAAAACAACATATTCAGGCCTCCGTTCGGTGCAAACGGGGGAGCTTTGGGTTTCCCTTGACTTCCACTTGCTTAAGCCCCTGGAAAAAATATGTCCAGTAGAGATAGATTCCCTTTGAAACAAAGAGGGGAAAACACCTATATAATATAATATATATATATATATTCTTAAGCAAATAGAAGTTAGTTGACCTTCTGGGCAAAGCAAGGAGCAGAAGTCCCCGAAAAGCCTCCGGGTGGAGCAGCAAGACCGCAGTGAAGGCGCAGCCTGGCGCCGCGACCAGTGCCATCCGCTTTTCTTTTTCCCGGGAAACCAAGCAAAAGCACCGGCTTTTCTAGAGGTATTTGAGCGAAGGGCTACCACAGACCCCCCAACCCCCCACACATGTGGAATTGTTTGATTGCTGGTGATATTCTAGGGGTTGATTCCTTTTGCATTCTTTTCAATCATCGTTCTTGCCAAGAACCGGATCCGTTTTCCTTGGGTTTCTGGAGGCTTTCTGAAAAGGGGAAGGTACCCCTAGAGCTTTAGCCTTCACCCAGGATTTGGGGCTGGTTTCCATGTGAATTGGAGCAAACTCATAATGTTCATGCATCAACCCCGGGAGTCAGCACAACTGCTCCCAAAATGTTGCTTTGCTGGCCTTGGAGGAGCATGGATGTGGTATGCCATTTTTTGGGACCTTCGGTTTTGGAGCAAGGAACCCAGCAATCAAAAGAGACACAGGCCGCCTGGTTGAACATGAGCTTGCTTCGGGAAGGCTTCTACAAGCTTCGAGGAGGAAACACCACGGGACGCGGAGCCTAGGTTGGGAGGGAAGGCACAAATAATGTTTGGACCCGTCTCCTTTTGGGTTCCAGGTTAGCTTTGCAGAGCTGAGATGAACCTCTGCTATCTCAAGCGAGCCGAGGCCGCCGACCAGCAACAAACCGCATACCTCAAGGCGCACCAGGCATGTATCGACCCCGGCGAGCGCCGAGTCGCTGTACAAATGTGAAACAGGTCCCGAAAGGGGCAAATTGGGAAATTCAGGCAGGCAACCAAAGGCCCAACCCGCAGGAGAGGCTATCAGAACCTTGTCAGAAAGGGTTCTTGGCATACTTAGAAGGCTTCTAAAGCCATTGTGGTTCCAGGGTCCCGCTGGAAGTCCATTTTGGTCTCAGGGTGTAGCGGACGCAAGAAAATCAACAAATAAGGTGAGCGAAATGCATAGCTTGTTTGACCAAGAGGTCAGCTCGTTACAATTTGTCCAGGTACATGGCCATAGAGCGCAATGCTTTGGAGTCTGGCAACGCCACTGGCTCCAGGGGTCATGAGTTGGATTCCACAAAGCATGGCCACATGAACATGTCTTCCGAGCTTTAGTGGTGCTGTCTTCAGCGCATCGGGAATTCCTGAATGCACCGATGACTGTCAAAACACTGAATGCTCTTCCCACGAAGCAGTTGTGGAATTTAACTCGGCTAGTCTCAAACCATGAGACGGCCCAACATGGGCGACTTCCCTTGCGCCTTTCCTACAGCAGCTCTTGGGGCCCGAGGTTGCAAAGCCCAACAGATTTAGGGTGTCAACCATAAGCATGCCCCAGTGTTCGGCTCCCCGAGCCCAGGAACCTGCAAATAAAACGGTGGGTTTTGGGACCTTGACAAGTGGACCAAGGGAATCCAAACGGTTCAAAGGTCGCTTCGCTTTGGAGGGGAACCTCTGGTTTCGTTTCTCGCCATGCGAGGCTTCAAAGGCGAGGCTCGAAGAACGCTGGATGGGTGTTGATCTCCCGGGGCCTGAGACGCGCTCAAACTGCGGCCGGGATCATTTCTTTGGACCCCACATGGCTGTAGCTCAAACAATTGTACCAAAATGGCACCTTGGTAAATGGAACCAAGGACTAGAACATGTGTAACCCTAGCTCTTAAATTGTGACACCCACATGTTGTGGCCCCCCACAGAGCGAATAGCGCCGGATATTGAAGTAAGGCCTACTGAGGCACAATAGGGACGATTGTGGAACCCTATTTGGACTCTGACAACGACAGGACCATTGGAAAGATGCGGGGCACAAGGCAAACATGCTTGGCCCCGACTTCCAACATGTAAAGAGATCTTTACAGGTTCCCTTGAGACATCCCAAATGGGAACTCAGCTAACATGCCCGGAAGGTTGCATGTAAACCTACCCAAACGGGAAATGCAACCCACCCCTGATGTAGGCTGCCCAAAAAATCGGTCTGCCAGTCCCACTTTGTAAAGCTTCCACAGCGGAATTTAATTTTGGACAACCACACTCAAATCAAACAATGGCTCATATCAGGCAGGCTGGGTCTATTATCGATTCATCCTGCTTTTCACGTGGCCTCGCGTGAGCTTCAGATATATAGATTCATGCCGCTTGCTGTCCCCACAAAGGACCTGCTAATATTCACTGAAACGTGCCCTCCTTCCCCTCGTTTTTTGTTCAAACAAAACAAATTTAAGGGGGAGTCCCCCATCTGTTGAGTAGAAAACAAGGCAGCAACCCCGCGGGGGGCCGTGGTGTTCCGTGTGTGTGCCAATCGAAACTCCAAAAAAGGTCCGGGGCCTCGACCTCTTGACGCAGCACAATCCACCCCACACCACACCACGCCATCCCAGCACACCTAGGTCCTCCAGTAGAGAGGTTAGAATAATAAGGGTACCAACTTTTTTTCTGTAGTCTATTTGAGGGGAACCCTCCCCCAAAAAAGGGTAAAAGGGCACTGCTGGGGGACCTAGACACCCATCCCGAAGGTTTCTGCAAAGGCTGCGCAGGAAGGCGTGGAGCACCCCCCCCACCCCCAACCGAAGGCCAACACGCCGACAGTACAGACGAGTGGACGCTAACTTCCCTGTGAGGGTTAAGAAAGGGGTTTGTCCCAAGAAACACACTACAAATGCCCCAAGAGTGTGCCCCCGAGTCCACCACAATACAAGAATAGTCCAACGGTTCATGTAGTGGAAACTTGGTGGCAAGTAGATGCGTAAGCCACAATCGCGTATATCGGTACCCTACATCAGGCTCGAAACAGACATGGCAGGGTGTTGGTGCAAAACACGAACAAACATAAATATCCCATTCAAGGCCTCTTGATCTTGGCTTTGTGGAGAAAACACCTCTCCCCCTCGTACGGTTGCTACAAAAAACAAAAACACACACACGTCTTCACGGCCCCCGAGCTTGTTGCAAACCAAAACCCTTTGTGGAACCACTAAATAGATCTAGGGACTTGCCCTGGCGACTTTGCAAGTCGCGAATGGCGCCAGATCGTGACTTGGGGAATATACAAGGGGAAGCCTTTTTGGGCTCGATTCATTCCATTTTATTGGGGGAACCCACCAAACGAAATTAATGATCCATATGACTGAGCCATGGTTTGCCTTTTGTTCCCATAATAAGTCTACTTGGGAAAGTGTTATTATACATCACCAGGCAAACCATGAGCTTGAACAGGAATTGAACCCTTTTTGGGGGTTCAACTCCATTCTTTGAGGCTCCCAAACCCAAGCAACACCAACTGAACTCGGGCCCGCTGGGCCCCACTGAGCCGCCCGCAGGGTGGGGCGATTGATCTTCAGCCACAGGCCGCAAAAGGCAAAGAGCCCCATGACCAGCAGGAAGGAGATGGAGTAGATGGCAGCAAGCCTCGGGCATGTCTCCTTTTCAGTTTGGGAAACAGATGGCACTGGGTTCAATTAGACCTCTTAGCCTGGCATGGTGGCATTTCGGTTCGGTCCTTTACACAACTAGGTTCGATTTGTCTCAGGTTGGCTTGCCCTTGGTTTCCCTTGATAAAACCCAGCAATGGGCACCCACACAAAAGACACGCCCTCGGCGCGTTTGTGACCCCTAGTAGGCCCCCATTTCCTTATTGTAATTTGGTCTCTAAAACCAACGCGATCTCCTCCACAATGAATGCCAGTGAAGATGGACAGTTGCTTGTTTGTCTGTCAGACAATCGCTGCAAGCCATGCAAGGTATCACAATTACCAGGGATTTCGGGATGCTAGTTTAGACGTCACAATTACCAGGGATTTCGGGATGCTATTTGCATTGGGAGCATCCCCAATCAACACATAGGGGGAATCTAACAAACGTGGCAGCCCATCCAAATTCTGTCCACTGGGCCGTGACTCAGAAGGGACCCGAGCAAATGGGGATGGGCTTCCTGTCAAGATCGTCCTTGAAGCCCAGCTTTGATCACCAAACCACGCATGGACTTGAGCTAGAGGTAGCCGGGGATTTGGACATGGAAAAGGGTTTGAAAGCGATTGGTGAAAACCAAAAAGGCAAACAATTTTAAACGGAAAGCTTCTGGCAAGGTCAAATGTAACCTGAGGGGCGAGTCTCAGGTCGCACCTTGAGAACTCCTGATGTCCAGTGTGTCGTCTGGAAGCTACGTTGCTTTCCAATGAACCCTTTGTATCTTGTCAAATGGATCTCAGATTGGTGGATGGCACTAAAAACGGACCGACCCGCACCCACTACAGCAAAAGTACCCTGGTTGGCGCGAAAGCCCACAAATGAAGCTGGGTACTTACAACTCCCAGGCCTCCTCTCCACAGCTTTCAGCTTCGGAAAGAACAAAGGGATTGCCCACTGAAACTGCCCTCACTGTGCAGTACAGCTTCAAGGCAAAGAGCAAATATCGGTGGCACTAGTAAGACGTCAAGTCTGAAGATGGTTGGAAAAACCATCTAGTGGCGGTTGGTCGCCACTTACATTATCCACTGTTAGCGGCCGTGAGCAGAATCCATTCTATGATCACCAGTGTCAGAATGCAAGAAACGCACGGCGTTGTTCTGTTTGCGTTGTATACACACAGCAACGCATGTTCAAACATCATTAAGGGCTTGTCTAACAATCCTGACGTTTACTCCAAGGACAGTGGCAAACATTATAGGTTCACATACTCCACATTTGATTGTAGGGTGACATAAAACATAGTCAGTACTTGGTATCAAAGGGGTCTACCGAAAACCACGTAGGGAAGCATAAGTGCGGCCGCTTTAGTTTGTACGGTCACGACTCTACTACTCTTCTATTTCCCAGGTTTGATTGTAGCTCACGTGGCTGAAGGGGGAAACCGAGTCCAAACCGCAGGTTTCCTCAGACTGTTGCCGCTTGAGCGTTTGCGAAGTCTAGTCAACCACATGGTTGGCGAATCATGAGGGGCTTTAGACGGCTTCCTTGGAACTTGGATAGGTGTCCTGTCTACAAACTGACATGGTGATGGGTTCTTGTTCGTTTTTGTTGACAATCCAAAAAGGTTCCAACTCAACAATTTTCAGGTGATACTGCGTTGGTGGCCAATTGGCTCATGACAAGCAACGCGATGCCGTGGTTGAAGAAACGACTGGGGCTCGGGCAAAGTAATGTCACCGTCCAGCATGATGCACATGGACGAGCAAACTGCAAAGAACACGAGGATGGTGTAATGCCTCAGCACTAAGCGCTTCCAACACGATTGGTCAATTGCCTGGGTCTGCTTCTCGTCAAGAGCACTCTGGCAGCAAATAAGATGCCCCAGCTGTACACAAGGAAATCCAAAGCGCGTGTGAAAGAGACTTTATCAGCGTGAGTGAGCTTGTTGTGCCACGCCGTTCACTCGCCACAGAAAGTACCAACGACAACTGTCTCAACTGCTGCCTTTCAAAGAGCTGCCAATTCGCAGCTGTACCTTTCTAACCACTTTGGGGCTGATCGGCCTCGGAAATCGCCAGGACAGCCAAAGCACACCATGTGAGGTCCCCCATGTTTCAGCCCTATGTTGATCTCTCACTGTCATGAGTTCCCAGAGTTCGTCCAGAGTCCAAAGGCACTGCACCAATTGCTGCGAAATCGAGCAAAAGCACAAACAAGCTCCCACGGCTTCTCATGGGCAGCTGGCTTAGGGAGTGGGCTGGCCAGGAATGCACTAACAATCATAGTGAAGTGATCAATCCACCATACAAAAGTCAAAGTTTGCCAACTGAAGTGGCAAGGCCAGCAGTTGTTTCGGAGGCAGAACCCTGAAAAATGGGAAAAACTCATCTTTTCTCCTCTGAACGTAGTCTGCCCAAGTAAAAAAAAGGAAAAGCTGGTTTTCGGCGCCAGGTCGAGGAGCGGAGTGTTCCTCCAGGAGTTTGTCTCGCTGAAGAACTCCGGCAAGCACCTGGCCGAGCCGTGGCGCGTTTTTTTCGTGGTTTTCATGAGAATCAAAGGAGCTCCAAGGACGTGGCTTTCGGTGCAAACTAGTCCCAAACCGGACCTCAGCAAATTTCGAGTCAAGGACCTCGATGGGCAAACACACACATTGCAGTACGTTTCCCAGCTAGCACGGCTGTCTCAAGGTCCAGCGCTCAAGTCAGATGTTATGGCCATGACACATGTAAGTTTGTCAACTTGTTTGAACGCCAACTTTTTTGCATTATCTATGTTTGGACTACATGGACACACGCCATTCTTGTGAGTCCCGCTCATTTTTGGAAGAACAATATAGCATATGCTCCATATTTTGCTTTCTGGCGAGGTAACTTGGGGACCTTCAGCTCGGGGTTGATCGGAGAGAGCCGTTCAAAGCCGGGAAGCAGGTACAAGGAGGACCCCGGTGAATTTTGTCAGACATCCCAATGTCATACGCCCCGAATAAACCAGAGGTGGCTTTCTAAGTTTAGTAGAACATAATTATCTACTTTAGTCAGGGTCTTAAAATAAACCAAAAACATGTGTGGCGCCCAAAGCGCTGACAAATCCGCTTTGGTCAAACACTTTGTGCGGGGATGGCTATCTTGCTTTGCAAACAACATGGATCTGGAGGCTTGATCCTGTTTTACTATGTTTTACCTGGATCCCCAGCTTGTCTTCCGAGACCGCGTCTTTTGCCAAACACCTTCACATGATCACCGCTAGCAAGGCAACAACATGGTAGGGATCTAATCTTAGGTACTCAAAACTCCTGAGTGCAGGCTGACTCATCATCCCAACAATCCACATGTCTGCACTAGCTACGTTGTTTCGCCAACCTGAATTAAGGGATCCATGAGCAACCACGGGGCCTGGTTTACCGCAAGGTAAGCTCGCCCGAAACGAATGCGGACATGCACGCGGGTTGCTCCAAAAAGCCTAGAAGAAAATTAGGTATATAGATATGTATATGTACATGTATATGTATATATATATGTATAAATCTATTTTTATCTATTGGTTTCTACAGCTTTTGGGGGTGGTTTGGAAGTGGACACCTTCTTAGGTTGAGAAAACTTCCGCCTCGCTCGCTCCGGCGCGGCCCGCGCCTGTCTCCTGCCATGCGCTGAAAGAGACCAACGACCTGAGAGCGTGATCATCTTTCATGCCATCCATTTGCTTATTTTCATATTTGTTATGCCATCTTTCATGCCATCTTTCATACCATCTTTCATGCCAGCATGGATTTTCTTTTTCTTTTTTTTCCCAGGGGGCTTAAGCAAATGGAAAAATGCATGTGGACTTTTATCAACTGGATGTTTCCAACTTTTGGACTGGTGATCTTCCCTTTGTTTACCCAAATGCGGGGGCTGAAACCAATCAGGACAGCACCCAGGTATTCGACCAGGCTGGTAAGGTTTCGCATCCAGTCTGCCAGTGGTTGTGGGGCCTCCACCGTACTTTCTGCTCTTCCAAACATTCGGTCGGGGACGGGCTCGGACCCCACTACATCCTCCCAAAAGGCGGAGGTCGAGCTCAAAGCCATTTGACACTTCAACCTCACCCCCAAGAATCCGAATTGAAACTGGCAGCCAAAGGCACAGCATCCCCCCAGCCATGCTCCCCCATAGCCCCCAAAATGCTGATCTTGCCTGGCTTCCGGGGTGCCAGACCCATGTCAACTGTCAAACTCAACAGAGCCCCTATGCTGATCTCCCTTGGCCTCACCAAATTAAACAACCCTTCCAGCATTCAGTCAGTCTATGGTATGTACTGGGCAGGGACACCGGGGACGAGCCACTAAATGTCCTACACATGTTTCGCTTAATTCCTTTGGGCTTAAAAAAATGGGGAAGGGTACATCCCTGCTCCAAATATTCATTAGGGTGGGGGTGACCGTTGGGAATTGCCCTGCCACCCGCTAAAGTTCTAGGAGTCAGAGTTGCCACCCATCTTGGATCAATATTCACTGGAGTCATGGTGCTAAGAACCACTACAGAGTACTATGAGTCAACACCTAAAAATAAGGAAGGCCCCTCGGACATTCATCATTTCAAGCTCGATTCCCGGAATCGGCGAGCTCCGTGCAATTTATGATTTACCGGAGCAATACCCAGACCTTCACTTTCCATAAGCAAGAAAAGGCGCGTGCCTTTCTTGGTAGTTGATCCTACAGACGGCTCCCCCCCAAAGAACGAGATCGGCACGCATTGGGTTGTAGGAAGCAGAAGCACATTCAGCCAGTCCAAGCACTTGAGTTACAGGACGCTTTGAAGCACACTGGCACGCCAGTTCCGTTTGGGGTTGCCCAATTGGAAGCTCTCCACAAAAAGTACAACATAATAATAATACTACCAATAATAATAAAATAAGAATAATAACAATAACAATACTGATAATAAAATAATAATAATAATAATAATAATAATAATAATAATAATAATAATAATAACAATAATAATAATAATAATAATAATAATAACAATAATAATACCAATAATAATAAGAATAATAATACTAATAATAATAATCATATTAACAATAACAATAATAATACTACTACTACTAATAATAATAATACTAATAATAATAATAATAATAATAATAATAATAATAATAATAATAATAATGAAACACACGAAAAAACACACACGCAAAACAAACAGGGAGGTCTAGGTCCCCGAGTCGCCGCCTGAGCCTCCGCACCCCCACGTAGCTGGTGAGCACCGACCCTGCCAGGACCAGCAGCGCCTGAAGTGGCGACGTTTAGGCAAAGAAGGCGAGGCAAAGCCAAAAAAACACGGCAAAACCCATACTTTCTATATTTTCTGGTGGTCACGGCAACAATCCAGTTTTTTGCTTTTGGTGGCTAAATCTTCCGTTCATCCAACAGTCCATATCTGAACTTCAGAATTCTTGTCTATTCATGGATGTGAGAAATCTTACATCTCCGAGCTTTGTTTCAGAGAGGCAACACGGGAAGCCGCATAATCAGGGGGGGCCAAAGAAGGTGAGTTTGAGACAAACCCATTGAATGTTCAGGTTCTCGGCAAATACCGGGAGCCGTTTAAGCCTCTGACAGAGCTGTAGTCAAAAGTCTGGGGGGAGCCGTAAGTAGCGGTTGCCTGGAAGGCGCTTGAAAACTCTCTTGATGCAGACGCCTTTACCTTTGGGTGTCCCATCTGGGGAGCAAATAAGATCACCCTGGCTTCTCTGTACCACCATCAACCACAAGCCACTATAGACGGCAACACTCACAACACAAACAAAACGGCCAGGGCAAAGTAACAGGAGAAACTGTGAAGCTGACAAATATATAAAACCATAACATTGCTAGTGTCACTGCAATGTGTGTTCGAAGCGGCCACCCAATCCAAATCTGCAGAATCTTCTCGAAACCACCTGTGCCGTGGGGGGGGGGGGAAATAGAAGAAATAATTGAAATTAAGAGGATTGAAGCCTTCACCCCCCCCAACTAAAAAACCAACAACGACATGAACCAAAAAGCCAACAACCTCTGTCTGCGCTCTCCGAGCTGGGGACGTCGATGGCCACCACATCCCGAAGCAGCGGCCCGGCCACCTAGGCGCACACCCTTTTCACATGGAACCTGACCTTCAGGACCCGGTGTCTTTACAAGGAAAATGAGAACTTCCAGGAACCCCCAAACCTCAGGTTCCAAGCGAAAAGGGAGGGAAATGTTGCAGATGGACGCAATCTGCATGGCAGCAGTGGGTATGGTTGATCCCAGTCACAAGGTTTTATCCATCCGAGCTGGTGCAAAGGTATGTCCATCCATATGTGGGAACTTGAATTGGGGGCCCTTTGCATATCATGGAGATTCATGTCCACTTTGGAGGCTCCCGAAGACTCATAGCATTCAATACTGATTCAGAGCTCATGGTCTCATAGTGCTTCATGGCCCCTGATAGTCACTCACAGTCACTTGGCTGCCCCCCAGTATATGACAGGGAACTTGGACAACCCATTGCAAGCCTTTTATTAATATGGGAAGGGGGCCCACTTCCTTTTGGTATGGCCATGGTTGGTTCCTCTAGAGATTCATGACTATTGGGTAGGTTTTTGACCCCAGGCAGCGTAGATGTTGCTGCTTCGTCGGGATATGGTCGTGCGTCTGTGCAAGTTGCCAACCAAATCTGAACCATAATTAAATCCAAGCCCTTTGTTTGTGCTTCTCAGAATGTCAGTGCACGATCAGTAAAACCCCCGACTAAAGGTTTCCCCTTTTTCCCTCCGAATACCCCTTCAATACTAAAAGTAAAGGTCCTACCAGGTTTGCCCGCAAAGCCCTACCCAGTCATTTTTCGGGCCTCCCCAAAAACGTTCCCCCGATGAAAGGTACCCTTGCAGCCCCCAAGCCAAAGGACATATTATTCCCCAATAAATACACTTGTTTTTTTGTTTTTTGTTTGCTTAAATGACAAGACGTTCAAGCTCAGAAAGGACCCCCCTTGGAGGCTAGCCCCCTCATTAACAGAAACCCCCCTCTATTGATCAGGGTCCTTTTGGGCTCAAAACAAAAGCTTATGTTACCATACAAAGTCCCATTCCCCAGAAGGGGCCAAAAAGCCAGGGACCGAAGAGGTTCTCCAGGTTCCTGTTTCCAGTTTAATTGGTTGGCTGCTTTTTGGTCTCCATTTGAATAGATACCAAAAAGGTCCGCCATGTTAAGACATAAAGCCCTGGATCCCACCGAGACTCCCGCTCTTTCTGCCAGGTAGGCCAGAGCAAAGGCCGACTTCTCACCTGAGAGCCACAGACCTGTTTCATGGGGACTTCCGACCATTCATGTGTGAGGAATGTTCTATCCGAGTGTGTAACGGAGGGCTTGGAAAAACAACATACTGTCCATTTCATTTGGGCTTTAACTGGGAAGATGGAGAACTATGGGTTCTTTACGTAGATTTTATTTTATGTGGCACCCAGTGTCCGTGCCGCCTGGTACTACTTCTGAGTTCCCTATTGGTGCTTTTACAAAGAGGCCAAAGTGACACCACACATTTGGAGGGCTCCTGGACTCTACCCGTGCACATGTTCAGCTTCGGACCAGTGAGGTCCCCGAGCGGTAGCACAGCCTCGGGAAAATGGAGGTGCACATAAAATGGATTCAGTCGGAGTGTGTATGCCGCCAGAATCCGTCAGAGAAGGCTTGTCTCACTCTGGCATCCCCTTTCCGGCCGGAAGGAAATCGTAAGGAAACCAACAGAATCCCTACCCTGCAATCATGAACGGGTGGGGGGAGGGTGCCCGAATGGAAAAAAAACACCTGGGAAACAACATATTGGGCCCCCGGTTTTGGAGTGAAGAACCGGGTGCTTTCGAAATGTAGGGAGTGCGACCCAAACTTGAAATGAGGTCACCATGTTCGTCTGGAGTCCAAGTGGACAGTCTGATCATGCCTGTTTTGGGCTTGAGCTAGCCAGCAGCTTGTTTTAAGTTTTGCACTCCCTGTGGTTGAACGGCAGGGCCTCATTGGTGAACAACTGCTGTCCAAGCCCGCTTTTGTTTTGCCCCGACATGGTCGGGGTCGGGAGGGCACTGAGAGCCTGTTTAGCAGCCACCTTCTTTGGGTATTGTTTTTCCGCGGCGTTTGGTGCTGCGAAATAGCCTTTCAATGTCCACGAAACGGGGGGCAAAGTTCCACACCCCCAGTTCTTCTGCAAGCATAGATGGGACACTTATCTTGACATTCAAATCGCCTACCCAGTTCAGGTCCAAAAAAGTGAACCCTTTCCAAAAGGGAAAAAGGAGTGGATAAACGGGCCCCACCGGAGCCAGCTTTGCTAGGTCCTCCAGTAGAGAGGTTAGAATAAGGGTACCCTTCTTTTCTGTAGTCTTCCCCTCCCCAAAAAAGGGGTGAGAAAGGGCACTACTGGGGGACCTAGTTTGGGCGGACACCCATCCCACCCAAAAACAGCTCAACCCCTGGAACCGCTCTTCTTCCTCAGGCCGCGGCCACTGCCAGGCTGGGCAACACAACGTTGATGATGGAGACACTCACCCACATGTTCCGCAGAGTCTTGGGAAAAACGCCTGGCCAGGGAAACCGAACATCTGCATGAAGGAAGCCCAGTTGCAAGGTCGCAGTCGCCGAGTGAGACTCTCTCACAAAGCACTTTCCACCAAACGTAACAAGTCCAACTGACAGAAGAGAGGAAAGTAAACATGGTATTCTGCAAAATTAGCCCTTCTGCACCCGTCTCATGGAAATCCAAGGTTGCGCGTGCTTGCATGCTATCCTGTATGCTTGCCAGAAACCAGGTTTTTAGATGCTGGCTCAAAGCCAACTTTTGCCCACCGGTGTCAGGAACACTTAGCTGCGCCTGAAGGCACAAAAGGAGGGTATGAAAGGAGGCTGGGCCATGCGTGCTGTGGGTGTGTGTGTGTGTGTGTGTGTCAACAACTAGCGGCTCCTCCAGTGCCTTGGTTTAAGTGTCCGCTTGAAGCCTCTCAGCTTGCAACATGCACCTGCAAGTGGCTGCTTTCCCACAGACCCAGTTCCTTCTGCCACTGGGCGACCCCCACCGAGAGAGGTGGCATTCTCAGGAATCCTAGCGCACACCGGTGCCATTCTTAGGGTCTTCCTATTTTAGGACGCACAGTCTCACTGGCCCTCCATGATGTTCATCTGAACATGGGCCTGGCTTCTGTTCTTCCACAAAGTTGGCGGAGGTCTCGAAACCTCAGGCACGCACAAACGCCTCTTGATCTGAGATCATCTATATACACATGGGCCTGTCTCAAAACAGGGAACCCCCTTGCGGGATGGGCTGGAGGAAGACAACAAGAAGCAAACCACTTGCTCCAGTTTTTGACTATAACATGTAGACACAAGTGTGTTATGGCTTTCCTCAGATTTCATGTGCACCTCCAACAGGGTGTACGCTAACCATACACCAACACCATATCTGGTTGGGGGCGGGGGGGGGGCAACATCTTGGTCAAAGCCTCGGTTGTGCACAACTACTTGAGCAACAGAAAAAGCTTGGCACGCTGCATGCGAAGAACCGAGAACTGGTAAAGCAAAAACCAATTCCTGGCAAGCACCCCATGGGGGAAAACCACCAGCTACCCCAGGTGGGCGGACCTCCATACGGGACGCTAGGCATCGGCATCGGCCTTCGAGGTAAGGCTCAAGCCAGACACTCCGAGCATCGCAGAGGAGAAGCCGAAGAAGATCGAATTCCAAAAGGGCGGCTGCCTGCGAGTGGGGCCAAGTCATGGTGTGGATGGACGAAATCCTGCACCAAAGAAACTCTGGGCTCCCCTGTAAATACCAACAAACAGTGGGTTCCCGTGTCTTCAAAGTGGTGCAGGATGATGTCCATCCACAATAGGGATCGTGTGCATGATTTACTCATGTCTGCAAGGGTTCAACCCAAGGCAGCACAATTGACACCAGCGCCACAAAAGAAGTCTGCTATGCCCATCACTCTCTTTGTAGGCGAGTTTTAAAACAAAGTGCAAAGTTGCGTGAGGTAGCCTGGAGTCAATCCAGCGAGCGAGCGGCGCAATGGCTCTGCCCAAGTAAGTCCGCGTGTGTAACAGCAGCGTAGAAAAGAACACCTACGCACATGTGCGTGTTCATGCGCCAGCTAGCCTACTCTAAGATAACCAATGCTCACAAAAGACCTTCTAACTTCTGCATTCAAAAAAAACACCTCTCGCTCTCTCTCTCTCTCTCTCTCTCTAGATCCAAGGTTTTGCAGCGGGTTTGACCGTTTCAAACTGGTTGTGCCAATTTGTCAAACTAAAGCCCTGGTTTCAGCTGAAAAGTCTGGTGTTCCGCGACAAAGCAAGTTACTTCAAGTTCTCCGTGCCAGGTTGGCTTTCGCGTGGAGATGGTGTGGGGCGTCAAGTTGTTTCCACTCAACACCATCCCCAAAAGGCTATGTGAGTGCTTTGGGACACTTTCAGAAGGTAAAACGCGGCAGGAGTTCCTTGCTCGACATGCTGCATCTACGGGCGGGCGTCCAAAACCCGTATGGCCATAAACAATTTGCAAAGGTTCATGCCCATGAACCGGGCAGTGGAACCACTACAGTGGCTGACAGAAGGTCAAGGCAGTGACAACTTTGTGGGTGACCTTCCTGCGCCCTGGTCAAAAACAGTGCCCTCTCAGCATCCCAAGCGCAGGCGACTTGCCTTGCGACGCACGACTTATGAACAATGCGGAAATGCGAACGCGACGCGGCCCGCGCCCTTCCCAAGAGAAGTTGTCATAGAGCTGTCCCAAACCAGCATCCTGGCAAGTGGGCAGCCCACTCAGAAGCTGCCAAAGGCACTTTGACTCTCTGGCAAGTTGAACAGAATATCATTTATTTTCAAGAGGGGATGAAGGAAAGCCCTGGTTCCAGCCGAAATGCCACTCCGCCGACCACTCGCTTTTCACACTGTCAAGACTTCATCATATCCAGGCCCAATATCCTTCAAACAATTGTTCAGGTCTCTTTTTTCTTTCGCTTTTTCTATTCTTCTTTTTCTTCTCTCTCTCTCTCTCTCTGTCTCTCTCTCTCTCTCTCTTTCTCTCTCTCTCTCTGTCTCTCTGACACTCTGTCTCTCTCTCTCTCTCTCTCTCTCTCTTTCTCTCTCCCCCCCCGTCTCATCTCCAAGGCCAGACCAAAAGCAAGCACCCTTGCGATGCATGATCCCAACAAATTTTGCCGGTCAGCTTGTCGGACACACGCACAAATGGTCTTGGGGCAACCTTGAAATTTGCATGATTCGAGAAGTTTCACAACCATGTTGTCATGCAAATAACAAAGTTTTCTGACATAACCATGTGAGCGCCCCAAATCCATTGACTTTGGATGACTTTAGGCTCTACCAACATCGCTATAAAGCTTTGTTTTGCATGGGCCTCTCTGCAATTGCTCCAAGAGTTTCTCTCAAAGTAGGCCAATCGGAGTTTGTGGGCGCCGTTCTGCGGCCAGCTGGTCACGGCCTGCAGGAAGATCACGCTGAAGGTGCCCAAGACAAAGAAGACCGACCTCGCGGAGGAGGAAACATGTGGGTGCTAAATCCGGACTCCCCATGGTTGGTTTCCCTTCGTTTCCCTTCGACCACCAATCGAAAGGGTTGTGTCTTTTGAGAACCCCCCCATATTTCCCCCTAAACACATCAACGCACGCAGAGGAAATTCACTTAAAATTGACCCCAAAAGTGATGTTTAAAGCAAGCATAACAAGAAATAAAGGGACCCCCTGCAAATAGGGGCTCTGGATATTAAGCATACTACCGCTGGGCATCCTTTTGGGACAATTGCAGCAGGCATGGGCTAGTTAATATCATGGAAACTGACAGGAAGGTGTGGCATAACTACTCTTGTTGTTGAAAACATGGCAAACGCAAATTTGCCTGTCTGCCAATGCCTTCAACAATGCCTTCAAACACCGAAGTGATTCACCAACCAGTTGCACATGAGTGTCTTTTCTGGACAACCTTGGCTTGGTTCTTCCCAGTAGTCAACGTTTGGGCTGGGACCTGTCTTTGGTACGCTGAGACGGAGGACAAACCCATTCGTAGGACAGACCCAGGGGTCACTAGAATTCTCCGAAGGACATTCATGGCCCTCCGTTGAAGTCCAACCCATGGGGAACAAATCGGACCCAAGGAGATGGAAACACAAACGAGGCCCTGGCAAGTGGAACACAAACAGCGCGGATGCCACTGCAGAGCTTTCCTGACGAGGAAAGCAACCCCAGCCAGGCTATGCCCAAAGCCAGGCTGCAACTTTTGGGTCACAAGGCTTTTGGGCCCGGCGCTGCAACTGAGGCAAGATGCAATCACCAATGGACAGCCAATGAAGGCTCCTCAGCCGAACCAGCAAGCTGCACATACTTTCTTGACAGGCCGCATGCCACTCCAAGTCTTGAATGAACACTCAGGCTGAAGCAATCAGCATGCCAATGAAAAGCCACGATTTTTCACCCCTTGTTGATTACCAAAGAACCGTCCTTTTTTTTCCGAGGAGATCCTTCTGTTTTGAGCATGGCAACCTCTGATCAATAGATCACTGCCTTCGAGTCTCCAAGGCGCACAGCATTCGAACGAGTCGCAAACAAAATCATGGCTCTCTTCCCAACTTCCAATAGACCACCCATGATTGTGTCAGTTGCTCAAGCGTGAAACTGCCATAAAGGGAAACCAAAAGCAAATCAGTCAATTGGATTGACACCTGTCTTTCCCATCCCGACCCATTGTCTGACCCGTTTTTACCTCTTGGCATGTCCACGACAAACAAATGGCTAGGGCTTGCAAAACATGGGCCTTATGTAGGTTTGCGGACAGCCGGGAAACTATTTACGGGAACGAAAGGGGGTTTAACAGTCAGTTGGGAGTCAAAAAGCAAACAGAAGTCGAAAAGGGGGCGCTCAGCGAAAGCTGTCTCCTGCATGCCCATGAGCATACACGCGGCAAAGAAGCCGAGGATGCAAATGGCAGTCGGGACCTTCGCGTTGAGTACGCGACGATTCACTCCACTGTCTTACAGCCTTGTCTGGGGATTGTTTTGGAAGCGGGGAAAAGAGGGGGGAAAGGAAGAGCGTCAAAGCACCTGGACCACTGGTCAAAGCAAACAAAGAGAAGGATCGAGAAGCTTGATTTAGATCTGATCAGTCTGCGTGATCATGGCAAACAGCATCCTGGGCAAACTGAGCTATGGGAACCTAATTGCCGCGAAGGCTGATTCCCGCCATTTGCTGCCTGCCTTTCAAGTGCAGCATGCCAGGTCTGAATCCCTGAGTGCGCGGCGCTCTCGATCCCAGCGAACATAGGAGAGCACTTCAAGTAGTCGGCAGCACTCACTGAAGAAACCACCCCTGTGGCTGTGTACCTTAGCCACTGGCAGCTTTCTCCCACACGCTCATGAGAAAGCCAATGCTTCGTCATGGTGACGGTTGTGGACATGTTCTGTGCCACAGTGGGACCACCGCTATGACCAGTTTTATAACTCCGAAGGGGATCTTTACGTCTGAGGAATGGGCGACAGGATCGTCAGGCACGCAGCCACCGAAGCTGTCCTGGTGCGGCAAGGAAGGTGGTCTAGACTTGCTGTTCGAGGATTGCCGAACATTCCTATGAATCACACACACAAACAAGGTGATAGAAACATAGCACGCATAACCAGGGCTCCTTACACCTCCATTCCAATATCATCACCAACATGAAATTTAATCAAGACTGCCAGAAAGCTAATGGTTGAACAACCCAAAAAGGGACTAGAGTGTAAACCGGGGTACACGGGGTCTCTCCGAATGGCAGGCTTTCTTGTTGTCCTTTACAGCCACCCCGTTGAACGCCCATAAGGACACATGGGGACGCATATCATGACAGCCAACGTCAAACAAACCCGACCCACTGCTGGGCTCCACACTGCTTGGTGGAGGAGTTGAGCAGGAGGTTGTAGATGCCCCCATTCAGGGGCAGTGCTGTGACAACCTGCATCATCCACAAATCGACTCAGCCGTGCCAACTTGTGGACAAAATGTCTTTGCGCGGACTAATACATATCATAGAACCAAATTGAAACTAGTGCCATATTTGTTCAAACAAACTGATCTCAAAGCACAGCTATGCGCCCCTCATGTAGGCACCCCTGACATATATCGTATGCCTTCATGTGTCCATAGATTGCTTCAAATCAATGGCAACCAATCGACGTAAATGGCTACTGCAACGGCGCAGCAATGAGGGGATGGGATGGGCCCTCCCCTCGCACCTCGCCATAAACGCTGCGGAAGCAGTACAAGGTTAGCGAAGACAGGAGAGTGCAAATCGGGGAGTACCTGCGCGAAGCTATCCGATTCCGCTCCATCTCAGGGGGTGTTGGGGACACTTTTGACCGGGGAAGCTTCCTGGACTTTTGCGGCCAGGGGCTTTGTTGACACTTTTGGTCATTTCCCCACGCATAGCCAACATTTTGGTGCTACTCGGGTTTGGCTGGGATTGCTGTGCAAACGCCATCCAGGGTACATACCCAAAGCACTTAGAAGCCCTTAGACTGGCAATTGTACCGGGCAGATGTTGCGAATACCTTCTTAATTGAATCGAACAGGGCAAATGCAACTGGAGCTCAGCTTCGGGGGTGGAAACAAACCGGTTCCGCCTTGAGCTCTCTTGCGTGGGAAAACTCTTCATTCAGGTCGCTTCCCGATTCCGGACTAAGAACTGATGCTTTGTCGTGGCACATGCCCAAACCCGGTGCTTGCAAGTTAACTTGCAAGGGGCTATTGCTTTTGCACTAGTGCACTTGGCTGTTGCTCCAGGCTCTGGCAAATCTAAGCAACCCTGATGTTCAGCGAAGGAAGCCACCGTGATTCACAGTGACAATGGGCGATTCCCAATCGCGCTCAACTGATCCTGTTCTTATATTTAACACCGACGAAAATGCTCTGGCAAACCATTTGGGTATGTGCCAAATTTGGGGACTCCGCAAAGTTTCGGTTTTCCTTTGGTTTTCATTCTAAACTAAAAAAACAACACATCGCACAATTTGGAGGGCCGAAGTTTGAGTCATTCGCGAGGCGGTACACTCCGGCGTTCTTGGACAGCTCGCCAACCACGTAGAAGCCTCAGGGCTGAGGCATGCCAAGCGATGTGTACTTCCTCACTGGTTCAAAATACCAGGGCTTTACAGTCCACGTTTAAACTTTCATTTTGCCACCACTAACCGAAGACAGCAAACAAAGTTCAAAGGACACCGGTTGGTTTGCACACATTGGACTTGCTACTTAAAGAAAAGACCAAGGCAAACTTGCAACACGTAGGCTGTGCAGTCTGGGACTTGAACGCGGGATACTGCTGTCGAACAGTACATGGGGTGCTTCTCCAAATTGAGATCCCCCTTTGTTTCCCATCACCATCCAAGCCCCAGGAAGGTTAGAACAAGGATCTGGAACCTAGGGAGGCAAAGGAGTCATGTCGGAGAGACACACTCACCACCCCAAAGCTCTTGAACACGGTGCGCCTTTGATCCGACACTGCTCGCTTTACACAGGAAAATCCTGGGTGTGTTGCTTGTTGAGAGTACACAATTCGGCCTGCCTGAAAGGGAAACTCAAGGAACACCCTCAATTTTGGCGGACTCTCCCCTATGAGACAGGCGCAGCCCCCCTTCCATATACATTACTCCGCGGATGGTGATCCCGCCCGAGGCGAGGCGCAGCTGGCCGTGATGTCATTGCCGCAAATGGCCGTGCTCGGCAGTTCCCCTAACTTGTGCGGATCCTCCTCCTCGCGGATGCGAGCGCGTGGAAAGCTGGAGAGAAATCAGTTAGTGACCAGGGCGCCAAGGGGGCCAGACGTAATGTTGGGCCCTGTTGAACGTCCCCCGTTTCAAGAACAGTGGGAACAGTCGTGCGGGCCCATTAGTCTAAATCTAGTATTGCCAGACTTACTCTCAGCTTCCCAGCACTTACTTTATTTAGTATTGCCAAAGTTGCGAGACTTTCTCCACCTCAAAAAGCTTGACATTAAAGAAGACCCCCAAACAGTCCTACTTGACAGAATCACTGGCTTCCCCCCATTGTGCGACTGGCGACTGCTTGGGCTCAGCTGCCTCGGAACACCATTCAATAGCGGGTACATCCACGAGCCCGAGTGCTGCTCGGGGAGATATCCCAATGTAAGTTATTCTCCGAATGCATCCATCGACTATGATGCGCTCGCGCGATGCCACTCCTGACCAACTCTGTGGCAAGGCGCCTGAAAAGAACGTGTGTGTACTTAGGAATGGCTGGCACCTCCTTTTTTTTTCCGCTTTTTTCGTGGTTGGTAGGTCACAAGCGTGTGAGAGGAGTGCAGCTTGCAGGGCCCCGCGTACCTACCGCCAGGGAGCGTGCCGATAACGATTGTTTGAGGCAGTACGCGTGTCTGCTGCAGGATGAAGAGCGAAAGCCGCCAATCCAACTAAGTAATCTGAGAAGCGTTCTCAGCGTTGAACCAGCAGAGACTGGGGTGTGGGATCCAGACCAGCTCACGCACTGGTTGCGCCAGCTTGGGACGTGGTTTCGGGCTGGTGACCTTACCGCAACAGCGTTTTGGTGTGCTCTGGGCACGTGCCCTGCCGCTGTCCTTTCCAGCAACGCAATCCTTCAGCGCACTTTCATCGAGCTGCTCAGACACTACGAAGACGTACATGACTGCTGGGATGAGCCAGGGGCAGTTGAAACCGCAGCCCAACAACTTCAGGAGGTAGGGTTTGCGCTGCCACGGACCCTATGGGAGGCAGCTAGAGGCCCGCCACGCAACACGAGCAAGCCCAAGCCTCAATGGCTTGATTTCGCTCAGTCTGCCACGCTTGCGCAGGAGGAAGACGAGGCGATCTGCTTGGAAGCCCCTGCTGAAGTGTCCAGACCTGCGTGCTGGCCGCGCGTTGCGCAGCACCTAAGTAAGCCAACTTTCTATGTGTTGTTCTTGTGCGAAGACCAGAGACAAGCCAGTGGCTTCGAAGAAGCCTTGAATGTGTTCAGCCAGCAGCAGCCGTTTCACTTGCAATGCATTGCCTCGGATGTGTTTCGGAATGACACCTCCCAAGAAGCGCTCTGCCAGCTGCAAGATAAAGCGCGCGAAGGCGCTTTTCTCGGAGCGCACGGCGTGCCCCCCAGCTGCTCTTGGAGCGTTGCCCGTGAAAACCCGCTCCGCGAAGGAGCGCGCAGACCACTTCGGAGTGCAGCGCAACTGTGGGGGCTTCCCGAGCTGCAGCCTTGCGAGCTTTCCCAGTTAGAGTGTGGCAATCGCAGCTACCAACTCTGCACCATCCTTTTCCTTTTGGTTTGGATAAAGGGAGGCGGAGTCGTGCTGGGGCACCCGATGAGGCCCAGAAGAGCCAGCTCTGCCTCAACCTGGCTTCTGCCGCAAATTCGCCTTTGGCTTGCTCTTCCGGGTGTGTGCTTGTGCAATTTCACTCTCAAGGACTTCGGGGTAGCCATCACTCAGCCAATGAGTTTCTTGCTGGCCGGTATGCCTACTTTGCGCTTGAAGTTGCAAGAGGACCAGGTAGAGTCACACTTGTTGACGACGCAAGCCGCGACGAAGGCTTTTGCTTCAGCATTTTGCGATTTAGCCTTGCAAGCTTGGGGCACCTTTGCACCTTCGTAACTCCCTGAGACGCCAACTTTGAGGCGCTGGCAGTCTCGGAGGTGGATGGGGGCGGGGGTCTGAAGGTTTTGTGGTTTTTTTTTTTGCAAGTGCTGTCTGTCGCCCCAGGCCTCAATGAGTTTCACATGGCGCGCGCTGGTACGCTCAAAGTCCGCCAAACAGGAAACAGGAGATTGAAAGGAGATAAGTGAGCAACTAGTGTGTGACAATTCCGGCAACTGCATAGATCTTTGGTCCGACTGGCTCTTTGATGGGTGCGGCAGGTCAGTCCTCGTGTTCGGTCGCTTGTGCGATTTGCTTTGGAACATCTGTAATTCCGAAGGTTCCGCCTCGCAGCGCAGGGCAAGTCGGTGGACATGACTAAAGTGGCCATGGCATCCCGCAAAAGCATGAGCAGAAGGCTTAGAACCCTAAACTGGGGTGTTCCTGTCTGAGTTCGCACCTTCCTTTAAACCAGGATACTCAACTTGAAAATCTCAATGCCATAGCGGCTTGAAGATGTGGCATTCACCTGGGATTTGATCTCGCACCCCGGCCCAAGGCATCAAAGAGCACCTTACAGTAAAGGAAGCTTACAAGGGGAGGTGCACCTTGCATCCCGCTTTTCGGAAACCCCACCTGGCATTGGCGAATGTAAGACAAAGACATCAGTGTGAAAACACCCCCTTGAGTTTGTCTCCCGATGGCACCCTGCACATGGATGGTTCCCCGTTGATTCCTTTTATCACAGCCTCAAAAAGGGTGCCCTCCAAAAACATCTGTTAGGGACCCTCGTGGGCAGCAGGTTTTGTTTTGGTTCCCTTAAAAGCCATTCACTTGTCCAAGCATAGGGACCCCCTGATCATGTCTAGTTTCCTGTTGGTGCCCTTCCCTTCAAACACCATTCAAAACGCAACCGCTGCTGTCAAATGCCATCTGAGCCGGCGACCCATGCGTTCTGACGGGTTCTCAAAGCCTCAAGAGGAGCTCGGAGCATACTTGCAACCAGTTGGCCTCCGGGACGAAGGACTTGCCCTTGTTTGGTTTGGATTTAAGGGGACACCTATGCCTAACAAGGGCAAAATCAATAAGACACGGGAAAATTGAGGAAATACGCTGGCGTCACTTTGGAAAATCCTCGACTGGCGAGAATGGGGTGTCGCTCGCAAACCGGGATTTACCTTTTGACCTTTTGACCTTTTGACCATTTCCCTTTGTTTAGTTGAATATCAAGGTTGGGTCCGTTACCTGTGAGACCATTCAGCGTTTCCAGACACCTCGGCCCGGGCCACATCACTGATGCTTAGCAAGCTTCACCCTGTCAGCATGAGTGTCAAGCTCATGGCGTCTTTTGGGAAATGGAACGTACCCCACCCTATTTTAGTACTACAATCGGCGCTTGCGGCTTATAGTTCGTCCTGACTCTCTTGCCTGTTGCTTCGATGCTTTCCCTTTGACTGCGCGTGAAACGATCACTCGACACAACTCTGGGATGCTGGCCGAGCAAGGCATCGTCCATGGTTTGCTTCCGGCATTCTTGGAGAAATTTGGATGCCGGCCTAGACAAAGGCCGGCTCTCGCAATACAAACTTTTCGAGATGCCCAAGCCAGGCCTTGTTCGTGACCTGAAAATCAAAGGCTCTCTTCCACTAAAATGGAACCCAAGGTCCCTTAAGACCTATGGTCACGGGCCCAGTCGCCCAGTCGCCCAGTCAGGTCCTGTGGTGGCTGAGAGGGTAACCTTTCGGAACCTTCACAAAAACTGAGGCCAGGAAGTGAAGCCTATTTGCCAACTCGGTTAAGCAACTTGCCCACTATTCTTGAATGAGACGGGCGTAGCCGGGCTCCCCTACTAGGTCCTCCAGTAGAGAGGTTAGAATAAGGGTACCTTTTTTTTCTGTAGTCTATTTTAGTACAGGAACCCTCCCCCAAACAAGGTGTAAAAGGGCACTACTGGGGGACCTAGACTATTTGCCCTGCAACCATCACCACGAGCGAAGCAAACTCGCTCATGGCAAATGACATGTCCGACACACTCACGGGCCTGCCGCCCAGGCATCTCTCGTGCAGGCTTGTCCTGGTGGGCGCCGCAAAAAGCTTTTCGCAGGCAAAATCACCTCTCCCTACGCCGACCGCCTTGAGACAGACAAAAACCAGGATTGGACATGTCCCGCACCCCACCTGCCAAGTACTTCATAGGATATTGCAGAGCAAAGCAATCAAGTCGCCTGTAAGCAGGGACAAGACTCTTGAGTCTTTTAGATCAGTTGGCTGAACATCCGGGGAACTGCCAAACGATCTCGAGTTTGAATCTCGGCCCTTCGAGCGAACGAGCTTGAGACATCAGGACCCCTGAAATGGCCTTGGGGTTGTGCTTTTCTGAGGGAGCCTCATGGTTTTTCTGGGAGGGAAACCAGGAAGCCTCCCAGCGAGTCACATGTACTTTGACATGGGCGCAAAGAGAAGCATGCAGGAAGCAAAAACAACAAGCCAACCGCTCTGCAAAATCGAAATCAAACTTTTTGTGTGCGTTAGTCTTTCATCTTCAGAGCGAAAACGTTGAGTATTGGCTCAAATGGCTGAAACGCATGATTGCCAGTATCCAGGAGCCGAATCTTGAGAAACTTGCTTTTCCCGTCACCGAGATCCGGACATGACAGATGCTTTCTTCTTCTCGAGAGCCGCCTGATGTTTCTCAAAGCTCGCGCCAAAGAACAGGGTTGCTCCCAAATCCACAGGGTTGGTTGCATATATCCAAAGAGCAGCACATTTGCCCTCTTGTGGTTTGATCATGTAGAATTGGCTCGGAACAAGCCGGACCAACATGTTTGAACGATTACCTCCCGTCTTACATAGAAGCTAGAAAGGGATATCAGGCCTCCAAGGGAAAGTGAGGGAGTCTATAGTTCAACACCCTCAACTCGATATACAGTACTTCAATGTCTTTGCAGCCTGCCAACTGCGCTGAGGGAAGGACTTGCTACAAACTCGGACTTGTTTGCCCCGTCAAATACTTCTCTGGCAACGGTGGGGTGCTTTGCCTCGTATTTTCGAGGTTGAGATGCTTGATTGGAGGTGTGCCCCGTTAAACAGCTATGTTTGAAAACGTGTACATGATTGTGTGTGGGTGTGTATATATAAATATGTGTATATATATATATGGTACAGCGTTGCCAGCCCCCCCCCCTCCCCCCCCAATGGTCATGGGTCAGGCAAGTACCCCCCCCCCCCCCTGTGGTTGTGGTCCTGTGGTTGGGTTGTGGTGGTTTAGGGTTGGTTTAGAAATGGTTTAGGGTATATTTAGGGTGTATTTAGGGTGTATTTAGGGTTAGTTTAGGGTTGGTTCAGGGTTGATTTAGGTTGATTTATGTTGATTTAGGGTTGGTTTAGGGTTGGTTTAGGTTCAGAGGTGTACGGTTTAGGGTTTGGTTTAGGGTGTATTTAGGGTTGGTTTAGGGTTAGTTTAGGGTTGGTTTAGGTTTAGGGTTTATTGTTTAGGGATTGGTTTAGGGTGTATTTGGGGTTAGTTTAGGGTTGGTTTAGGGTTAGTTTAGGGTTGGCTTATGTTGATTTAGGGTTGGTTTAGGTTTAGAGGTCTACGGTTTAGGGTTTGGTTTAGGGTGTATTTAGGGTTGGTTTAGGGTTAGTTTAGGGTTGGTTTATGGTTGGTTGCGGGTTGGCTTGTCCTGGGGGTGGGGGTGCCGGGGTGTCGGGGTGCGAGTTCAGGGGGTCGGGGTGGGGGTGGGACCGTAGGTGCCAGGATCCGGGGGCTCGGGGTCTCGGGCCGGGGGGGGGTCCTGGGGGACCATACCATATGGGGGGGGGGGGGGGGGTAGCAACACGGAACACGGGACCATATATATATTCACATACATGTCATAATGAAAGGAGGGAAAAACAAAGCAATACCGCACCACCACTTGAAGACATGCCTCTGTATGTATGATATATATATATATATATATATATATTATATATATAAAACAATTACACAGGGTTTGTTTGTGTCCTTTCCGTTTGGTCACCAGTCAACATTGACAACACTTTATCAACCCCTCTTCTACCTCCCTGCGTCCTTTAAATGTCTGGCTGGTGGCCCTCATGGAAACAAACTGCCTTTCCGATTCGTGGAAAATGAACTCATCTCTCCCGTGACAGATTGTAAACGCTAAGGCAAGCCACCTGACAGGTGTAGATGCATATAGTACATGATAACGTGATCACAAGTAGATGATACTCTAGTGTTTACGTCTGGGCACAGGTCAAAAAGAACCACAGAAACACATCCAGCATCCAGTGACTCAAACCGCCCCAGGGCGCAGACTTCTCTGCGTGTTCTGACTGCAGCTCCGAAGCCCCCGCGGCTCTGAGGTGGGGACATCTTGATTCGTGGTCTCCTCCAGGCTGAAAAAGGTTTGCCTGCGTTTGCCTGGCCGGAACCGCACCCACTGTTGTTGCTTCCAGTCACCGGCAATTTGATTAAACATATGTTCCCGCAGCCAATGGTTGGTTGGGGATGCTTCGGCTTCCCACCCCAACACAATCCGGTCTGCTTGACACCCTCTTGCTTTTGGCACCCAAGCCAAAACAAGCCTGTTTTCTATGTCCCTAGAAGCGCAAATCCAACTGGCTCCGCCCTTTTGCAAACTATCGATTGTGTCCAAACCAGGGATCAACGTTGCCATCAATGTGGGGGGTCCTTGTTAAAAACGTACCACGCAGGGTCCTAGTTAAACATTGTGGAAATCAGGTCGTATGGAGAAGCCACCTTCCATGAACTGACACTACATGTAGGACTTCCTTTTTCCCTACTGTAGATGAAAACAGGGTGTGTCCAGTGGGCCCAATGCAAAGTACAGATTGGCAGTCTCCTCGTTCTGTTCACCCAACTTAACCTGGACTTCGAAATACTGTCAGCGCACATCAGTCAACCTGCGTTTGCAGCACAGGGGCGCTCCTCTAAGTGAAACGGAAGTAACAATAGAATCTGCAAAACACGGACCCAAATTCGCCAAAGAAACGAGTGTGTCACTGTCAAATGAAATGGCTGGCGCAAAAAAGAGCTCGGTGCGCTTGCCATGGTCTGTTCAAGTGACCTGAGGAGTCTGCAGGAATCTCGATCCTTGGGTCGCACAATGGGGGGACGGGGGGAACACAGGTCCATCTCCTTGTGGTTTCCTTCCCCCCCCGTAGCTTCATAGGGAAATGAAACGTCGTGGCTCATTTGGCAGACTCGCCCCCAGTCTCCAAAGGCTCTATGTGGGCTGATTGCAACTGGTATCCTCAACCCACAGCGTCCTTGGGCATTCATACATCTCACCTGCCACTCTTTTCTCGTTGAGTTCTATTGAAAGGGAAGGAGCCCCAAACAAATAAACAGCTGCCACAACACAAATCCCTTGTCTCACTGATAAAAACAAACAAACGAAAACACACCCCTTTAATTTGCTTAAGCCCCCTGGAGAGAATATTTCCAGTAGTCATAGATTCCCTTTAAAATCAACAGGGGAAATAAAACAATATTCTTAAGCCAATGAAAGACCACCCAAGTGCCAATGGCTGCAGGGGCTTGGCTGAACTGCGCGGGCCTGATGCAGTGGGGGACATGTCCATGGTATCTGCGCTTCCGTCAGATGTCGCTTCGCGGACACCCGGGCTACGCAGGATCTCAGAAGTATACGCTATGTGCTGGCATGGCATTGGTAATTATGTATATCATTATTGCTTTGCGCTGTGTGCTTCTTCTGTGGACAGCCCAGATCCCACTGTGTGCTACCGCTGGCAGGTGGCAGGTGGCAAAAGACCACGTAAACGCATGCGATCACATGCTAGCCTCACAACGGGTCGATGTTGCCAAACAGGGCCTCCGAGGATTTGTTGCCAGCCCAGTGAAAAAAACAAAACACAAGCAGCCTCAAACCGAACCACGCCTTCGAAGGTGTTTTTCAAGGAAACAAAACGGACACCCCGTTTTTTGGGGTAGCTTTACATGGATACAACTGATAGACATCTCTCTCAATTGCAACCCGGTATGTGCTCCTGAGAAAAACGCCTTGACAACCAGAATGAGGCTCCCTCAGCAGCCATTCTTCTTTGTTATGGAGACCCTCTTTGGGGTGCATCTGCTTTGAGGGAGGCTAGGGAAGTATCATTGCGCGTCCCTTCTGGATTCAAATCAATCTGGGGATCAGGTTTGAGATCCCGCGTCACATGGTCGCAGCTGTTGTGCTGATTGCTTCCTTCCCAGTTAGAATGAACTAGGGCCAAAACCAAGGTGCTCGATCGCGCAGTGTGGGAAATTTCTATGGACCAAAGGGGGGGAAATCAAAAGGCTCAAAGCAAGTTGTTGGGTCACTGAGTCGGGGGAATTCATGGACGGGTTGCTGACCCTATTTGCCAAAATTGAAAACTTCTTGGGTGATTGTCACGGCTGCCTTCTCTCTGTTGTCAAACTTCCTCATTTTCATGATTCTACCTTATCAATCCCAACAGGGTGAGAGGGGGCGCGTTGACCATGGCGCAAGCTTTTTCCTTCTCTTCAAAAGAGGAATGCGAGGGGAACCACAGATGCTGAGGGTTCCCCACATGGCGGTTGTCTGAAGTTCCATCTTTGCCAAAAACCAAACAACTTTCGCGAGGTTCGTCGCGGAGTTTTTGCGGGGCAACGCATAGGACCAAGCGGCCTTCCCCTTCATATCTCAATGCAGGGACCTTTCAGACGACTTCTTGGAGGAAACCCCATATGGCCATGCCCCCAGTGAACATCCCAATCCCCACTAAAATAGACTAAACTGGGTGGTGCACCTACCCCAAAATGGTACCATTGGTTTTGACCCACAACCAATAAGAATCGGATCAAATGCCTGAGTTGATCCACGAGAGAGTGAAGCAAAGAGGCGAAGAGGCGCCATTTTGTGACCGTGAGACGACTGCAGAAGTCGGAGGTGAGTGAAAGGGAGGCCTGTTTTTGTTTTTTTTAAACCAACAAGCTGAGGCCCATTAGACCCAAATGCTTGGACGAACAGAAATGCCAAGCAATGTCGTTGTTTCACCAATTAGACACAAGTATCCCGAACGGTTTGGTCCTGAAAACGGGACCCCCAGCGGTGCAACCCTGACTGTGAAACTCCGCCCTGCGGACGGGCATCCCAGTCCCAGGTTCAGAAACAAGCAGCCCGCAGCTCAAGCATCCAAACAAAAACAAGGATCTGAGGGGTGCTTTGCTCACCTACTTGCCCAGTGGGAAGATGCCCAGTTCTCCATTCATCCCCAAAAGAAGGGATGAACACCGCAACACCTGTTGCTTGGTTCATGTACGGAAATCCCAAAAGGAAAAGACCATATGGCTTGAGTCGGGACCCGGCGCTTGCCATGGATTCAAGTTATGGGCACCAGGATGCGCTCCTCTGGCTTCACCAAGGAGCCGTGAGCGAGCTCTCAGAACTCGCTTGAAAGCAAAGAGATGAGCAATGGCGAGTGATGCTTCACACACAAAATGCTTAAAGTCGATCCACCGGTCTTTCATGATAACTCAGCTATGGTTGAACACAGGTCAGCCGCTGCTCACTTGGGCTATGCACAATGCAAGCGCTCAGGCGCCCTCTTGCGTGCTTCAGGAATCGTTGTTCTGCAGAGCCTGATATGGCCCACCAGCTCCTTGACCCGGGCCTTTCTGTTCAAAGAAAACGGCTGAGCCATAGCCGAGACCCAGTGCCAAAGGATCGTTCTCCGAAGAAAGCAAAACACGCGCAAGAGGGGGCTTTCTGTGCTTTAAGCCGGGAATCTCCCCGGACGGGTAGGCGAACCTGGATTAACACGGCATGTTGCCCCAAATCGGATGCTCTCAGTTGAATCAACCAGGGGTCTATTCATGGGTTCCCATTACTGCCAAGAGCCCGGGTTCGCTTTGAGGTTCACAAACGCTGGAGCTATTGACTATTGACATTGGCCAGCATTTGGGACCCAATGCATTCCAGCGGATGTTGCGCACACTGTCATGTCCGTTTGGTAGACATTGTATGCACTTCGCATATGTCCAGCAGCCATGATTTCAGGGTGCAGCAAATATCATAGCCTCCTCATTGCCAACTCACCTGGTGAGAGGAACTTCTCACATGGCCTTCGGGGTCTTTTCTGACCAAGGTGAAAAGACACTCTTCAAGAACCCCCTTGCTTACCCCCAAAAATGATAAACATGAAACACTCGGCTTCCAGTTTGTGCCTCCAGTTTGTTCGCCTTTCGAAGGAGCCGTGCTGATTGAGCCCCCTTTTGCGCCATGAGTACAACTCACCAAACATGATGCTGGTAGGCTCGCACATCTTCACTTCCAGGTGAGTTGTTTGCAACTCGTGCAGATCAATCATCCCATACTCTTGGCCCAGAAGGAGTAGAATCTCAAGGGTGTTTCCTTTGCACCGTTATTGGGAGCAGCTTGGCATACCTCCGCGAAAATAACTACGCTTGCAGGGCCCATGCAACCCTTTGACGACACTACTTTGATCAACATCTTCTGGGCAAACTGAGCGCTGATCATTTGGGAGCCAGGGCCTTTTCCTTTTTCACCAAGCCGAACTCACATTTACCTTTCCAAGGTCGTAAGGCAAAAGGGACAGAAGACAGGGCTCGCCTTTGGGTTCTCTAACTTCCGCAAGTCGTCAGACGTCTCTCACCGGACGCTGGTCAGCCCGTACGCTGCAAATCGACATAGCCCCCAAACTGCAAACAGGGGACCCGCAGTCCGGAAGACAAAATAAATCAACCGTCCAAACTTGCTGCAGGCCGTTGTCCAAAAGGCCTGCCTTAATGCGGCCTAACAAGGCCTAGATGGCAGTGAACCCATACTTGCTCCCCACAAATTAACATGTAACCTAGAAGCGAGTTCTTGCTAAGAATCTCCTTTTCAGGGGAGCACCTCTTTCATAGCAAGTCCCTTACTAGATGTCCCCGCTACTTCCATGTCAAATGATTTGCAGCGAAGTACCTCTGTCATCCCCTCACGGAGAGGCTCTGCCGAGTTGCCATCTCTTCCCTGCGCTTCTTCATCCGCACCAGGTGCCCCTCGAACCTGCGGGACCCCTCTGAAATACTGTGGATGGACAAAATCCAATACCCACTTTGAAACCAGGGAAAACCCATTATGTTTGTTGGTATTTACAAAATCGATCATCATTTCATTCTGTTTATTTTTTTAAGTTGCAGGATTTCGTCCATCCACAGTAGTGGTCCCCTAACACTCAGTTGCCCAAAGGACGTGGAATTAGAAGGTTAACCATTTGGGGGTCACAAACAAATGGACCAGTGGAAAAAAGCAAGAGGTCTCCGGTCGATTCGCTTTGCATCATGCTTCCAAATTGTATGCCAATCAAATTATTGGACAACCCACATGATCTATGCGACCAACTCCCTTTTGTGAGCTTGCAAAAGGCAGCACAGGATGCCACCTTGCAAAAACGGTCGCGCAAGGCGTCCAAAACCTAGTACCCCTTATATAGATGCAAAGGCGCACCCAAAATAAACCAGCCAAATAAAAGGTCCCCCCCCAATTTAAAGGGTTCCCGTCATAAGTCTCCTCGAATTATGGAAATGTGATCCATATTGGATAGTCCCTTATCTTTCAGGCCCAAGTTAAAATCCCATCGGTCCCACCGACTCGTACATTCGCAAAGCGAGGCAGAAGCGCCAGGCCGCGGCGTTGCTGGCTTCGTCGTCCGTGATGGTCGAATGGTCCAAAGACCTGCCGTTGGCTTCGCGCCAACAAAAGCCATGGGAAAATTTGTGCGGAAAGATACAGGCCAAGCACAAGGGCATACAACATAGGAAAATACGTTAAATGGGTACATCAACAACCATAGGCTCATGATACATAGAACGTGCTCCGAAACAAACGTGGGCTAATAGCAAATACATACGGGGTTCATCTAGAGAAGAGAACCAATGCAATTTCCTTCAATAGATAACTTCCTGCTAAAAAGGCTTGCCACCCCTGAGTAGTACTTGATCTGATCCGAGGTTAACATTAATCAGGAGAGCATGCCACCTGACCGAAGCTTGCACCACGTTGCCAAGCATAAAACAACCAGTACTCCTCCATTTAGGCACCCGCGTACTGTATATGGTTCTTTCTACTAGTAGTTTGCTGGTTACCCCGGCTCAGTGCCTATTGAAAATGCTTGCAAAAGGGCGTATGTGTCTTGATATTCCCAGGTAGCACCCTCTGACTGAGCCACAGTATCTGTGGCTTCGTCGCCCCCGATTGTCTGCCCAAACCGGCCTAGGTCAACTGTTCCCAGCAACAATCTTCCCAAACTACTTCTTACCCCAAACAACAACCCCCCCCTCTGTAAGCTATACAAAAGGATTGCAGCGTACATGACACCTGCACAGTCCCTGTGAAACCGCTTGTAACAATTTGCAACCACTGATTTTGGAGTAGCCCCACTTGGGGTATGTAAGTCATGGTTCTGGGGGTTAAAATTTAGTCAGTCCCCCATGTCCAAAAACCCAAAGTGAGCACGTCTCAACTGCTCGTGCCTCAGCGATCCAAGCGCACCCACCACGTAGACCCTATAGATCCTCAGGTGGGTTGAACACAGAAGTGGGACCTAGCTACTAGCGAGTAAGTTGGCAGATTCAAGTGTCATTGCTTATCAGTCGTCCTCAAGTCTTTGTGGGTCTCAAAACCGGCGCCTTATCCCTCCATTCCAACCACTTCGAGTAGTTTCGGTGCCCAAATCGACGGTTGGATGTGCACCTGGCAGGTACTCGTAGAACACGACAAAAAGGGTCTTGCCCCCCCCGATTCATGAGCCGAAGGTGTACACTCCCAGAGTCTGGCAGGGGCCATGAAACATGACCCTTTTCCGAAGGAACCTCCTTTCGAAATTAGGGCTTTTCTGGGCTCCAGCAAATCGTCAGCGGCCAAATGGGGCCAATACGTCTTGCCGGGTTTACGGATGGGGTCTGGACTTTGAATCTCGGTGCACCACCAAGGAACCGAGGTTGCAAACCAACCCCATTGGTGCCAGAAAATTGTCGGGAACCATAATTACCCATCCTCTTGTGGTTCCCTGCAGGAAAACTAACCATCAGCATACCTGCTAACATGAAACCTGCAAACTCGAGGTCTCTGCTGCGCCACCTTCCTTCTTGAGGGACCCTTTGCTGAATTCCATGTTGGTGGAAGATGCGGGTTATTGATGGTTGTTGCGGATTCCTTCGAGGAGATTGAACATCGCTTGCTTGATTGTTGTTTCTACCATCTCTCGTCGCTCTTCATGGAAATTGACAAATATCAGGAAAGGTTGCTTTAAACCATGACCTTGTCGTTTCCTTCGGAAAATCAAACAACCAACTGTGGTTTGTGCCCAGGGCTCCTTCAACCGAGACAAGCCTCACATCTAGGTGGGGCTTTTTATGGAGTGCCCCTTTTTGGTGGTGAAGGGAAACCAAAGGAACCACCTCCATTTGTTGTTGGGGGGTCCCATGCCCATTGTAAGACACATCTGAGGCAAAGACTTGTTCGACTCGATGGGGTTCCCATTCATAGTCAAAGACAGGAGCTTCGGCATCTTCCTGAGAGGAGCTTCGGCTCATCCCCGCACCGCACCCACTGTGCAAGGGAAGCATGCCGAGAAAGACCCTTTGGGAGTGACCCCTCCTTCCCAAAATTGAACGGTGGGGGATTGAAGGCTTGCAGTAGCTGCCCAAAGCACATAAGGTGCGGTCAACATATCCAGCGGTCACTGGATTATTTGGGAACAACCTGGGGGGACGCACTAAACTTCCCACCAAACCCAGAAAACGTACTACGTAACACTATGTCATTCTCCACTGCGCTTTATGATAATCTCATACTTTGACCGTGGCTCGCATGAAATAAGCGCCTCGCCTTTTTTGGATGCTTTTTTGGGTGCCATCACTCTAGAGCTGGCCACCATGTTTCACCTCCAAGGGTCTGGGCATCAAAGGTGATCATTGGGAACCTCCAGCCAAACACTGGAAAACTAAAGGCAAGGTCGGTTTCGGGGCTGGTCATCAACTCCATTCTGGGACCTCATTTGCGCCATCAAAACTGAGGATCCTTGAACTCTGCGCCCAACTCCCCCCCTCCCATTTTAGCGTGCATGCCGCAAGGGAGCAGGTCTTTCAAGCATGGGGCCTTGAGGAGGTTTTCAGGATGGTACCGGGGCCCCACTACAAGCCTTGATTCTGCGAGGCCCTGGTATATTAAGGCTCTTGTGAGAGGCTTACAGCTGGGGTGCCTAAAAATCATTGGAAGAGTGTTCTAGAAACCATTCACTTCACGCAGTCCGACTGAACCATTGCCTATACACCGGGAAAACAAAACAAGATTCAGGACCGTTCTGGAACCCTTGTGGCCAACATAGCCAGCCAAATGTGGGGTCCTTGAATTTGAGCTGCCATAATACATTGCCCGTGTTGCTGCTTTGGCAAGGGAGCAGTGCCGACCTCTGCGTAACGACCTATTGAGCCAAGGTCATACAGTGGGAAATATCTCGAAAGTGGGATTCAGAATTCGCTCAACAAACATTTAACATGGGATTCATAATTATGCATTCGAACCTTGAGATGGTGACGGCACAATCTGAGACACCCTTCAAACAACATGACACTCAAACTCTGTTGAAGGATCACTTGCCGCCCTGAGCAATTCACCTGTGGCAGCAATGGGGCCAACAAAAACCTATTTGACTTCTCGTAAACCTCTTGCCAAACCGTATCAAGTCCGGAACATTGGCCGAACCCTTCGTGTGGGGCAGTTCACTGGAGCCGGCCTCAGTCGATCTACTGCCGCGAGCCTGGCAGAGTCTATCCGGGGAATGGTTTGACCTCATGAAACCCGAAATGTTGACCCAGGATGAATACATCCGTCCCATTATTAGGGGGTGTTCCCTCCAAAAGTGATGAATCCCCACCAAAAGGGGACACCACCCCTATTTATCGACCAGGGGTTTATACCTGCAAAATCCATAGACCGACCGCAACTAAGACCCGAATGGATGGTTTCGCGGTTGCCCTCTTTGGACCGTAGCAAGGCCACCAGGGCCCTTGAAGCCCTGGTTCAAAGGCTGATCACCCGGTCCAACATGCCGCGGGCGTTGCACTCAAACACACGTTCCAAAGAAATCACTGTGTGCTCCGGGGCACGTGCTTTGGCCATGCTCCATTTGAAAGGGGGGACCACCTTCTACCCCTATACTTGGGCAAGTACCAGGCTTATCCACTGTGATTCATCCGGAACTATATGAGCACTGGCCGATATTCAGCAGGCGTGCTTTGACATTGGAACTTGACAACGACCATGATGGGGGGCTGGGGGGCTTCTTAGTGTCGCCCAATTCCGATGGAAGGGTACACTATGACATATCAATTCGGAATCGGACGAATTGGACGCACAAAGCTTTCAGTCAGCTTAGTCTGTAGTCTAACCTTTCCTGAGAAGTTATCCTTTGGGTCTGCGCAAAATAGGGCAGGTACACAACCTGCAGTTTTAGAGAGCAACCCTGAAGACTTGGTGTGGTTGGTGGACGTGCTGGGGACCGTGGCTAGCATTCGCTCACGGAGTCACGAAGGTACATGTACAGTCATGACCACTCCCGTGTTGCCAATTCTTGAAAAAACAACAATACGTATATATGAGCAGCGGACGAAACACTTTACTTGGCCCTAGTACTTCTTTGAATGTTATCGTTTTTGGGGGAGACCTTATCGTTTTACAGTGTTTTCGAAATTTGGCAGATCTGGCTCGAAAACTGCGTCCTTGTAGTACAAGTCTAGTACACGAAGTACACTTCCGCATCTCCAGCTCGAAAATCGCAACTTTGTAGTACAATTCTAGAACACGAAATACACTTCTGCATCTCCCGCTCGAAAATCGCAACTTTGTAGTACAAGTGTAGTACGCGAAGTACACTTCCGCAGAGCCAGCTCGAAAATCGCAACTTTGTAGTACAAAGTGCACTTCCGCAGCTCCAGCTCGAAAATCGCAGCTTTGTAGTACAAGTCTAGTAAGCGAAGTACACTTCCGCATCTCCAGCTCGAATCGCAACTTTGTAGTACAAGTCTAGTGCGCGAAGTACACTTCCGCAGCCCCAGCTCGAAAATCGCAACTTCGTATTGTAGTACAAGCCTAGCCCACGAAGTGCACTTCCGCAGCTCCAGCTCGAGAGTCGCAACTTTGTAGTACAAGTCTAGTACGCGAAGTAAACTTCCGCAGCTCCAGCTCGAAAATCGCAACTTTGTAGTACAAGTCTAGTATGGGGAGTACACTTCCCCAGCGCTCCAGCTCGAAAATCGCAACTTTGTAGTACAAGTCTCGTACGCGAAGTACACTTCCGCGTCTCCAGCTCGAAAATCGAAACTTTGTAGTACAAGTCTAGTACGCAAAGTACACTTCCGCATCTCCAGCTCGAAAATTGCAACTTTGTAGTGCAATCCGAGTATGCGAAGTACAATTCTGCATCTGCAGCTCGAAAATCGCAACTTTGTAGTACAAGTCTAGTAAGCGAAGTCCACTTCCGCATCTCCAGCTCGAAAATCGAAACTTTGTAGTACAAGTCTAGTACGCGAACTACACTTCCGTAGCTCCAGCTCGAAAATCGCCACTTTGTAGTACAAGTCTAGCACGCGAAGTATACTTCCGCAGCTCCAGCTCGAAAATCGGAACTTTGTAGTACAAGTCTAGTACGCGAAGTACACTTCCGCAGCTCCAGCTCGAAAATCGAAATTTGGTAGTACAAGTCTAGTACGTGAAGTACACTCTTGCATCTCGAAAATCGCAAGTTGATAGTACAAGTCTAGTACGCGAAGTACACTTGTGCATCTCGAAAATCGCAAGTTGGTAGTACAAGTGTAGTACGCGAAGTACACTTCCGCATCTCCAGCTTGAAAATCGCAACTTTGTAGTACAAGTCTAGTATGGGGAGTACACTTCCCCAGCGCTCCAGCTCGAAAATCGCAACTTTGTAGTGCAAGTCTAGAACGCGAAGTAAACTTCCGCAGCTCCAGCTCGAAAATCGCAACTTTGTAGTACAAGTCTAGTATGGGGAGTACACTTCCCCAGCGCTCCAGCTCGAAAATCGCAACTTTGTAGTACAAGTCTAGAACGCGAAGTACACTTCCGCATCTCCAGCTTGAAAATCGCAACTTTGTAGTACAAGTCTAGTAAGCAAAGTACACTTCTGCATCTGCAGCTCGAAAATCGCAACTTTGTAGTACAAGTCTAGTACAAAAAGTATACTTCCGCATCTCCAGCTCGAAAGTCGAAACTTTGTAGTACAAGTCTAGTACGCGAAGTATACTTCCGCAGCTCCAGCTCGAAAATCGCAACTTCTCAGTACAAGTGTCGTATTTACAAAGCACACCTTGGCAGCTCCAGCTCGAAAGTGGCGACTCGCCTTCTCGTTTTACGGTGGCCACGCAAGGGTCCCACCCTAGCTAAGTTGCAACTGCAGGAGTTATTATAGAGCCGTGTGTTAGCTAAGGGTTATCGTTTTTGGGGGAGACCTTATCGTTTTCCATGGTTTTGGCATGTGTTATGCAAAAATGTACCCCGCCTTGATAAAGTGGTCTTCGTGTGTTTTGTCCGTGGCTCATATATATTATGTGCACATCTAAAACAAGGCAGGGTTGCATACAAAAAGGGGGTTTTTAGAATGAAACATTCGCCAATGAGCCAGTTTGGGATTCCACGGCTCGATGCGACCAGGATAGGAAAGCCCCATCCGTCTCATGTAATAACCTGTTATCTGCTGTCTCTTGACATCTCCATTCATACCTTCGGTGATTAGTAAAAAGATGAGATGCAAGGATACAGACTGGAATTGGGGATTAATAAAAGCATTCTATCTCTCTATCCTCTTCATTCCCGGATCGGCCTGGTGATGCAATTCCCGTGCATGTAGAGCGCTTTGAGGTTGTGAAACCTGCGAGCAATCGACTCAGACTTTTTAGTGTGGCAGTGGATGCTCAACGGGAACCCTTCCAAACAAGCGGGAAAGAAGGGTGCCACGGGGTGGTTGGGTGGACATGCAGAACCCAGACATTTGGCTCGTTCCCCAACAAGACATGGGAAAGACTGATTTGGGTGTGTCGGGCCCAGCTTTCAAACATGGAAGTTCACAGATGCGGGTTGGCAGTACAATCCTTTTGACCGGAGGATAGTGACCATTTCGGGAGCATTTCTATTACAGGTGGATTCCTCGGATCAGAGTATGGCACTCCAGGTCTATCAGAACTTCATCACAGTGTGCCTTATATCTCTTTCCTAAGCGTCACCCCACCAAAAGGAACTGATTTGAACCAACCAAACAGCAAATGTCTAAATCTCACAGACTTGCACATCTCATGACCCCGCTACCATGGCCTCAGTCGCAGCAATCCAAACAGAAACAGATTCACCATGCTCGAATACTTGATATGGACATGGGCACTAAGTAGATCAGTCGTGAGACTTAAACACTGAATTTGCTCAGCAACTTGCCCGTCGGACAGAATCTTAATGGTATCAGTTGCACCTCGTGACACTTTGCCATTCCTCCATGCGGACATGCACAAGTCAACAAAAGTTCCAGTTCAACCTTTTCGTTCGCCACTAGAAGAGTCTCAGAAAGTATGAAAACCAGTTCAGGAAGTGAGAGAAGGTCAAACGTCAAACCAGTGCACAGGTTCTTGCAGGATAATGTCGGACCTGGTCTAAATCTCAGGGCCGCTGTTGTCGACCTTTTCCAAATGCAGGACCCTGCGACTGTTTCGAGGTTCGCTTTGATAGCATCGTTTCTTCCGGAGAAAAAACAACTCCGGGCAAACAAACTCGGGCAAACAATAATGGGCAAACAAATCCGGGCAAATACTAAACATTCTATGTCTTGAAGTGGTCCGAAAACCATCAAACTTAAGATAACTTCTTAAGTCACAAGTAAGGCCGAGGGTGCCCACAAGAGGCCCTGATTCTGTTCAATCTGACTGTTTCGCTGGCCAGCTGCTTTGCCCTTTATTTCTTGAGGGTAAATTCCCAGATCAAACCTTAGTCTTTCACTTTTAAAGGGTTCATCCTAGGTTCTTCCCAGCTCAGGGGCTCAATGGCAGATCTAACCGAGACCATCAAATTTTGGATTTCTTTCTAAGTAAGGAATCGCAGTCGGGTTGCCCACAAGGAGCCCTGATTCTGCTTAATCTGACTGTTTCGTGGCAAACTGTTGTGGGCTTCCCAGACCAATACCTTAGCTTTTAAAGGGCTGGTTCATCCGAAGCTCGTCCAAGCTGAAAGGTCAAAGCCTTAGCAAAACTAAATTTAGATTTGGCAATGCAAGATTAGGTACCGGGAATCTGAGAGAACAATTTGGACACATTGAATTCAGAAGTGGCCCTACTAAATTTAAACATGAAAATACAGAAGTAAGTATTGGCAAGTCGAACTCAAACCCAGACCTTCGGACTGGTGGCACTGTTGTAGACGGGGGTAGTAAAGCAGTTGCAGCAGCTGCTCGGGCACGGTTCCGATAAGAGTCATGATAAACGTGTGCTGCTCCTGACATAGACCGGACACAATATGAAATGAGCCTTTCGTGCCCGAGTTTTTGAATTTTGGTGGCTCCCCCCCGTTTCAAGAGTTGGATCATAGACAAGCTTGGGCAGTCCATGCCGGCCCTTGAGGGCCAACCATTGGTTTGACCACTGCAAGACACTGGTTTTGAGGGCGAATCCTTATGCGGGATGCCATCACTGAACTATCGTCTCTGGCGTTGGTCCAGACTGAACCCTCCCAGACTAATCAACCTTACAGATTTCCCGCCTCAGAAGCTCCGGTTCGACGGTGACCTGGGGCCAAGACATTGTAGAGACAACAGGACGCCCATGGCTCACAATCTCGGGTGCAAACGAGCGACACGAAAACAAGGGCCGCATCAATACACATCCACCCGCGGCGATGTAGTTCGGACCCAGCGCATTTTCGCACGCGCCGTTACTCCGCTCCAGCCCTGAACTTCGAAGTTGCCAAGCCAACGGGAGCGGAAGTAGTGGACCGTATCCACCTCAATTGCGATCCGCAAAGTGAAGGTCTCAACTGCAACTTTCCACTGCCACCCCTCCTTTCATCAATCAACGGCTCTAGGCTCCCTATCAGACTAGGTACTCCTACTGAGTCCAATGCCCAGTTCAGCGTCAAGTCGGGACCCGAAGCACACAGCTCTCCAATGGGGGTTATGAAAAGCATGCTTTCTGCAACCCAAGTAGGCGACCCCCACGAGTATTATGCCAGTTGAAAGCGGGGCTTCCGTCGGTCTCGTAGAAAATGGCGCCAAAGCGTGGTATGTATGCCCACGTGAGATCGTAAGCCAACACATCGGCAGAAAGGTTCTTGGATCGGCGGATAATGTTTTCAAGCGCGATCACTGTGTGGCCAATGGTGTTCGTGGTGTTTTGCTGAGCTGTTGGTAAGTTAGACGAGCTTTTGATTGACGGCCCTTTACGAAACATGAGAGGGCCAACACGTTGTGAACTTACCAATTCTGTAGGTAAGCTTCGCATTACATTCTCATGGAGTCCAATGAAGTTGGACAGGGGGCTGCCCCAAAGGTTCCCAAACCCTCCTCAGCTTCCATGACTCATCTCACCCTTAATTGGGGATTTGTACCCCTGATTGTTGTAGAAGGTACATGGAGACCCAGCCCCGAACCTCCAAAACCACCAATCCAAACCACCAAATAGAAGGAAGCTGCATGGTTGTTGAACAAGGCCTTAAAAATAAAATGAAACCCAACATACCCCTGCCTCCATTTGACCCCCCCGGCCCCATCCCGCACTCAACTTCACTCCCACAGGTCCCCTGGCCAGTTGGTTGAAGGAGATGTCCAGCCACTGCAAGTTCAGCAATGGGTTGGGCAGGCAGAACCTCAGCCCGTTGGCTGAGAAACAGAATCAAGTCTGCCCATGGCCACGACACGTAGAATATGGCATTGACGCCTGCTCGACAAACGCATGCCATAGTCATTCACACGTGTTGTTTGATGTGTGCCGCGCTCCTGGCTCCCTCGATAGACGCAGCTGGAATTCTGATGCCGGCTGTCTGGCCTCTTGTGGATTTGAACCAAGATAGTTTACCATGAAACATAACCTATGGCTCCATTTTTGGGTGGATGAACATCCATTTGCCACCTATTTTGACGTTCACCAGGGTACAGGGTTTTGACCCACAGCCAGTCGTCCTGTCTACTTTATTTTGGGCAAGACAGGTAAGCCACCCCGCGCAGCAGGCCTCTCTCGCGACAGATTGCCGCCAAGGGCGCTCCGAAAGGAACACCAGAGAGGTGGACAAAACTGGTTTGACAGCCTACGCATGGAAAGGACGCTGCACATGTTCCTTTGGGGAACTCATGCTGATTTACACACCAGAAATACGGAATCCGCGAGTAAAAAAACATCTTTATCATGGGTGCAGTTACCCAAATCCCTTCCTCCTTGCAACGAAGCCAGTTATCGGGATCTTGGTTCCGAAAGCTGGCTCGTATGTCCCGTTATGCCCTTCACCCTAGTTCAAATGAAACAAATGGCTGGGTCGCGTCAGAGGCCACATATTTGACAAAGTTTGTTTCCATAGATCCAACGAGCGGCCACAGTAAGGATGTCCTCTGGTTGCAAGGAAATAGATGCCAACCAATTGGTCATTTGGGAATGAATCCTGCCGTGTTCCTCCCAGGGTTCTTCTGCTTCTCAATGCTGAATTCGTTTTGGTGGCTTGTGTTTGGACAGATTGCCCGTGCATGGGGGAGCTTGTTGCCCAAATAGAGACCATAACTTTGACAACACATCTGCGCAAGCCACACTGGGATGTGCACAAAGTCAGCTTTTGGCCTGTTAAACCTTATAAAGAAAACCACAAAGGCCATTGTGACGGCTCCCTTGGGAATCCTTCTTGTCCGAATTTCTGGTTTCAAACACTCCATGACCATCGCCACAACCAAAGAAACTCGGTCTCTAGCTGAGGTCTCGGCTCCAGGGCCGCGGGAAGGCCGGAAATGGTCTCCAGCATGTTGTTGTTCAGCTTCACCGAAGTGGTCACCTGCCGAAGCAACGCGGCCGAATGCGTTTCAACAAAACAAATGCCCCCGAGGTCCACTTGAATTGAAAAAAAAGGCATTGCTTGAACATTAGTTGCTCAAGCAGCAAGCATATGTTTATATAAACCAGTTGGCCCAATGCTGCCGGGTCAGCACTTGACAGAGCCAATAGAGCCGATACGAGCAACAGGCAATATTTTAAGCTGATAGCCCAGTGTGACAGCCCCTGTTTTGCGACCTTGCGGAAAATGTGGGAGCCAAGGTCCCATCGTGTTCTCCCCAAAGGAGCTATAATTATAGACCGCAACATAACTGCCCGTTGCCCATTTCGACCTCAAATGTCAAGACTTCGATAACTGGTCGGATGAATCGAAGCTACATTTGGTCAGAAATGTACTCACCACGCTGGAGGAAACAATCCTGCACCGCGTTCAGGTTTTTGCCGACTTTAGCTGCTGTGCTGAAAATGAACACGGAAGCTCTTACCCTCAAAAAAGCGCATATCAGACTGTACGAGCGATGCTATCATAGGCTGCCTATCCATGCTCTCTGCCAAATGGGATTTGGACGTTTATTGGTTGAAGGGTAAATCTTACCCCTTTAGCAATGTGTGTGCGTGTCTCTGTGTCTGTGTCCGTGTCCGTGTCCGTGTCCGTGTCCGTGTCCGTGTCCGTGTCCATGTCCGTGTCCGTGTCCGTGTCTGTGTCCGTGTCCGTGTCCGTGTCCGTGTCCGTGTCCATGTCCGTGTCCGTGTCCGTGTCCGTGTCCGTGTCTGTGTCCGTGTCCGTGTCCGTGTCGGTGTCCGTGTCCGTGTCTGTGTCTGTGTGTGTGTCTGTGTCTGTGTCTGTGTCTGTGTCCGTGTCCGTGTCCGTGTCCGTGTCCGTGTCTGTGTCTGTGTCTGTGTCTGTGTCTGTGTCTGTGTGTGTGTGTCTGTGTGTGTGTGTGTGTCTGTGTGTGTGTGTGTGTCCGTGTCTGTGTCCGTGTGTGTGTGTCTGTGTGTGTGTGTGTCCGTGTCTGTGTCTGTGTCTGTGTGTGTGTCTGTGTGTGTGTCTGTGTCTGTGTCCGTGTCTGTGTCTGTGTGTGTGTGTGTGTCTGTGTGTGTGTGTCCGTGTCTGTGTCTGTGTCCGTGTGTGTGTCTGTGTGTGTGTCCGTGTCTGTGTCTGTGTCCGTGTGTGTGTCTGTGTCTGTGTCTGTGTCTGTGTGTGTGTCTGTGTGTGTGTGTTTCTGTGTCTGTGTCTGTGTCTGTGTCTGTGTGTCTGTGTGTCTGTGTGTGTTGGGCCTGGAGGCTAAAATCGGACACCTCTACTGAGCAACCAGCAACCTACTACTCCTGGTTTCCAAAACTGGTTTGGGCCTTCTCGTCCACCCTAAACCAACAATAGACAACCAATAATGTTGTGTCCCCCATCCATTTCGACACTGCTCATAGCTGACCTTGCGGACCAGGATCCGCATCTTGGGCTCGCCGGCCTGCGGAACTGGGTGTTGAGGGGTTGAGAAACTCGGCCTGGAAAAGTCACCGGCCTTGGTGGTTTCCTTTCGGGAAACTAAACTACATAGGCTGACTGGGGCAGAATAAGCCGAAATGTGGCCCAATCGGAAGAAGTGGAGCTTTGATATGAGGCTTCATGTCTGAAAAACGTTTTGGAAGCCGGGGGCTTCCTCTCTGACATGGAACCTGACCTGATGGATCCACAGTATAGAGAAATGGAGTCACTGGGCACAACTTTTGTTGGGGAGATGCCTTGGGAGGAGCACTGCTCTATTTCAGGATGGGAAGCTCCGTACTGCCAAGGCGAACTCCAGGACGATGCAACCGGCTATAAAGCGGAAAACTCGCACTTGCTCAGGTTCAAACAACAAGTTAACGCATGAACATAAAAAAGCAAGCCTGAAACACACAGAACTCAAAAGGTTGGTTTTGAACAACTACGACACACCATGTTCACAACGCTGTCCTCCTCCTTTCCTTCCAAACAAGCTTCAAGCTGAGCCCATGCACATCAACCTTTGCAACTTCAGCAGTCCCTCTCAACCTAAAATGGCATATTTAGATTCCGGGCCATTTCTTGCCAACCTCAAAGCGTGAAATGTGAACATAGGTCCCAGGTCACCGGTCACCTCAGCCAGATACCCCCCAGCGATGAAGACTCCCCCCTCTACATTTTTTTCGGGGAAGCACCGCCCAGGTCGAAGCCCCTTCTGCAAGCTGAACGGTCCTGAAAAAGCCGAAGGATCCAAAGGACCGAAACAGACCGTTGAAAGCCAGGTCAGGTCAATTCGTTTTAAGAGCACAAGCCTTCCCTGCCCTCAAAGTCATCGAAGTGTGCCCTTGTTTAGTAGGCCCTACCCGCCCGTGATTGCCCTGTTGGGTGTGCCCCATACATGTTCGGCCGAAGCCGGTGTCCGCTGGGGACAAACGGATCTGCACATTTGGGTGAGAAACCGGGCTGTCAGAGCTTGTTCTGTGATTCCATCGGGAAATCGGAAATCGCATTCCCCGCTGAAAGGGCGAGGCTCCCTGCTATCACAAAGCAAACCCTTTGGTCCCACAAACTCCAAACTACAGGCAGTCGCGCCTCGCCTGAAACCTGATTTGCCTCTGGGATCCTCGCGCCATCTTTCTACAAATGAGCATGTACGGATCACCAAACGCCCCAAACAAACAACGACTGATATTACCAACTTTTGCATCTGATCATCTAGATGCCATCAGATTTCGCACACTTCGCCTTTTGATAGAACTCTGGGTGAGTTGCGATAGCTTACCAATTGCAAGAAAGCTTTTCCTATGAACACCCGAGCGCGCAACACCCTGGCCGGTCAGGTCGCTATCTGCCCAGACCCACGTTTGCAGGGTTCCTAAAATCACTTAAGGGACTATTCCCCTTTTTGCTGGATTGAAACATCATCTGTTGGTTGCCAATTTGCTTAGCTTCCTTTGACGCTTATAAATATATAATTATATATCCCACCCCTCTCCTCCAAAAAAGAAATACTTATTCGACTAAAACACAAGCCAAGAACAGTAAATACTAAGGTTCGCCTTTGTTTGCTTGTTGCTTTTACAGGGCAAAAAACCCAAACAAACAAAAACACCTTGCCTTCACCGGACTGGTCGGGCTGGTCGGCGAGCTCGGGCCTGAACCCAATAAAGACGCACACCCCGTGGCAGAAATATGGCAGAGGAGACTTGTGCTGGGGCTATTTATCCCTCTACCGTCAGTCTGGCTTTCAGGGTTGTGCTACCTTGAAAGCAAGGCTACATGTACGGGTAGGAGCGCAAGCTCGGATATTGCAAAGAAGGAAGGGATAACAGAAGGAACCTCACGGTTTCCGTACCCTAACAAAACTAACAATCATATTGTAAACTATGTTCAATACTTGAAAAAACCTGAAACAAGATATGGACCTTCGAACAAGTAAGTTAAACTCGCTCTAATTTGGGGAAAACACCATGACATCAATTTCCTTTATATGGACTGGACCCCGCGAAACCAGGCTCCCAAGATTTGTAAACAACCAACACTCATTCATTTTCCCAGACTATGATACCATTAAGAACATTGCATACGTATCAGTCACAAGCATATCCCTTTGATGCCAACATGGGAGCATAGCACTGATTCATAGACAGCTGCATGCAGACCGGAAGTCGCTTGTGAATTTCAAGCTTGGTGCGGCCAATGTGTTGGGCACGCAGGCATCTGATCTAATCATATTGCATTGTATTGATACTCCAGCATCTTTCATGGACGCTCACGTATCCGATGACCAAGTGGTGAGCCACCATTGCAGGTAGATGGCGCCAAGCCACATATGAGCCATGGTCAATATTCACCGCGCCTCCCCCTACATCGGTGATTTGGTATTTGTGATCAGTTCAGCCGGGATCATCACTTTCACAGCTGTCCATGAAAAGGCTTCAGCGGTCGCAACAGGCCCCAGGAGATGCTAAGTTATATGTGATTGCGAAAACTAGTGAGCCCCCTCTCAATCCCATTGCCAAGTCAAGCAGCTGCGATCCGCTTGAGCTTCATTCGCCTCCTGAGCCGAGGTTTTCTTATGAGGGCATTGCCAAAGGCAGGCAAAGCACGTCACGTGGTCAAATATTGATAGCCACCCCCAAAACACAAAACACGTCACATTGCTTACGAGAAAGTTTGCCTCTCAGCATGAGTAAGATCGTGATTGCATTTGTTGGAATTGTCGCAGTGGCCGTAAAACAATCGCAAGTTGCGGATTGATGACACTCCAAGCTTCAAACTTGTTTGGGAACAATTCGTAACTTGCTTGCCATCTCTTTGATGGTCATGCGTTTCTCTGCCATAGACGGCAAATACCTCAAACTAAACAACAAAGACTCGTGGAAAAAAATACAAGAACCGCCTCATGAACACGGGAAAAGCGATTTGCGGAAATGGTTCACAGCACGCCAACTGCAGCTCTTCAGTTTGCAGGAATCGTGTGGCTTCTCACCGACGGAAGACCAGGGACGACATGCGAAACAAATCAAACCCGCACCCTCCCAAACCATACAACCTGCGCGCAGAGTCTGAAAGATCACGCTACTTTTAAACGGCCGCCTAAACCCTTACACTCTTAGCCCAAACAACCCTAAACCTAAACCCGATTTTGAACCCAAAGCGTAAGCCCGAAGCCCAACAGGTCCTGTGGGGCGGAGCGCATGGATTGGGGTTCTAGTTTGTCCAAAGATAGTGGGGGACAGGGTTGCGTGTTCGACTGACTGCGCTTCCCGTTTAGGGAAGTTGGCCATACCTTAGGCACCTTGTCTAAAGTGGGATCGTGAAAATTACCGTCCAAACCATGGTTGAAAGGGGCTTCCCACCCCCAAAGCAATATTGAGATTCAAAATGCACCCACTTTGAGGGACCCGGGTAGTCAATACAAGGAACAGTGCAACCCATTCTTGGGCTACTCAATACATGGACCCGTGACGCGACAAAAGACTAGCGAATCCACATTGAGATTGAACCCGGGGATGAGGAAACCATAGGGGTCCAACGGGATCTTGGTTGCTTTCCGCTCCCCTGCCAAAACCTTGACTTTTAGTGGTTTAATGGAAAACCCATTAGTTGGCAAAAAGATAAAGTCCTAACATCCAAGCAAAATGCAAAAAACATGTAAATAAAATCACCATCTGGATAGATCCCCAGACGCATCCTTGGACTCCGCCGTGCGCTTGGTGCCACTCCGAGGCTCCTGCAACTCTTACGCGGAGATGTTTTGTTTTGTTGGGGCCGGAAATACATGCATCGCAAGCGTTTGTTTAGAGAAGATGTGACTTGGATACCTTTTGGCAGGGGAGCACCCCTGTGTTGAGGAGGGAAACTGGGAAACCACACATGGAACCAAATCTGTTTTGGGTTCCTAAGAGTTGAACTGGAGAATCACCAATTTTGGGAATGAACTGTAACAGCAGCTAACCCACTTAGACTTGAGCAACGTGGGCAAATTGCTCGGGAGATTTTACACGCCATTGGCGACATGATCATGCGCATCTCATCTGCTTGCCGGAAGCCAAGGGCATAGGTACGTGTCCAATAGGGGGACCCCCAAAATGGTGGCTTTCGTGTTGGATTCCCTTGAGAACGGTGAACACGCACACATCGATTGACAATTTGTAGCAGGTTCATCTGACAGGTAATCTGGATTGGAGCTAGCAAAGAACACAGAACTGGCAACTCATCCCCAAGCTCCTCGGTCTCAAGCTCTGCACAGCTCCGCAACTCCTGGCGCGGCTGAGGCGCAAGACCGAGTGAATCAAAGCAACTCACAACTTCTCTCACTTGCAATGAAAGGATCTGGAAATAATTCCATTATTTAAAAGCTTGACATAAGACCAAGCAATATTCGCAAGGTCAACTTGAAGTAGGCCCAACCTGGAAAACCATAAGGTGTATGTAAGCTAACCAAACGGCACCACACAAGCAAGCGATAACTCTTTTATCCAAGCAATGTGTTGGTGCCAGGGACTCATCTTCCCCTGTCAGATGTCTACGGCTGGGTGGGCCCCATGGGCCACCCACCACAAACTCTCAAAAACTGAAGAACGGGTGTGCAGACTGATAGCGCCCGCCCCTGGGCCGGGGCCAGGGGCACCCAGGCCACAGGGGGGTCTGCCACCAGGGGAAGTGAGTCACCCACCGGCTCCGGTCACGGGAGCATGGGTGGGCCCACGCTAAGATCAAATGCATCTCCATTCAGGAGACGCGGGAGAAAAATGAACTCCTCGCAGAGTTCCTGTTGAACTCTGTGCAAAGGGTCGAACCCAGAGAAATCTGGGTGCGTCAGCTCATCGGCCCACTGGTTGAATGCCCGGGGCACGTGGTTGGCCGCCAGCGAGCAGCCATGGGTGTGGAGCAGGAAGACCAGCTCCATCAGGATAGCCGCGGTGTAGGGCTTCTTGGATCCAAGGTTGAGCATCGCCATGACGTTGCCCTGATTGTCACTGCCCACCGGGAGTCGGACCCGGGAGGACAGAGGGCCTTGGTGCGTGAGGATCATGTTACAGAGGAAGAGCGTGCCCAGCATTTCCAGAGCCGCAATCCTCCGCTTGGGATCCCCATTCTTGAATGCCCACGGGTACTCCTCCACGTGGATCTGCTCGTGGAACCAGTACACCTCCTTCTTTCCGGCTCCACTTTGTTGGAGCACCAGCCTCCCACAAATGCCAGTCCTTCATCCGAGGCGCTAGCATCGCTGCAACCCCACCAAGAGGACTTCGGCAAGTAAGGGGAGTACTGGACGAAGGGCGTGTTGAAGAGGAACCGCAGCATGAACGCCAGCATCCTGACCACCTTAGGGGGTTTCCCCACCGTGGTGGTGGCCATTTTCCAGGCCCACAGTGGCTGAAGCATCGACTTCGCCAGCGGACATGCAGCAGTTGCCCATTGGATGCGGCCCAGGGCCTTCTCGATGTCCTTTGAGTGCATCGCCTGCCCTTCCACCATGGTCTGCAAGACCTCCATCACCAGGATGTGTTTGTTGGCGGCCATGAGAACCTGCGGGATGTTCGGGTGGACCACGAAGCCCAGCCACGTGTTGACCTCCGCCAAATGTGTCTTCTTCCAGCTAAGCGGGGTGCCCAAGGCCAGGAGTGTTGCCAACAGCGCCACCGCCAAGTTTACTGCCCCCTCGCTGCGAAGCAGCCACAGGAAGTCATCCACAAAGACGAAGTTCCAATCCACTTGAGGGAAAAGTGCGTAGAGGACCCTGAGTAGAAGGGCTGCCAGGCGTCCCCAGTAGGATTGGGCACTGGCCATGCCGTATGTGCCTACCTTGTTCACCCACCATTCTTCCCCCAGTGAGGCCACCTGGAACCGCCAGTCCTTCCTGAGGACCTTCACTCTCCGGTGGGCCTTGGTGACGTCCGCCTTGAGCAGCACCCACCTGGTGCCCGGCTCCGGCCATTGCCAGCCCTCGGGTGGAGGTTTAGCGACCTCCTTCTCGGGGCCGGGGGCACCCTGAGAGGGAGGTCCCTCCTCAGCTGCCGCATGTAGCCAATGAAGAGCTTGTACCCCATCCAGCACCGTCGGAGCCGTCGTCCTTTCCACCGTCTGGTTCCTGATGGTGTCATTGGCCCCGCCCACCGAGCCATCGTAGATGGTGCGGATCTTGTCCCCTTCGTCGATGCCCGCTAGGGGGCCTGGGCAAAGATCCTCCATATTGCAGCCACAGCGCGCTGCTGCCTCTACCTTGGTGAGAGGGCCATCTACCATGCCCATGGGGACCTCCTCCAGGAATGTGCTACGGATGAGCTCACTGAAGTGATCCGCTGAGGGGTAGTTACCCCGATGAGGGAGTTCCTGAAACTCCGGCTCCTCCCCTTTTAGCTCCTTCTTGAGTGGCCAGATGCCCGGCAAGACTAGGGGTGGGTCCGTGACCCCCAGTGGGACCCCTTGTTCCAGATCCCGAGGAAACTGGTGGTCGGGGTCCTGAATGTTCATCGCCAGGCTGTGCAAGATGTCCAGGAAGAAGGGTTGGCCTTCCGCTGGTCGGCCTGTTCCTGGCGCCAGGATCTCCCTGATATCTTCCAGCAGGTCCTCCGGGAAGGGGTGTGACCCGTCCCCCAACGAGAGCGACTCCTGGAGTTTGTCCCCCCATGGCAACGTGAGGACACAGATCTTGGCCCCCAGCGCTGCTGCTTTGGACAATGGCCGAGTCCACGGGGCCAGTCGTCCAAGTGAGGGCTTCCCACCCCCGTCCCTGAGGGGGCGCTGTTTGAAGGCCATCTGGAGGTACATAACCTTGTCGGAGAGATTTGGGTCGTGCGTGATCGGCAGGGTGGTGGGCCGATCCGAGATCTCCATGCAATGGCGTGCCCATGGCTGAAGGGGAAGAGTTTCACCCCATAGTTCGACCTCCCTGCCCGCTGGCTGTGTTGGTGTCCGGACCTCAGGATTGTCTGAGGCCGAGACCGGACGTGAGCCCAAGGTTAGTCCCGCCAACGCTTGTTGGCCGGCCTTCAGCCTCAGGGACTGGCGCTTGTTGTCCCCCGGCGTGTGGGGAGATGGTTCCCTCTGCCGCCTCGGGGGGGTCGTTGGGTTCACTTGGGGCACCGTGCCCCCCGGCCTCAGCGCCTCCAGGACGGGGATGGCCGCTGCGAGACCCTGCATCATGTGCTCTGGGTACCGGCTGAGGTCACTGGAGTTGAGCTTTTCCCCCTTGGGGTGAGCTCCGTGGTTGCATCGCAGATCATGTTGACAATGTCGTGGACTTCACTACCACCTGGCCCAGGCGGCACTCGTCAAACTTGATGAGGGAGTGGTGGAGTGCGTTCGCCCATTGAATATAGGCCCGTGTGACCCAGATCGATGAGCACCTCGCTGCGCTCGGGCTCTTGCTGCACTCCATTGGGTCCATCGGGTGCTCCAGGAAGGAGGAGCCCACCTAAGGACCTGATCCACACCAGTAACACCGTGGAGCTGAAGGCCTGGCAGACCAAGACGGTCTCAGCACGAATCAACCGCAACCCGGTCCCCTTGATTGCTCCGAAGTACAGCTTGCCGGGGATCCCCTGGTGGACTACCTGGGTGGCCACGGTCCGGCGACTGGTATCCGAGAAGGCATTCCAGGACATGGACTACTTGCTCCCGACAGTGAGCAAAGACTTCGCCGGGCTGATCCCGAGACCTTCCACACCAGAAAGGGCTCTGAGATGGCTCAAGGATGCTCTTCTCCGTCGGGGAGTGACCCCGGGGTTGGTGAAGCCGCTGACGTGGCACTCATTCCGAGTGTTCATCCCGGACTGCGCTTTCCAGATGGGGATCCCCCGGGAGCGCCGCATGTACTTAGGCAACTGGCTCACAGAGAGCACAGCAGACGTCTATGCGCGGGAGAAGCGCAATGTCGTTGTGGAGATTTGGGGCCAGGTAGCGCAGAAGGTCCCCAACCTGAACCTCGGGCCAGGCAGGGAACGCAGGGAGGACTTGAACCACCCGGACTGGGCGGACCCGCTCCCGCCGCCAGCAGTGGAAATCACGGATGCGGGACCGGACGGCCACAAGGACCAAACTGAAGGGGAAGGGGGGGCGTCCCCCACGGTACCCTCAAGGAGCGCACCATCGACTCGCTCATGGTCATTGGTGGAACAGGGACCCGGGGACACACAGTGAAGGCCAAGGACCTGTTTCCCACCACCCCGGACTTCCCCCTTCATGTTGTTGCGGCAGTCAAACGCACAGGCAACGCCGGCCAGGCCAGAATCCACCTGCTGAATGACGAAGGCACGGCTGTGGGGTGCGGGTGGCGACCGGCGGCCTCCAAGATCCAGGAGCTCTCCGTGCTGGACTACATGTCGGAGCCAGAGGCCTATGGCAAGTGCGAACGCTGCTTCAAGAGGTACGGCTTCCCGGCGGACTGGGTACTGGAGCCTGCGGAGGTCCCCACACTGCAGGAGGACTCGGACTCCTCGGCGGACTCGGGCTCTGAAACGGATGACTCGGTGGACACCCAGTCGGAGACCGAGGTGGTGGCCCTACCTTTGGAAGCCTAGGTGCCCCCGGCCCTGGCGACCTGAGGGGGAGGCCAAGGACAGGGCTCTGGCCAGGGCCCTCAGCACAGACTGGCATCCTTCGGAAATGGCGGGTGTGCCAGACTGTCCTTCGGAAATGGCGCTATCAGTCTGCACACCCGTTCTTCAGTTTTTGAGAGTTTGTGGTGGGTGGCCCATGGGGCCCACCCAGCCGTAGACATCTGACAGGGGAAGATGAGTCCCTGGCACCAACACATTGCTTGGATAAAAGAGTTATCGCTTGCTTGTGTGGTGCCGTTTGGTTAGCTTACATACACTTTGTTAATGTTGAAACGCATGTGGAAACATGAACTGTGTGTGGAATGCTTGACCATAATGGCATGTGCCATTTTGGCTCAAGCATTGTTCTGGGTTCCTGGAACCCAAGCTGATTGAAAACCCACCCACCCACACCAAGGTAATTGGCCCGCGACCGCCGTCACCGTGGCCGTGGTGATGGGCGGGTACTGGTCTGGGGTGCGGAGCGTGGTGTCTGCCCCCCCCAGGACCTTGGCCTTTGGGTCCGCCTCCTTGGCCGCTCCCCCCCCGGGGCCAACGGCACCCAAGGGGGGGGAGCAAGGATGAGGTCCTGGGAGTAGCCCAACCTGTCATACAAGGCCCCCGCCGCCTCCTGCGGACCTGCTCGACCCAGTCGTGGACCACATTGCAGCGCCAATTGACCTTCACCTCCACCATCGACGACTTGCTCAGGCCCGCCACCAACTTGGTGTAGACCGAGTCGAAGGCCTTCAGCGAGGCCAGCGGGAGGGTGATCCGTTCGTCGCAAATTGCCCTGAACCGCAGCGCCTCCTTACTGTCATGGATGGGGGCCACCGGCATCTCCATCACGGGCAACGGGCAGTTCACGATGAAATTCTTTGCCGCCAAGAATGTCCCCATCTCCTTGAAGATGTAACTCCACTCCTCCTTGCTGTGCGGCTTGGGGATGCCCAGGCTCTCCAGGAAGGGCACCGCCTCCTTCCTCATCTGGATAATGTTGCCCATCCACTTGTCCGAGGTCGAGCCCTCCGCATTGCGGCCCCGGCGTTGCGTCTTCACAATCAACGGGAAGGTGGTCCAGGCCGAGTAGATATACTTAAATGTGAACCTGTGGGCGTACACTCCCGTCAGGTGGCAGGTCCCACGTTCTCGTCTGTCTGGTCCAAAACACCCCATCACCCCTCGCCCAGAAGATACCAACCACCTGCTCAGGTGCCGGGCGCTCACCCCGGTTCACCTGAGCCCGGATCTCCAAGGCCGTGTAGATGACTGGGTCGATGTGGTCCTGCTCGCACGTGCATGGGTGAGTCCTGCGCTCAAGGGCCAGGAGCTCCTCCGGCGCGAGCTTAAACTGCTGGTCAGCGCCCCGGGGGATCTCACCGCTTGCGTGCTTCCTCCAAACCCCCCCAAACATCCGGAGCTCTCCCTGGTGCCGCTTCATTGCCCAGAGGATAAGGGACAGCTTGCCATCTGCCTCAGGGTGCAGGTGCTGCTGGGACATGGGCTGGTCCCTCTCAGGGCTGGTGGCACCCTTGGGGGGGCCGGTGCCTCCAGCTCGGGCATCTCCTGCAGCAGTGCCTCCTGGTGCCACGGGTTCTGCGACGCTCTGAGCATCTTGATGTAGGGTCGTCGGGGTCCTCCAGCTCCAGGGGGCAGAATAGGCCCCTCTCCAGGGCCTTCCTGAGATCATCCGGCCACGCCGACACTTCCAAGGGCTTGAGAGTGTGGTTGAGCATCCATGCCTGGTTGGTGTCCTGGATTCGCTTGCCTCAGCCAATGCCTGGCTGGCGTCAACGCCCTTCCCCTCCAAGTACTGGTCTCTCAGCTTGGCCTTGAAACGCTCCAGGTTGACCTTCCTGAGGGCACGGGCTCCCTCGTTGGCCACCTCATCTGACGGCAGGGCCTGCATGCCCTCCTGGAGGGGCGCCAGGATCGCCATCTCGTTGTCCAGCATCTCCTCAGTGACCAACTCCTTGTGCAGCCGCCTGGCCGAGGCCTCCTCCGGAGTCGGCTCCCGCTGCTCCCGCAAGGCCTTATGCAGCTCCTCCTTCTTCCTGATCGCCTGGTCCACCTGGGGATGGTAGAGCTCGAAGCTCTGAGCCTCCGCCTCTTTCAGGGACCGCTGCACTTTGACCCGGATCTCCTGGCTTTCCCGGACCTTCATCGCCTCGTCATCCGCCTCCATGGACAGGATCTCCTGCCGGATGTCCACCCGCATGTTAAGCGGGACCGCATCTGCCATGGTGATCTCATCAGCCGAGTCCGTTTTTGGAGGGGCTCTCCCCAAGACCGTGCCGTCCACCAAGTTGCGGTCGGCCTGTGCCAGGGTACCACCGGGGCCAACGGCACCCAGGCTTCCCCATTCCCGCTGCTGGATCCAGATCGGCTTGCCCTCCAAGATGAGCAGGTTGTAGGTGATGCCGTCCGCCTCATAGGTGGCCGAGGGTGCCTGGAAGGGGGCGGACTCCTTGCCGGGGCAGACCCAGCACTGCTTGGCTGCCTCTGGCCACCCCGTTCCGCATGCCTTGCACATGAACTTGTAGTCGGAATGACCTGCGTCGAGCCTGTACATGCGCTGGGTGCCGATACACGCCTTGTTCCTCTGGAACTGCGAAGCCCAGACCTCCTCCTGGCGGAGCTGGATCTTCATCGGGACGTACGCCTCCAAGATGCGGATCACCAGGTCCTCCGTGAGGTTCTTCCCAAGGAGACCGCCTCCTCCACCGTGATGTCTCTCAGCAAGGTGGCCGCCGACGCTGGAAGGACTGGAAACAAGTCTGGGAGGTCCACCAGCTTGAAGTACCCAGGTTTTCCGTCCACCGGCACCAAGGTGACAGGTTTGTTGGCCTGAGACGTAGCCTTCTGAGAAGCCGCCACAAAGCCCTTCAGTCTCTTCGTGGGTGGCGTCTGTGCCTCCTCCGGTGGTGTGGCCCGCTCCGTGCCGTCCGCATCCCCCATGTCCCTGTCGCCCTCCTCGGCGGGGCCAGGGGCACCCAAGCCGGGAGTCGGTGTGGCAAATGCCACTTGGAGACGCTCCAGTGCACTGGAGAGGTCATTCATCACATCGGTCGCCGAAGCTGACGGGGGGGCCTCGGGCTCGTCCAAAACCAAGCCGGCCGCCACTGCCGCCTCCCGTGTGCGAATGTCCTGGGCCTCCTGGCTGGCCACTTCAACCTCCTCCACGGTGAGTGTCTGGTCCTCAATCAACTCAAAGGAAGTTGCCGAGGTTGCCGAGGAAGCCATTGCTTGGTCGGGGTTAAGTTCGAAAATGCAAAAGATCAAAGTTTTTCAATCAGCTTGGGTTCCAGGAACCCAGAACAATGCTTGAGCCAAAATGGCACGTGCCATTATGGTCAAGCATTCCACACACAGTTCATGTTTCCACATGCGTTTCAACATTAACAAAATTTGCCTCGGCCTGAAGGGGGCCACGGGCGCTCAGATCGCGTTTCCCAAAGGGAATCTTCGCTTTTCGCGCCCTTGAATTTTCGGGGTGTCTTGGTCCCGAATAGCATGATCTCCTGCTGGCCAGGCCTGTCTGACATGTCTGAGAATAGCCTCACAGCCCAGTCCAAGCAACCCACCCACGCCCAACCAGCAACCTACACCCAGCCCAATCAGCAACCCACCCTTGCTTGGACACGTCACGCAAACCAGCCTTGTCTCATGCAGCTCGCCCTGTCTGCTGGCTGCATGACTCACTCCGGGTCCTGTGCATCGCCTTGCCCTTGCCTCGGGGATTCCTGCGGGCCCATGACATCAATTGGACCAACGACGCCAGAATCTGTCCATGCCTGAATCGCCACTTGACCAGCTCTGCTGCTTGCAGTCGAACCACAGACGCTGCGCGCTCGGCGTCTGATTCTAGCAATTTCTGCGCGTTTACAATTAAATCCGGCAAATGATTCTAGCAATCTCAACCGCTATTTCAAGGGATCGGTTCTCAAACATTGCCAAACACCCGGGCCAAACGGGCATCAACCTTTAGATTGCTCGGATGCCCAGCCAATCTACGAATTCCCAGGCCAAGACTCAAAGGGTGAAGCACCCCCTGCTGGAGAAACCGCGAAACAACTCACCAAATTACTGGATACAGCGTATTGCTGGAAAGGACCTGAAGACCCACCCTAAATTCCCACAAACAACCAAAGGGGCCCCCCGAGCTTCCCCTGTGAAAACAAGTAACTACTGGGCGATGACTGCCAGAATCTGCGCGTTCTCTTCTTAGAAGCGTGACTCAGCGCATGTGATTGCTGAGCGCAAGCGGCTGCTTAAAAACTATCGCAAGACACCAGCACAAATTATCTGCTGCTGTGACAAGCAGTAGAAGACACGAAGACCACCAACACATTGCAAGACACCACCAACAACAAAAAGTGACAAGCAGTAGACACGTTCCTTTCCGGCAGTCCCTTTACTTCCCTCTAAAGGACAAAGCCTGCTCTCAACTTGAGTCTTTAAGAGGCCAACCCCCCCCCCAAAAAAAAAAAAACAAATAACAAAACAAAACAAGTGACTCAACATCCTCTCTCTCCCTTAAAGTTGGCCAGGGTCTGTTTGTGCTCCAACAAAGACACCACACCCCGGGACCCGCCCGGCCTTAAAGGAGTAGTCGAGTGGCGGGGCGTTTGCAACCAGCACTACCTGCCAAGTTGCACCCGGCTGGCGCTGGCCTGCTGGCCCTTGGAGCCGCAAGATACATCACGGTTTCTTCCATTTGCTTCAGCCCCCTGGAAAAAAAAATATATGTCCAATAGTGATAGATTCCCTTTAAAACCAACAGGGCAACAACAAAAACATGTTCTTAAGCAAATGGAAGTTTCAGACGCATCCGCTTTTTGCTCGACCCAGCGACCACCGGATTCCACGGGCGCAAAGATCAAATGAGTTGATGACAAAGCACAGTGGCTCAAATGCGTTAAAGCAGGCTGCTTGCCCAAGCCTACTTGCGAGAACGATTCCCTCTGCAGCTCAGCGGATTCCTTACAAATTAGAACTGCCCACCGGGATTCTTTCTCACGGTTGCGGAAAAACTGGCCTCTTTCTATGATACCAAAACACAATATCCCAATTCTTGTGTAACTCCAAAGGCTTCTTTTGAATCACCAACACCTCACGTCTCGCCACCATGTTCCTAAGTGCCGTTGGTCTCACAAGGAAGGTCGCTTTTCGGTTCATCCTTGAGATCTTTTTCCAATCAATCTGAGAGGAATAGACCCTTGGACACATGCCCTCCCCCCACTTGCCCGAACGGCTTGACATCAAAGGATCCCAACAGGCGATGACTAAATCATCCAATTGGGGACCTGTGAGCCATGCTCAATATTCATTGTGTCCCCAAAACATGGGCTGTCCCTGAATTCGGGTTGTCCTGGGGCCCAACACTAAACACGCGGCGGTTAGTTGTTTTCTTTCGGCTTTCGTCGTATGTTTCCTAGCTATAAAAATCATGCCCCACTAACGCCCGGCCAGCCTCCTTTCTGTCTTGCCCTGGCGAGAGAGCCGTGCCGCCATGGTGCATGATGTTTGATGTTCAAGAAAACGTTGTTCAACAAAGGGATGCTATTTTTACACCCTGCTTGAGCCTTCTGGATACCCTACTCCAAATAGCACCGTGTGACACCTGAAGATTGTCCAATAAGGTCCTGCGCCTCCTTTTGCGAGCCCTTGTTAAAGGGAACATCCATGGAAGTCCAACTAAAACTTGGCAACAAAGGAGTCTACCCAAAATCAGTGCAAAGGGCGGCCTCACCTATCTACGGTTCCGACTGGTTCCGAGAGTCTCGTACTATCCTCCAATTGTGCGGGTTTGATTGTGGCTCAAGACGGAGGGGGCCAGGCGGGCAACAATGATGCCCCTTTTGGGGACACCCTTAAACATGGTTTTCTGAGGCGGACACCTAGCTTCGTCAACCTACCATACGCAAAACTCCTGAGCCGGGCATGGCCACAGCTTCCTCGACAGGGATCTTTACGCACAAACAACAAACACATAGAGTACCTAGTTCAATACGACACCAAGGGATATTCTGTAGCCTCTAGCCGAGAAAACAAGAGGCAGTGCTTCGAACGGGCGTCTGACAATCGCATCACTTCTGGCTCGCAACGACCCACAAGGCCTTGTGCCATCACCATGGCCCAGGTTTTGCCGAGACGGATGATGCAATTGGCGTGAAGCAATGCGTGGTAGCGATCTGGGGGCTGTCGGCTGTATGTGCCCTTTGTCCAAATTGACAGGCCCTGAAGAAATAAGCTAATAGTTGGCCTGGGCAAAACGGCAGCGGGCGAACTTAGTCGAACAAGCACAGCTGACAACTTGGATGAGTTGTCTGAGCTATATTTTGGGTCCTCCTCTTAGTGGGAGCTACTTGCTTGAATGGTGCAAATGTCACGTTGGTGCTCCGGCAAGCTTCAAGTACGATTGGATAAATTAACCATCTGCTAAAGTGACAGGGGTGTCCTTTTCAAACGGTTTACCCATGATCACATCAATGTCATCATGGCTACGAAGACCATGGTTTAAAGGTATCTATTGGCAAAGGCAGCTTAGATGCACGGCACCCTTCTGAGCGACCAACGCCAGGCAGGCAGTCCCGCTTTTCCGCCAAATCCAGAGGCGCATTGGGGCGTCCCCGCAGCCACATTTCTATTTCGGCCTGCTCAGAAGAGACCCGCGACGGTTCCATGGCCATCCGAGCAGCCAAAGCTTTGCCAGCGTCCGAGATACCATCCGGGGCCGCACATCCAGACTTCTTCGGCTTCAAGGGAGCTCACCGCCAAACGTTGCTAACCCATGCGCGTCTAGCCATGGGACTCGTCATGGCAGTATTGGCAGCTGTCTGCATCTCTGCAATGCTGCATGAACCTTGGATCCGGGATGTTTGACTAAATTTAGCTTGACACCCTGCAAAGGGGCTCCAAATTGATTGCCTCCTTGCTGAGGAAATACAGGGGTCTAAAAGTGCAAAAGCCTTGGAGAGGGTCCAACTAGATTTCCTTGGAAATGAAATTGCATCCCAATGCAGTTCTCCTCAACGGGCTATATAGTCTTTGAGCAAACACCTCACTTAACCAACACTGTAAGCCATGAGCCACGGTCAAGATATGCTACAAGCGTTGACCTTAAAAGTTACTAGACATGTTGATCCTACCCCCTTGCAAATTGACAGGGAATCCCCAAACAACCAAATAGGGCGGGATCTCCCTTTCGATTCTCCCCAGTTCTGGGGGTTCCATGTTGATTTGCGGTGCAAGTCCGGCCAAGAGACCGACATGCGCGTGGAATCAGCGAGGAGCACACGTGCCTCGCGCGCCTCTCTGGCCTCTGTGGCCTGTCAGTCTCCCGGCTTTGGTGCACCTCGGGTTTCTCATGGGTGCTGAACAGGGGCTGTGGCAGTGTCTAGCAAAATCGAGAGAAGACCCACCTTTTGTTTGGGCAAATGAACACTTGAAGGTTGGATAACTTCAGAGCCACACTGTGGATGGACGAAATTATGCATCTGTTGGCATGTTGTTTTTTTGAAGCCCCATGAATGCTGGTTGATAACTAATAAACCATCTACCAACTGCTGCGAAGCGGATTTGGTCCCGCACTGGGCTTCACCTTGAGGCCTCGGCATTCGCTCGAATCGGTCCACCGCAACCGGCAGGCCTCGTGGTGGCAGAAGCTGCAGTTCGGCAGGTCCCGGCAGTGGGCCATGAACTTGCACGCCCGGGGGATCCGGCTCTGGCACCTGGCTATATATATATATATATGTACATATAGAGTTGCATTATATATATATATATATGTATATAGATAATTTATCTTATATATATATGTATATATTGTATATGGCGCGCTGCGAATTGGGGGTAGAAAACCCATGGGATATATGTCGACACGAATGAGAGGCAGAAGCCTGTATCAACCCATGAAAACCCCGTGATCTCTCTGTCCAAAGGTTGATTTTGGGGTGTCGCATGCTGGGCATTCGGATCACTTTTGGGGAACACACCAAAAAGTCATCCGCGGAGGACTTCCCGCCGAAACCGAAGCGAAGAAGGTTCCTGCGGAGTCCAAAGTACCGAAATTATACATTGACTTCCAGCCGTCCTTGCAAGCTGCTTCTTCAAACAAGTAGATGGTTTGGGAAATGACTCCCCTAGGTTGTTGGTTTCCTTCCGGTCTCCTGTTGAATTATTTCCAAAAAAGAAGGGATGTTCAAAACATGGTGTAACCACAAGGAACTCAAATAGTATGTTTGGAATCCAAAGCCGATTTCTGTTGAATCAACACATGCAGGTGTCCTTTTGAACACCAAAATTAGTTGGCTCTACATGAGCAAAACCAAACCAAAAGCAGTGGAACTCCTCTTTCCACCATGTCAAACGGCCCAGCGCCCCGGATCGATCGCGCCTGTGCGAAGCTTCGCCCGTCTTGCCGACCAATTCATGACCCGGATCTGGCGGCAAAATCCAACGGGCAAGCCGTTCGGGTCTCTTGGGTCTCAAAACCTCTGATGGCATATCTGATGGCACCGTTCCGGTGCCAGCTGCCATGTCCCTCCTTCAATTTGGTCCCGAGATGTGCTGGAAGCTCCAGTGATTCTTGGCCGAACTCGTCGACCTAATTGTTTCCTACCCCATTTGTATGTCAACAACTATTGAAGATGTTCCCTTCCGAAACGCCATCCTGGGTATTTGTCAGGTGCCTGTTGTGCTTGGGGTGTTAACAAACCAACATAAGTTCTGGAATCCAAGCAATGGTGTGTTTGTTTGAGTCAACCAAGAAATGAAGACCCCAATCAAAGTTCATAAAACCCGCTTTCGCCAGGTCTCCTTCGGTTCGCCGGGAGACCAACAGTTCCCGAAGCTTGGCATCGAGGCTGCGGGGTTCGATCCAGGTGGTGCCGCCCTTGAAGCCAGGGCCGATGTCCCTCACCTGACATCGATGGCACCAATCAAGATCCATGGCACTTCGCTTTCCCTACCAAGCCCCCCAAAAAGCGCCCTGAGGAGTCCTCTGCAGACTCCAGCAAACATTGCCCAGTGACCCGAAACATGTTTCCCGGGTCCGAAAATTCACCAGGAAAACCCGGTTGTCCATTGGCCGTGCAGAAAAAGCTGGGGCCTTTGTTGCCCTCAGATCCCCTGCTAAAGCTTATCTTTTAGTGGGTTAACGGAAACTACCACGAAACACTAAAATGCTAAAAAGCTAAGGGGATGCCTGTGAGCCACCAAAATATATTTATTAATATATAGCTCCTGTAACCATTCTTCTCGTGGGGAAAAAAAAAAGAGGCACTCCTCCAAGGCACATCCCACTCCTGGTTCCCGGCTGGCCACCACGCATCTCCCATGGCTCTGTTTTGAAGGAGACCCGCACTGCGCGGTTGACTGGACGTCTTGGGCTAGGGGCCCCCTAGATGTCACCTTGAAAATGGCTCCAAAGTGGCAAAACTCAATTTGGTCTGTTTGCTGACAGATACCAGCCCACTGAATTGAGGCATCAACTATGACATGCGGAAGATTAGACCCCGATGGAGCTTCCTAGCTTGATCGGCCGTGCTTACCCAGTGCAATAAGCAGAATGCCTGAGCAGATCTTAACGGAGCCGAAGGCTGTCATGACCCAAACCATCTTCACAATACCCATATGCCATACTGCATCTTGGACATTGGTCTACGTTGGTCTGCATTGGTCTGCTTGTTGTTCATTTGCTGCATCTTGGGACTGCCTAGACATTTGCAACTTGCCGGCTCTCCAGCCACGTTTGACTGAAAGTCACAATGGCTGCAGGTCTTTCCTCTTTTTCACCGCATGCATAAAGGGGTGAGGGTCCTCGTAGAAGAAGGCAACACCCCACTGCAACCGTTGCAAGCAAGCCCTGCTCTACACGGTGGTGGACCATGGAACTCAGGGGGAGCTCACCTTTGGAAAACCAGGGGCCAAGCTGGCATGCAAACTTGCAAAGGCACAGCAACTTCCGGGAAAATAAACATATTTTGAACAGTGATTCACTTCCTTTAAAACCAGAGAAAATAACCCAAACAGCATGTTCTTACCCAAGAATGGAAGGTCACCAAAGCCCGCCCCCCCCCCCTCCCCCCGTCGGGTCGTCGCTGCCGTTTTGCGCACAGCCCCCGGCGCTCCGCGGCGGCGCGGGACAGCGCGGGGCCCAGGTCAAAGAGCTGCGCCAGCAGCGACTCGTCGCGGTCGAAAGCGAAAGGGTCGAGGTGCTGCAGGGCCGGAGCCTCCACACGCCTCGAGCGCAGGGAACCTTTGAAAGAGCTCTGAGAAAAAATACAAGTGGGTTTGAAACAGTTCTGACCAATACTGGGAGTGGCCTGACATACATCTTCCTGATCCTCCAATGAGTTGTAGGAGTGGTGTGTGTGCCATGCTATTGAGAGGGAGATTCTCTTCAATGGACCTGGGCGCCATCACCTCGAGTTGCCAATTTGTTTGGGGTCTTGCATTGTGCTGATACCTCCAGGTTGCCGATAGCTATAGGGAACCCTGCTTGACCTGGATGACTTGGTTCTTTGCCTGTTAGCTTCACAGGGAAATATGGTCACAACCGCTACGGAAACATCGGCCCACCTCTCTATATTCCGGCACCCTCTCTGAATGGTGTACACATTATTCAAAAGCAACAGAACTTCAAACAAAACTTGGCTCCGGTCCCGCCCGGAACAGCTTTACGCTGGGCCTGCCCTCGACTAACTTAAAGGTTGACTCAAACAGGTTTGGGCCAGCTGTTTGGATTTATGTTCAAGCCATGTCGACAAACAACATGGGGATGTTTGCTGAAATGAACTCGCCGAGCTCGAAAATGAGAATGATGGAAACATGGCCCGCAGCGTTGATGTTCTTTTTGTGTACTGGATGACAAAATTACGGTCTTCTTTGAGTCAAATGGGTCTCTTCTACGAGCATAGGCATATTGCAGTTCATTTCAAGGGAAACCAACGAGAAACCACATCAACTCGGCCAACGAACTACCCACACACACACACGTTTCTCTCATTGACTCAATTAGCACGTCTCCACCACGATCATGACTTTCGGTTTTCACTTACCAGTTCTCCACCCCTCTCCAATTATCCACCCCTCTCCAATTGTCCAGGCTCTTGCATCCCCCCCTCGTCTTTTCGCCTCTGGTGCAAGCGCCCCAAGCGCCGGCCCACACTGAGCGCCGCGGAGCCCGCGGAGCCCGCGGAGCCCGCGCCGGGGGATGCCACAAGGCCGTGCCAGGTCTGCACGGCGAGCAGGCAGGCGCCGAACTGCTGGCAGCTGCCGGGGGCACTCCTGAGATTTCGGCCAAGATGGACCCCGCCAATCTGGGCTGCCCTCAGATCCCCCGCCAAAAGTGACTAACTTTTGGTGGGTTAAATGGAAACTACCACTAAACAATAAAACAAATTGAAAGGCTAATGGGATGGCTGGGAGCCACCAAGAAATGGCGTCCTCTTCAAAACTGTAGGAAAAGGATATGGACCCATTCAAACGGCCAAGTTCAAGGAATGGAACTCCTGAAAACCAGCCGATGTCCTTGCGCTTCCTCATGAGGCCTTGAAAGGCGGGTGATCAAGAAACCGACGCCTCTTCTGCTCGCTCCAAAAACTGATCGCTCACTTGGGCTACCCAGGCCCCTGCTTGTAGCTATTGTGCTACGATTTTATCGAGGTGTTTCAGAAGGGCCATAAGGGTTGGATCGGCCAGCCAACATCAGCCAACTCATGGACGCGGCTCGGTCGATATGGATACACAGTATGATACACAGAAAGCAAATTAACCCAATACTTCCAATCGAGCTTGTGGTCGCCAGTCACAAACAGCATGTTGGAGCTTGACCCCGGATTAAGAAACCCCCCAGTCATTCATCAGGGGTCCCAGTCCTGAAGGGACCGTGGCAAGCGAGGGGGCTATTTTCCAGAGGTTGGCCCTGAAACAAAATGACACCCTTCAAAACAGGTCCTGCGGTGTCCAAAACCTATCTCTGACAGCCCACTTGGGAAGCCAACTTGGACATGAAACCATTTTGAGCCAACCAAACATGGCCCTTGGTGATTGGAGCCCAACATTTCCACCAAAAACCAAAGGCCAACCTCTAAACCTCGTCCAAAGCTTCCGCAGCTTCCGGCAGACGCGCCGCCCCATGAGCGCCGCTGCTTCCGTGGATCCCCCACAAGCGGCGGAGGCGGAGGCCGTTGCCGCCAGGCCAGCGGTGGTGCTGTGGAGCCGCAAGGCCTGCCCGACGGACGCTGCAACGCCTTGGCGGGTCCAATGGAAAATCTGAGCTGTGTGAAGCAAATAGTTGAAGTCCAAAGATCCAAACGCCACAAGAAAGAGGACCCCACAATGTAACTTAGAGAAGTGGCATGCGTCCATGGGCCTTGGACCTTGATCTTGCGCAGTTCCACAAAGAGGTCCGCCTGCTTGAGAACTTCGCAATGAGCCGCGGTCAAAATTACGACCCCCAGGTTTTTGTGGAGAACTTGGGCTCAAATGGACCATAGACTACTGGAAAGCCCCATAGCGTCAACTCGTGTGCCGGCCACAACCCCGTAAACCCAGGTACTAGAACCACCTGCTCAAATCCATGAGTGGATTCGCCAAATAAACTCCCGAGCTTTTTGGTTGCCACCTCAGGAAGTGAGCCTACTGAAACGGCCTGGGGATCGGTTTTCGGTCGAATGCCTCTCAAACTGCGGAGGCTCATTTTGTGCTTACCCCCCCTCCCCACAAAGCCATAGACCCAACTGAACGGCCCCAAAGGGTCCAGCTCTGTCCTGCTGCCAGCGCAAGGCCCGAGCACAGGCCACCGCCACCGCCCCACGCGCCACCGAGTCGGAGGACAGAAGGCCTGGCGTGGGTGACAACATTTGCAGCCTTAGCTCCCACCATGGCAGGTTTTTTTTTGAGGATCAGTTCTCTGGTTTGAAGGAACACTGCTCCCGAGTTTGACGCATACCTTGTGGGAATTGCCACCACTTTGTGATATTTAGAAGGCCGTCCAAATGAAAAAATACTCCACTTGACGTGCAGGTTCTGTGGCATCACAGAAGTGCAAGCCAACCGGTTCATGTTCTCGGGCGTTTCAGTGCTTTCAAAACTGTTGTTCCCTATTCCGCTCCAGAAGTCATTGCTATCTTTATTGATTCTGGTTCTGTTCACAAACCATGTTGTTCCCACTCCATTCACCAATCGCTCGTGTAAACCGTTCCCGGAGGTGAAACCATTCTTCCTTTGGCACAACACCTCTGTGCTATCAAACTGGTTGTCTCCCATCCAGCTGTATCAGTTTATGTCGGGATTCCCTTGGCCACTCACAGGAAACGGCCCTAAACCCTGTACTTGGTTGCTGTTGACCCCTCCGCAAAAAGTCTAACTTTTTGTGGGTTTAGTGGAAAACCCCTTGAATTCCCAAAAAGTTAAAGTCTAAAGATCCAACCCAATAGCAGTCAAGAGTATTTCCACAACCATGCTGGGTAAGGAGAACCAGAACCATGGCTTAGGCAACCGAGGTCGCGAGTACATTTGCCCGGGCCAGCGGTTGGCTAAACCCCGCGAGAAACGCCTGTGACAAGAGTGCCCTTTGCAATGGGTTCTGGCTTCCCCGCGGCCACATGGCGATTTTGGGTCAAAACTGTCTTAGTGAGGATTGGGATGTTCACTGGGGGTACGGGATTTTGACCCACGGACACATCATTCTAATACCATGGTCGGGGTTGCAATTGGAGGAGCTGGATCCGTTGCGTGCAACCTTCAAAGGTTCCACCAATGCGTCACTTTCCGCTAGTTTACCATGTTTGCCCAATGTTCGCCCATGTTTCACCAATGTGAGGCACAGCTGCCAACACCGCCTTTGCAATTCGCTGTTGCCCCCAACTCAATTTGGCATTACCTTCTAGAAATCGTGTTCGCAAACCAAAGAAAGGAATCAGATATTCAGGAGGTGTGCCCTACCCCCCCATCTTGCCGCTCAAAAAGGACCAAAAGGTCCACTTGGGCCCAACATGTTTTGATGCTCCATGGACATCAGCTCCGGAACCCGCTGCCTCCGTGGGCTTCGGCCACCAGCAGCGCCAGCTCCCAGTGCCCGGCGCGTGCACAGGCGGCCACCAGGGAATTCTCCACCACGGCATTGCGGCCTTCGGATCGAGAAGCGCTTTCGATCGGTTTGTAGACGGGACCATCCTTTGAACCCAGGAAACAATTGACTACCTATACTGATCCAGTTGCAGCTTGATTTGCTCCGGCCGGGTCTATAGTTTGAGAGCAAAGGGGTGAGTGATGTGAAGAACCTCAACGGCCGCAAATGAACCAAACCAAGGCGTCCAGCAAGGTTCATGGGCAAACGACCCCTCGGCCTCACTGCAGGGATTGTCTTGGTCCTGGGTGTTGACTCACCACAAAGGCCAAACGAGGTTGGCTGAAAGCTGCCGAACCATCATGCTCAAACCAAACACGCCAGCTTTGCCATGTGCACAGTGGAAACGTGTCGGGATCCGCCCAGAGCGCAGCTATGGATGGTGGCTCAAAAAGAAGGATTAGCCGGAAATAGGGAGTGGGTCTTCCACCTTGAAAAATCGATCTCGGATCCCACCTAAGACAAGAGAAATCAAGTGACCAATCTGCTGGTATTTCTTGTAGAGTCTCAAAAACACTTCATTTTGAGCCAAGGTGCCGCCCAGGTTCTGCACGGCCATCGCCAGCTGCCATTTGCCTGCAGCACTCGACAGGAGTCTCACGCCTGCTCAGTAACGGAAATCAATTTCCATCCCCTTTTGGTTTCCTTTTCGGGAAAACCCACGCTTATGGGTTCGTTCGCACCCAAACGCCCTTGTTGAAGAAGACTCAGCTTCATAGAGCAGGTTGGACGATGCCTTGCACCAAGTCCCGCACATCCCAGGCAAACTTGGGAAGCTCAGGTGATATTTGAACGGAGTGATCTTTCCTTCGAGCCTGGAGGAGAGATGGGGCTGGGACAAATGCCAGTGATTGGCATCTGTAGTACCGGTCCATTCCGCATGATCGCAGCCCACTTGCGAGAAATCTCTCCTGATCCCTTGGTTCTGAGCTCAATCTACCGTCCAGGATAGATCCCACCTTGGGGGGCCCAGGCTGAAATCAGTTCCTCTTCAGGCATCAGCTTGCCATAAGGACACCTGCTCCCTTTTTACGTTTCAACATGTCGGGGAATCTCTCCTGTTTTGCTGGTCCTTTGGGAAACCCCAAGGAACCTATCTTATCTAGGGGAAGCTTCTCCATTCTTTCCAGGGCTCCTTCTTTTCAGAAACCATCAAAATGAACACCCTGGGAACCACTTGGTTTTTGAAAAGAACGATGGTTCAAATGGATTCTCCAAGCCCTAGATCTGAAAATTTGCTTCCCCCCACCCGTCGCGTTCAAAGGGCCGGCCAGGCCCAGGATGTGCACCATGCTGGCGCCCGTGATGGCGTTGGCTTCCAGCCCCGCCAATGCCAAGCGGGCGAGCAGCGCCACGGCGTGGGCCCACTGCCTCTCCGAGTCGAAGGGTCGGTTCCACTTGGGGTTTTCACCGGAAAAGTAAGGCTGACCCAGGATTCAAGTAGAACCCGTCCGATTATTCGGGTGTTTTCTCTCCAAAAAGTGAGGAACCCCCACTAAAAGGGGACACCCCCCTACTAATCAACCAGAGGTTGATTAGTCCGGGCTTAACATTAAGGCACAACTTGGGAAAGCAAATTCGGATTCTGAAAAGAACCAACAAAAGGCGCGATCTCTCTGCTTGCTTTCACCCAAATTCTACAGGATCATCTCCGAAAGTGAGGAGTTCCATGGTTTTGGGCAACTCAATAACCGAACTTTGGACAATCACCCATCTCTGATACCCAGATTTTCGCTACTCCCCTCTTCACTTTGAAGGGGATTTAAAGGGGATTTCATTGGAGTCACAGCCCCCTTTTGGAGACAACCCAGTCTGGAAATCAGCGCTAGTTGCAAGACTAAACCATGTATTTCTTGATGTCCACCAAAGGGTGCCACCGGTCAAGGATCACCCCCGAATGAGCTTCAACCAACCTTGGACCCTGTCAATGGGAACCTCAAGGATGGTGGAAAGACCGTGGTTCAAACATGATTCAACGGTGGTTGGCCCAACTTTGCCAGGATCCATCCAAATTGCCGACTCCTTTGTGACATTTATTTGTGACATATGTGACATCCTTGAAGTCCTGCTTGTCCGAAAGGCAGATTGGCTTCCCAGTCCTCCCCAACCCCAGGGTTCCAAACCCTCAGGAAAGTTAGGGCTTTGACATCGTGAGGGCTCATTACGGGCACGGAACCCACGGAACCCACGGAAACCTGACTTCCCACCGAAGCCGGTGGGACACGGGTCTATTTTGCAACCTGGTTGCCGGTTGCTTGGGATTCCTGGCTCCATCTCGAAGTGTCCACCCCAAAACGAAAGCCACAGAAGCCAAGAAATCTGTAACAGAGCTGCAAAGAGCCGAACTCCCCAACATTGTGGTTTTCTTTGGGGTTCTCTTCAAAAACAAGACCACTAATGCGACATCCTCAAAACTGCCTTCTAAGTGTTGTTTCAAAGGAACACCGCCCCCAAATTCATTTCGAGAACGGGTCCCTCACGCGGCAACCATTCTTCGGCGCCCAACACACAAGGAATTGAGAAAACATTGATTGACACGCCAGTGAAAACATTTCAACATTTGTGTATCCCACCTATTTGCCAGATCTCTTGACCCACTTTGCTTCTATCTTCGCCAGACCACTTAGAGCTCCGCTAAACCTGGGTTTCAGCGATAGAAGTCGTGCACCACGCCGCACGCCGCAAATTTACTTTGCACCTTTCTCAGCCCGGGGACAAGCTGTGGGAGGCCGCTGCCATGGCCGCGTTATAGCAGCCAATGCTGAGCCTCCGTGAAGCGAGCGACTCGCGTGTTCGTTGGGGTTTTCCTTTTTAGGTTGGGAAACCAAAAGGACACCAACATTTTCGGGGTCAACCTCTATTTTGCCACATACGGGGAAGTTTTGAAAATCAGGGATTCGAGGTAGAAACAGAAAAATGCAGGAAAACCAAAGGGCACAAAAGGTACAACCACGTCAAGCTTGTGGTCTGGCAATGGAAAGCCTCCATACCTCCAGAACCCATACCTGAAACTGGTTGTTGAAAAAACTCTTCGTCTTCCGCCCCTGAGTGGGATACGGACCTCAGAAAGCAACATGGCAAGTATGATCCTCTAAAAAGGCGGGTCTCGCAATTTGAGGCCAGTAAGAACGCTTTTCCAGCCATTGGCTAGAAATCGCAGTTTATGCAAACCTGGAAACACGGTGGGAAGTCCGTCAGTTCAACAACAGTGGAACATGTGAAGGCTTTCGGTCCTTTACTTCGCCACAAATGGCTCATTTCCGGGTTCACGCCTTTGCGCCGTTTGTTTGAGAGGCCGTCAAAAACACATCCCCACGAAAACTTGCCTAAGTTTAACACTGGAGCGATGCGGGTGGATCACCAGGAAATGTGTCTCAAGGATCACCTCCAAAATGCGACGCTCGAAGTCAAGTGGGGGCTTGATTATGGGTTCATCAATGAACGAGAACTGGGCGGGGGTGCGGGGTGGGGTGATGAATGGCTGAAGATCCTTCACGTTTCGCTTTGAACATTGTCCATTGTCCAGTTGTTTTTGGTAATGAACACACACAACTTTCATGGGAAATCCCCACAACAATTGCTATCTGCCGCTGCAGGTGACGTAGCAATCAGTGTGCTTACAACATTGACATGTCATAGGAAGGTATTCCCTACTTTTTAGACTGGGGACGTTGAACCCTTCAGATCTAGAACGCACCACTTGTCAACAACGTTAGAACTACTCTGCTGCTCAGTCAGTCTATTGTCCTGGTCTTTCCAAATGACAGAAACTCCCATCTGGTTGGTGTTCCTTTGGGCGCACACACGCGCACAAACAAACAAACAGGCAAAGAAACAAACCAACAACAAACAAACAAACAAACAAACAAAGAACAATTCCAAGGACTGAAAACACAAACCAAAGTATGTGAATTGGCGCAGCACCTCTTCTCTGGTGCAAGTCTTGAGCCACCAAAGTGGCAGTTGTATCATGACATAGGCATGGGGGGAAAGTGTGTACTTGACACGCCCCCTTGGATCCATTCAAAGTTTGAATGTGCACAACACGAAAGTCAGTACACACAATGCGGCAAATGTTTGGTCGGCAAAAGCTCTTTTCCTCGAGGTGACGTCTTGCAAAAGTGAGTGCAAAAAATCCGACTACAGAGAAGGTTGTGTTGGCATCTAGGTGAACTCGATGCGTAGCGCCACCGAAAGTGTCAGCCTTTAAACATGCGAGTCTCTGGCGCCGATGGAAAGCACTCATTTCTTAATCCACCCACAGTCTGATGAACAGTATTCACCACAATGGTTTTGACAAAGTGTCTCATGCAAAGTCCCATTCTCACACGCAAATATTGTTCAAAGTTTGGGTCTTGCGGAAAGGTGCAAAAGGGCCGATGGAACAAGCATTTTGGAAGGGAGTCCTGTTGTCCTGAAAAAGTGCCCTTGCCTGATCCCCCTGCAAGATCAAGATGGTTGTCACGGACCTAAAGTCCTGACTGTACAAGGTCATCAAAGCACTTCACAAAAGAGGTCATCCTGATCTCTGGGAAAGCGATCATCTTTTTTGAAGTCATCTCTGAAAATTTTCCGGGCCCTTGTGAACCAAAAGTCCGTGAGCTCACCCGCGCAAAATAGTCCACATAATGTCGATTGAAGGAGTTTGCCATTCCCGCCTGTGTCCGTTCTTCACAAGTGGATCTTGCAGGTCGAAGGGCAAGCACAAGCAAAGTGTCCTGTGCTTCTGGTCCAACAGTGTGGCCTTGGCCCATCGCCATAGCAAAGTTGAAAGTCACCATCTTGATGGCGCTGCGGGCTGAGGAAGATAGACTCAAAAGTCCATTCGTCCAGTAAAGTTGAGAGGTGCTCTGCCTTCACGGTCCCAAGTGAACAGGAGGTTGCGCAACGACAGGAAGACAACCAAGACACGTTGAGCTAATTATTTGCACCACAAGCAATCAACCCAAACAGCAAAGCAGAAATAATGATACACAAGATCGTGAGAGCGCGCGACAAGCAAAGAGACAAACAAGCAAACCAACAAGAAAACCAAACAAACCACCAAGCAAACAAACCACAAGCCAAACACAAAACCAAACATTATAACACAATACACAAACTCATAAGCAACAATCACACAAACAAACGCTTACAACTAAACAAACATACAGCCACAAACGGACAACCGCGCAAGCAAACAACCAAACACACACACACAAAGTACAGGGGGAACAAACAAACAAGCAAGCCAACAAACAGACAACCAACCATACGACAAGCAAGCGCGCAACCAAGAAAGAAAGAAAGAAAGAAAGAAAGAAAGAAAGAAAGAAAGAAAGAAAGAAAGAAAGGAAGGAAGGAAGCAAGGAAGGAAAAGAAGGACAAACAGACGAAACCAAGAAAGACAGACCGACAGACAGACAGAAATAAAGAATGAAACCAAGAAAAGGAAGGCAGGAAAGAAAGATAGAAACAAACAAGACAAGCAGGCAGGCAGGCAGGCAGGCAAGCAAGCGAGCAAGCAAGCAAGCAAGCAAGCAACAAGACACACACACACACAAACAGAGACCAAACAAAACAAACACACACGCGCACGAACAGCTAACAACACAAAACAGGCAAACAAAGCACCACAAGCCGTAAAATTCAATGAAGAGACGCCAACTGAATGACGGCCAAAGCAAATAGCCGGACAAGCAAGTGTACAGACAAACGAGCATCGCAAACACAAACAGTAAATAAGCACATCAACAGAAAAGCAAGCAAGAAAGCAAACCGACAAACAGACAAACAGACAAACTGACAGACGAACAAACAACCGAGCAACAACACAAACAGCCCCAGACAAAGCAAACAGAAACCATTGCTTATCAAGTCAACCAGGCAGACAGACAGACAGACAAGCAGAAAGACAGACAGACATACAGACAAACATGCACTCAAGCAAACCAAGCGCGCAGGCAATACACAAACAAACAGGCAGACGCAAACAAGCGAACAAACAAACAACCCAAATAGGCAACTTGACTACCAGTTGAGCCGGGCCGAATACTCTTGTGTAAAAAAGGTCCTATGAACTTGCTTTCGCGGATGCTTTCGCGCCCCCATGTTTTGCTTTCGCGGGATTCGTTTTCTTTAGAACTGCTTTCGCGGCGGACTGTCACACATTCTATTGGACACCCCCCTTTACTACTTTGTATTGTCAGGGTGTATGGCGCTGCTCAGTTGAGGCTGGACAAACAGCTGCAAGGCTCGGTGCTGAAAGACCCAAGGCACAATCAAACGCAAGAATTCAGTAGTAGTAGTAGTAGTAGTAGTAGTAGTAGTAGTAGTAGCAGTAGCAGTAGCAGTAGCAGTAGCAGTAGTAGTAGTAGTAGTAGTAGTAGTAGTAGTAGTAGTAGTAGTAGTAGTAGTAGTACAAAAACAAACAAGAGCGCCAACAAACAACGACACACAAGCAAACAAGCAAACAAAACAAAGAAACGCGCCAGACAACCAACCGACCAACCAACAAACAAACAAACGAAGAGGCAAGACACGCGCGCTCGTGCGCGTAAGCGAACAAACTAAAATATGCTCCTTAAAGGGCAAAGCAACAACCACAGCCAAACACACACACACGAAAGAAACCGCACAAACACACAACCACAAAAGAGCGAGGCGAAGAGCAAACGCAACAAACAAAACACTTTTCACAATGAAACAAGCGTGCCAGGAGTGATGTGCTTCGCTCGCTTGTTCCAACCAACGCTTGCAAATACGGCCCACGGCCGAAACGCCGTAATTAAGGAACGCATCGAAGCGTGACTTTCTGCACCTGCGCCACGCACATGGCAATTGCAAATGTCTTGTGGGCCTGGCGCGTTTCCGCGCAAGCCCCGGCCGGGTGCAAGGTTCCAGAGAGAAGGGCACGAGGAGCGCCATCCCCGCAGCGATGGACAAAATGACGCGTGCGGCCAAAAGTGAACCTGACATCTGGAGCCAGTGGCAGTAAGAGGCACATGTTGACTCAAGTGGTTGTCGTTCTCTTCAAAGTTTCACACACCACAGACCCCGCCCAGCCCCTGCCCTGCTCAGCCCCACCCCGAAACAACCAAATAACTTTTTGAAGTCCTTGTTCAGAAGTGCCAGGCCAGCAACTTTCCAACGCGGAGTACAGCAGAGCCCCTGACGCTCGATATTGTTTTGCTTGAGGGTACTAAATTCTTTAAAACAACTTCCCCACAAAAAGTGTAGACGATGCGCCAGTCTGACCCCCAATCTTTTTTAGCGCTTGGCTCAATTCACTGCCCCTAAACTTTTTTTGCGGCGCGGCCTGTGTTGATCAGTGATCCACATTAATTCTCCGCACCTTGGCTCGCTGAAGCGGCCGCATGCATTGAACTGCCGCCTTCCATCACTGCCCCTGAGCTAGCTCCCACAAAGTGACAGAGCCAATGCGCTCCAAGGCAGCCACAATGTTGGGATGGCAAGCTTGAGGTATTTTATGCGTTTTACATGTGGTCCGGGCGTAGTCCCCCGTGGATCAACCAAGGCTCGGAGCCTGGAGGCCTGCTCGAAGCTCTGCTTCCGCTGCAAGGGTCCGCCATGGCGGGGAAGTTTCGCAGCGACGGGCGCGCCGAAGCCTGGGCTACACATCTTTCGCGCATGAACATCTTTGCGCTCGCTCCGCGCAGCTCTGGGCCCTTGGCGGCAGGGCAAGCGCACCTCTCCAAAGAAGCCACCGCCCAATCGCTCTGCCACTTCAAATTGCGGCACCAAGACCCTGTCGTCCACAAACAGAAACTCTGCCGCACAAAATCCAACTGCATCTCCGCCCGCCCATCACGTGTCTCCAGCTGTGCTTGCGTCGCCGTGGTTGTGCGCTGCCGCCTATACCTGCAAACGGGTGTTTCTGCTAAACGGCTATATGCTTTTGATGATTTTGGCATTTGTGACATTTTTGACTCCTTTGACCAACGTTGATTTATTTGATGAATTATGTGTCGTATTCTGGAACAGCAAAAGTCGGACATAATTGTTGGCTACATACCTCATATCAAGGGCCCTTGCTTTAGGAACTGTTTGACGCGCTAAAGTCCTGGCCCCAGACAAAAATAATCATGGAAGTGGACGATTGGAAGACTTACCATTGTAGCAAAAGGGTGCCCCACATGACCTGGTAGCTACAAGTCAACCTTTCTAGATTGAATATGAAGAAGAAGGGCAGCAAATGTTGGGGAAACTGCGCAAGCAAGCAAATGAAGAACCATGCGACGTGGAAACTGAGAACTGGGTACCACTTTGAAAGGACCGCCACGTCCACCAATTAACGTACACGAGGAGCTCGCTGCTTCTTCTCACCTGCCCTCCCCAACCACCCGTGGAAGCCTTCTGGAACCACACCGAAGATCTGAAAGTTTCAGCTGTTCGGGGGTGGGGAACAGGACATTTAGGTGGGCACCTGTTTTTCTGACATTTTTGATTAGCGGGTCCAACTTGGCTTTTTTCCAGGTTCCTAGTTTGACAGAGATCCAATGGGGAGAACATGGGGTTCCAATAGAGGTTCCACAGCTGTTTGGTTTCCAGAATTGCCAAGCAACCTGCGTGAAAATAGCACCCAGTCAAACAGGATATGGAAACAAAATGTGCGGTCTGTGCATGGTTCCCTGTTGATGGCGTGACGGGAAGCCCAAAAAAATAGACATAAAGCTGGCAATGCACAAAGGGGTACTGAGTTGCAGGAGTAATTAGTTGGGACCCTTTTGGGCTGATTGATGCCATGTTTTTCGGGTCCCAAAACCCACCAGGGAAACAGTGTGTCAAGGAACAGCTCAGATTTCAGCTTCATGGGCTTATGTCAAACAGGGATATGGAAGCCACCAAACAGTTGGTATTGCTGGTTTCCGCTCAAACGACCCCGCAGCGCTTGCTTTTTTGTGCAACTGAAGCATGTGCACCATCAACCTTGGAGCCTCCGGGATATCAAGGTTCCCTATATATCCAACCCAAGTTTTTCACACACGTGCTCATGCTACTGACTACCCAGGGTGCTTGCAGCCTGGATCACGAGGCCCAACACAACGATGGTGGTTGATCTCGCGATATTTGTGCACAAATGCGGCACAGTGCTCCTCGGGCAAGAGGGGCAACGAAGAAACCCAAACGATGCCAAACGAAACACCAAGTTTTCAAAGAACAAGGAACAATGCCCAGTTGCCAAGCCGACCATGACAAGCCGTGTTGAAGAGTCTGGGAGAGAATAGTTTCTGGGGCCTGGAGGAAGCTGAAAGAACAACTTACAAAAGCAAACGCGCACACCCGCGCACCCACCAAAAAAAGCAACTCGCAAACAAACCCAGCCAACCAACAAACACACAAATCGATTGGACAACGAGACAGAAAGACAACCACATCACTAACTACCTTCCGCCATACGCTGCTCGCAGCACCTGACTCCACTACGCAAAGCGTCAAAGGTGGATGCGCTGCCCACGTTGCGACCTCGCCAAACCTCTTTTCGGGGCTGTTTAAGTGCGGCTGCTTCTCTAATTTCGGGGCACAACGCCCCCAACCTGTCAGGGTTGGACAAGCCCACGTTTTAAACATGCTTGAACCACCACAGTTTAAGCCGCCTCTGTCGGCCTTTATCGATTTATAAGGATTCTATTTTTAGAAACACCACAGGAAAAACAACCAATAACCTGCGCGGATTGGACTCCTCAGAAAGAGAAATTCTTGGGAACAAGCGAACACGAGAAAGGCGTGCGGCTTCATGTAGATGGTCGAAATCCCACCAGTCTGGACCCAAATTCAATACTGGACAACATAAAAACCAGCAACCCGAATTGCCCCTTGCCCTATTCTGGACTCAAAAAGACACACCGCTTGACGCTGGATCTGCGTTAATGTGTCCCCCCGCTGAAACCAGTCACAGCTGAGCTGGACCCACTTTGGGGTTGTTTTCGCGGTTGTTTTCTCAATTACTGGTGATGAATGCCCATGATCTGGCGGCTGAAAGGCTGTTTTTGAGACTTTGTGAAAAAGAAACCCCAGAAAGCAAGCTCGGCAACAGAAACCAAAAAAGAGGAAACACCAAACAGCACGCCCAAAGAACAAACACAAACAATCACTGACGAGCAAGCCTTCTTTGTCTATTTCGAAAGGCAATCTTTCGCGCTGCCGTGAGTTTAAAATCGTCAGCGACGAACGGTGGACCCACAATAACAGGCTGTACAAGCGGAAAATTCGGATAATGATAGAAACTGCGATGGCCACAAAAAAGGGGCCTGTCTGCTCACACACGTAAGACTGAAGAAGTCGCGCCTGGCGAGCTGCGGCTTCAAAAGCATACGCGCGTGTCAAGCAAAAGCATACACCGGCAGTCAGGCTAAAAAGGACCCCAAAACAGTCACATTAAAGAGGATCAGGGCCACTTGTGGGCAACCCCTTTTGTGACTGTGTGCCCTTATTTTCTTTAGTAAAGACGTTATCTTAAATTTAACGGTTTGGGAATTAGTTAAAAAGTCTCACCAAACACAAGCCAAAGTACGCGAATTGGCGCAGCACCTTTTATCTGGTGCAAGTCTTGAACCACCAAAGTGGCAGTTGTATCATGACATATGCATGGGGGAAAGTGTGTATTTGACAAAACAGACAAACAAACAAACAAACAGACAGACAGACAGACAGACAGACAGACAGACAGACAGACAGACAGACAAACAAACAAACAATCACACAAACACACAAACACACAAACACACAAACAAACAAACAAACAAACAAACAAACAAACAACAAACCAAACAAACAAACAAACGAAAACAAAAACAATCAAGCAAGCAAGCAAGCAAGCAAACAAACAAACACACACACACAAACACAAAAACAAGCCACACAAAACAACCCCACACACACAAACAAATACAACAAACAACACAACACACAAACACACAAACAAAAAGAAACACAAAACAACCCCACACACACACAAACACACACACACAACCACACACACACAAACACACAAACAAAAAGAAACACAAAACAACCCCACACACACAAACACACACACACACAAACACACACACACACAAACACACAAACAAAAAGAAACACAACACAACCCCCCACACACACACACACACAAACAAATACAACAAACAACACAACACACAAACACACAAACAAAAAGAAACACAAAACAACCCCACACACACAAACACACACACAAACACACACACAAACACACAAACAAAAAGAAACACAACACAACCCCACACACACACACAAACAAATACAACAAACAACACAACACACAAACACACAAACAAAAAGAAACACAAACCAACCCCACACACACACAAAGAAATACAACAAAAAACACAACACACACACAGAGACACCAACCAATATAGAGACTGGCACGCCATGGAAGCTTGGGATGTTCCAGGCAACTGTGTTTCAATGGTCTTCTGCTTCCTTCAGCCGAACCTCCCATGGCTGACAGAGATAACTCTAAGATTACCCTGCTCCAGGGCCACCAAGACTGCCTTTATCTGTGTGCGACCCCAAGAATGCATGTTGGACAGTGAGGTTTTGAACATGGGATAACACCATCCTTAGGTAATGCCATACAAATGTTGTCCAAATTCCCGATACAAGCAAAGATTGTTACCAAGAAATCCATTAAAGCCCCAGCAACACCTTCTTACCTGGGTTCACCAGCCCTTTCCTCCCCCCCAAAAAAAAACACGTCCGCAGCCTGGGCGGGGGGACATGGCTCAGCAGTTGGAGTGCCTCACGCCACTGCCCCGCGCGCCCGCACGCGTGGATGGCTGCGCCCAGGCCCTTGGCACCGCACACAGGCAGACCTCTCGCCGGACGGGTGCGGGGGGGGGGGGGGGTGGGATGGTGCTTCCTGGTCTTTGGGTTCTCTACCAGGGTTGGCACGAGTACTAGCTGTCTAGCAGTCTATCAGTCTATCCGTAACAGCAGCAGCAGCAGTAGGAAAAGGAGTAGGAATAGGAGTGGGAGTAGAAGTAGCTATCTCCACTTTACACAACCCAAAAAGGAAACTCAAAATGGAATTGGCAACCGTGAGGCGATGATCAAAAGTCTCGGGTTCTTGGGAACCCGGCACAAGGGGATGGGTGCCTTCTGATTTCTCCACCCGGCTGGTGTGCTGTTCCCTTTCTTTGATGGGCTTTAGCGTCGAGGTTTCAGGGAACGGGATGGGGGGTACTTTGGTCCCCCCAATTCCATGTGTTTTGTCTTCCCCTCAAACGAGAACATGGAAGCATCAATGAATACGTTCAGGGGCTGCCCCCCCCTCCACACTTCATTGTTGCGGGGGTGGAGATCCAAAATAGGAGAATGGTGCCAAAAATACTGACATCTGGCATGGAATCCACAAGAGGGGTGACCAACCATAAGGTGTTACCCAGGGTGTTTGACGAGAAGCTTGTCTCAAGAAGAGGGAACCTCTGAACAGGTGATTTATCAATGCTTCCCCGTTCAGACCCCCCCTCCAACAAGGCATACCCTTGATCAAACAGGGGGATGGTTAATCGTGGGGCCCACTACAAGGAAAAGAAACGGATGGCTTTCCTGTGGCTTCTCCCCTTTACACAAGCCCAAAGAAAGGTTCTCCCCCAAGAAGGACGCACTCTCACTTCCTAAGTGGGTGGGCCCAAACAAGTATGAACTTGTTGTTTTTTTCCGAGTCTGTCGTCATGGTCATGGTTCCCTCAGGAATCCGTAACTATCATCTTCCATCCCCATTAAGGGGTTGACAATCTTTACCAAAAGGGGCCTTTCCTGGGCTGCTCTTCCCGCAAAAATCCGGAACGTCTAAGCTGTTGGTAGGGAAAAACGGCAATCTGCTGCCAACGCCTCGCTTTCGGGGTCACATGAGTCATAATCAAAACCCGGTACAGACATGGTTTACCCAGAACCATGCAAAGAATTTAGAAGGCGGCCACACCTATTTATGCTTGGGATCGTCCCTTACTAACCTTCATCTACCCGGGCTTTGATTGTGACTGACATTAAACTTCCATTTGCTTAAGCGCATATTTCCAGTAGTGATAGATTCCCTCTAAAAACCAACAGGGGAAAACAAAAAACAAACAACAGATGCAAAAGGAGAAAAAAACAGGACATCCCCGCTCGCCTGGAGTCCTTTGGAGGGCCATGGCCAGCGCCAGCTCCCACCTGGCCGCGCGCCCGCAGGCGCTGATCAGCGTGTTGGCCCCGGTGACGTCCAGCTCCAGGCGCCAGATCCTGGTCGGCGCGGGGGAGGGGGGGGGGGTTGGAGGCTATGATCCTTAGGCAAATCGCCAGTTGCGGCTTCACATGGACATCTTGGAAGATCCGGAGCCCTTCCTCGCTCCAACTGGCACTACCCCTCAACATCTGTGGCTTTCCTGGAGGCCCACAAGATACAACTCACATCCGCTCTCCTCGCGCTCTGCAGCACCTCGAGGGCTTGTTGCCACTGCGCGGAGCTTCCGCAGGCCGCCGCCGCAGCATTGAAAAGCACCACGTCGTCTTTGGGCCCTCGTCACATCCCCCCCGCCGAGTCACCGGCCGAGTCCAAGGGAAACGGCGCGTCCAAAGGTGAAACAATTACCACGTCCCCCCCCGAAATGTCACCACGTCCAAGGAAACTCACCGAGTCCAAAGACGATTAAACTGGTGGTGAATCTTCCTTATTGCAAGTCAACCGGGACAATGAGCCACAGACTTAACTTTTCGTTGTTGTCTGTTTGCACACTTTTAGGCAATGACGCGCACCACACCTGGGGACACCTTCTTACTTCCCCAGTGGGGGTCGAAAGGAATGGACAACCGGTGCTGCGCTTGATTTGACACCGACCGAGAAAATAAGAAGGGCAAAAGCGGGATGCAACCCGCGAGACAACTGGGACACTTTGCCTGGCAGGTGATTGGGGATCACTTGGCTCACATTGTAATGTTACAGTAGCCCTGCTGATGTGTTCACCACTGAAAGCCACTCAAATGATTGAAAAAAAAACCTTTTGAGCATTGAACATCATTCAGAAAACCCAGAAACCATCGGACAATCAACAGCCAACTGCAACTCTTGGCCAACACGGATCAAGAAAAGCGCAGCGAATGCAACACATCTTAAAGCTAAGACAACGCTCGTTTGTCTTTCACTCACTTCCCCAAGAAAATTTGCGGCCAAGAAGTCGGACGTTGTCCCGTACCACTTTAAAAGGGCTTCACCCCCCCAAGAAAAGACAAGCAAAAGTCCAGAGCCCCGGAACGCCTGAGGCAAGCTGCAAGGTTCGGAGTAACCCTTCAGGTTGCGCCTGAGCAGAGCAGCGCCAGCGCGGCTTGCCAGCGCCTGCCCTTGCCGCAGGCCGCGATGGATGCGGAGCGCGCGCGACTCGACAGCGGCTCGCGATGGAGCGACAGCACTTGCAAGCCTGCGCTCGGAATGGGTGGGAACTTCCGTCGGAACCGATGGCTCATGTTGTGATGGTCTCCAACCACGACCAAGCCAACATGGGGAAGAACCATGGCCCGTTGTGGCTTCTCTTCAACCGAACTGTGGAAAATAATATCCTTTCTGTGATACCGAAGTGGGACATCCCCTGATAAGACATGCCCTTCGTGTTGCAGAAAGTGGCGCTGGAAGGATTTGCTAGGGACCCCACCAATACTCCTTGGTGGCCTTGTCAGTGGAGAGGGTTGCAGAGGGCCCAAAATTTTGGGTACCGGAACGGTTTTCCATGATTGAACAAAGTCCTGTTCCGGTCTGATCTCTAGTGAACAAATTGGAACAAGGCGTGAATCTTCAAAATATATGTTTGATAAGTGTAGCCAAGGATGCCCAAACAAAAGCAGCTATCATCCAAAACCTGTTCGATCTCAAGAAAACAGTACACCCCAGCAAAGCAACAAAACACTGAGCGATAGATATATATATATATATATGGTACCCCCCCCATGGACCCTGGTTTGGTGCGGTTGACCTGTATTTTCCAGTGTTTTATGCTTCTTTTTGCTTCTTGGATTTGTGTCAAAATTGGGGGGAGGGTCGTACATGTATATGATACGCATGCATGCATACAGATGTGATAAAAGCAATGACATCAGCACCTGCAATCTGAAAGAGATTGAATGCATCCAATAATACAAGAACAACTCAGACATTTTTAAAAATTATTAAAAATTCTGGGATTCAAGATTCAAGAATGTGAGAAAATATTTTCTGGGAATCTTGAATCTTGAATCCCATATTTTTTAAAAATTGTTAAAAAATATGGATTCAAGATTCAAGACTCAAGAATCTGAGAAAATATTTTCTGGGAATCTTGAATCTTGAATCCCATAATTTTTAAAAAGTTTTGGAAATTCCAGGGTTGTCCCAATGCTCTCGGTGTTCAATAAGATTCTCGGACAAGTTTTCCGTGAAATAGTTCAATCCAGTGGTAATGGTGTTCGAGGTGATAGAACAACTTGAACATTTTAGGGGTTGACCAGGATGGATGATTCTCAGGAAAGTGGTGGTTTGTGGGCTCCTCAATATTGAATCCCCAATCCAGTGGTAAAGCACTTTCAAGTGTTAGAAGAACTTGAATGCTATTTGGGTTTGGCCAGGATTGACAATTCTCAGGAAAGTGTTCTGTGTAATCTTCAATATTGAATCGTCCATCCGATAGTAGCAAATTTTCAAGTGCTTAGCGATCCAGTGGACACACTTTCAAGTTATTGGTTAGACAAACTTTCAAGTGCTTTTGGCGAGCTTCATGTCAGCTATGCTCATGTTGACCCCTTTCCAGGAGGTAAACAAAGGCAGGTGCAACGCTCAAAAAGACTGCATTTTCCAGTATTTTATGAGGAGGCGCAGGATCATTGGGGGTACTATATATGTGTGTATGTATGTGTATATATAGATATACATATGTATGTACGTTCACACACTGTCCCCCACCCTCTTCAACTACCTGTCCACATTTGCTCATCTACTACCTCCACCTTTTGACATAGAATTAACTTTCCTGCGCAAATAGAACTTTAAATACAACGGTTTAGCTAGAATCCCTGTTTCGAGATAGTTTTAGATTTTGAACCTCTCTTCCCTTGAAATTTCCCTTTGGAACACCGTCTAACAAGTTCAATGTCGGACCTTTCTTATGCTACAAAAGGGCCAGAATGTAAACAACACAAATCCTATTTTTAATTTCCAAATGTTTAGCCATATTCAATATGAATTATATTGAGATGTAGTCTCTATTCACTTGATATTATCAAAAGCAAATTGAGTTGTGTTCGTCTTAGATTATACTTACCACTTGGATTATATTTGGGAAAAAACTTCCATCTAACTTCTTGTGTTATAGATTAGTTGGAGTTTAGCCGAAAATATATATTTACATTTTCATGTAGCTGCTATTTGGAAAGGATTTGCTTGTTTAAGCTGTAATTGAACATAAACACATTTTTGAAAGCTATATCCATACTAAACTATATTCAAAATTCCAATTCTAGTTGAAGTAACATCTTATGTGCAAAGGGTATCATACTGGGACATTGTGGAGGACTCCGGGCTCCAAATTATCACGCTTTGGGGACCCACAATTGGAAATTTCGAGAATATAAATTTGGAAATTCTAGATTTGCCATCCCCAAAAGGCAGTAAAACCAGGGTCCATGAAAAGGGGTTGCATATATATATATATATATATGTATAGACAAATCAACTACACACACACACGAACAAACGACAAAGCAAAGCGGCAATCAATGGCGAAAACGCACCCACACCCACACAAATAAATAAGCACAACAAAACATACAAACAAGCAAGACCAGCAAAACCAGCTCCGTAACACTGGCCTTCGGACCATCTGCTTTGCCGGACACAGCGTGCAATGGCCTCGTGCTGTGCTGCTCGGCCCGCAACTCGCGACGCCGGCCGAACTTGAGAAATGGTTCCATTGGAAGCTCCCAATGAAACCAACCCAAACAGGGCAATAGCCCTCAGAACCTCAAAGCTTCCAGAGTTGTATCCTTACGTTCGCATCCCGACATTGGGGGATGTTGGGAGGAGTTGGTCTTGCAGAAGGGCTAAATGGGGGTTATATTGACGCACATGGGGTATAATGACACCTTAAACGTGCGCCTCTGGAGCCCATTACGCCAAAGGCAGGGGGAACCCATTTGATTGGAGCACTATGCTTCCTGAGGTTGCACCGCTGCGAGATCGCACTGACTTGCCCGGCTACATCATGGATCCATGGGAGACATTGTTGTATGGTGAGGCACGCAAAAAGGGAACCAAAGAGGCTGTTTTAGGGAACAACAACAAGTTGTACCTAGGGATTCTTTTCCGGCGTTTGAGACTTACAAAAAGAGTTACAACAAAGAAAACCCACAGATCGCAAAACGGTTGTTGAAATTCTGGAAGATTTATGAGGATCCCTGCTGACCCGAAGTAAAAAGATCTTTTGACTATGGCACAAATGAAAAAGGCTTCTGCACAAAAAAACTGAGTCCAAGCAGCAAACAAAACAAGTGACGGGCTCGAGGTGCGAAGAGAGGAGAACCACTGATTTGCCCCCCCAGTTTCGGGAATCTAGGGTTACCTCAAGTTCCAACTTCCTTGTACAATCAAACGTGACGCCCTGCTTCATGTTTCATGAGAAGCCAGCGGTAAATTAGTGAACTTCTGATGTGAAGAAATCCAGTGCCCGCCGGCACCTTCCGAGGTTGGTTTGAAAGACTGAGGTGGCGAAAAGGTGGGAGCTCTTGAAGCAAAACCGCCACATCTCCAAAACCCAAACACCAAATTTAGTGTCTCTCGCTCGGAATCCCGAAATCAAGGTGAACATGTTGGGCCCCTTGAAGGGGTCCCACGTACATCGGACCCTCTGAGTCGAGTTGCGAGCAGTGAACAACTTGTTGGCCCCCGGCAACAAACAGCAAAAATAAGGTCTATACTAAAAGTTCAAGGTTGCAAGCTAAACCGGAAAAGCATGGGCTCGCTGGTTCCTCAGATCAACTGCTGCCGGGCAGCAGCTGCCACTGCGGAGCCATGCATCTGACATCTGACTCACCGCATTGCATCCACATAGTGCCTGAAGGGGCACCCTTACTGGTACCAAACCCCAGTGGATTGGCAACCAAACAAACAACAACCAATTTTTAAGGAAACGCCCACTGGCCCAATTGTGGGAAATTTGTGCGGAACATCAACATCAGCTGACACTTTTTGTCACGTGCATGTGTTTTGCCTTGTTCCTCTTCCCTATGATTCCTGTTTCTCTTGGTTGGCTGAACGTAAGTCGACTCATACTGTTGCTTCTTGCTGCGGAAGCCTGGGTGAACCCTGAAAGAAGAGACCCCCATACACAGAATCCACCTTTCTAAAGTCGCTGCGTTTTTTTGTCTTCTTCGCTCCGATGGAAGAGCTAGGAGCTGCGGGTGTCATGCATGGCTTGGGCCCATGCCTTAAACGAGGGCTGGAATTGTGTCGAGGCCCTGGTTTGTTGACCCCAGAAAAAGAAAGAGTAAGCCACAAATTGTCCCCAGGTGAAATACCCGGTAACTAAACCTGGCAAACAAGGCCTGGAGAGCACTTTCTGCGCTCGGGTCTGTCTGACTTTCGGAATATCTAAGCGCGCAATCCACACGTCTGCGCGCACAAATCCCCAAGTCCTTTGGGTGGGAATGAAACACACCCCCTCCCTCTCTCTGACTGAAAAGGAACGTTCTCATGACATGCAACACATATGCAACGCGCACACACACACACACACACACACACACACACACACACACACACACACACACACACACACACACACACACACACACACACACACACACACACAAACACAAACACAAACACAAACACAAACACAAACACAAACACAAACACGGAACAATCAACAAACATCGCGATTTCGGAGAGTCTGACACTTGAACAAAATCAGAAATTCAGTAACTTTTGACACACGCGGGCGTTCTCATTGGAAATTGCAAGGAGTCGCGTCGTGTTGCGTGTGTGTTCAATATGTGTCGCATGTCATGAGGACGTTCCTTTGCAGTCAGAGGGAGGGAGGGGGGTTGTTTCATTCCCACCCAAGGGACTTGGGGAGTTTTGCGCGCAGAGCTTCGGCAGCGTCGGTTCAAACGCTGTTGCCAAATATCGCTGCCAACCGAGTCAGACGTGAAGCACGGAGCCACGAAAGCACGCCATATGCGCTTGGGAGTCCGGGTTCCGCGGGATACATATATGTATATGATATATATATATATATAATATATACATATATATATATAATATACAAATATATATATATATATATATGCAAACACATCACGCCCATCTTCCCAACCCACTTTCACAACCAAGCGCTAGCTCCGTTGCCCCTCAATTGCACGCAACACCCCCTTGTTAAGGAAGCCTGCAAACAAAAACACCCATGTGGCTTCAGATGTCACAGCGCTGCTTGACAACAATGAAGTTGCGGGGCTAGGTGCGTGCATGGGAAGATACATAAGCGAGAGCATTCAAACGGGAGTTCTTTTCGCAGAACCCTTTATCTGTGCCCTCACCTCTTTTATCAACCAGGGTTCCGTTAATAGGGGGACAGGTTCTTTTTTCGGGCCGGCTGGCTACCAGCGGGAAAGGGTCCGAAAACGCCGGGAACATGGCTGAGATACAGCGGCGCAGCTCCTTTTGTCCCTGAACTGCAAAAGGCGCAATCTCTATATGTCAAACTTGGCTTGAAATTGAGCTTAGGCAACAGGCTGGCTGAATCTGACACCAAAGTATTCAATAATTTTCCGTCTGTGCTCTCTCTCCCGTTTTGCAAGCGCTTTGGTGTCAGATCCATATGGTGCCTTTCCAGAAACAAGCGCTTGCCATTGACTCCCATTCAATTGGGCTGTCTTGCAATTGACGGGCGGCTGTCCGGTAGGCCATACGCGCCTTTCAATTCTCTCGGCTGAATTTGTTTGAACCCCTCCTGACATGAAATCTTTGATTGGTGGATTTACACGCTCTGTTGGCCAGGCTACAGTTTGGGTCGACACGCATTGAATGTCACTTCGGAATTTAGCGAGGGCAATGCTAACCCTCCAGAATCCGAAATGGACCTCAACTTAAGGCAAAGAGGGCGGTTTGGATAAGTCGTTCGGAGATTCAGGGTGGTTTCCTACGTACCCTCTACGCAATCACCCGAAATGTGTTGCCTTGCAAGTTCCACTGATTGAGCAACTGCCCAACTGCCACCAAACAGCCACGAATCAAATGCGACCTTGCCGGCCAAACTGGGCAAACGTCACCCGTAGGTCCGGTGCCCTTTGACGCTTGTCCGTTCCAAGCTATCAAGTCTGCGAGAAAAAAAAGGAGCAGCCCGACTCTGGCATTGCAAGAATCACACGCCACATGTAAACAACCTATTTGCATGAATCACTCTCGGGCACTTTGTGTTGCCACCAGCTTAAAATGGGCAAGACGTGCTGACGCAGGGCCAGCTTCTTTTGAGAGCCAGAAGACAATCCATTAGAATCAAAGCGGCCACACTAGGAATAGTCAATGTCTGCACTTGGTGTCTCACAGCTCTTTTGAGGGCGCGTTATAGGGCGCCCCATTGGACACAAAAGCTCCGAAATAGATATGGAAAGGCTGAGAAATCCTATCCCGCGGAAAGCAAAGCTTCAAATTATCTTTCTGCATTGTGACACTTCAGCGTGGCCACAAGATGGGGCCTGTGCCAGTCATGGACCAGAAAACTTTCCCTTTGCACCACCTCGAGTTTTCTGGTTGCCATGTCTGCCAAGTGCTTGATATGGACATTTGCAGCCATCACCAGTCAGAGGTTTGCGGAACCAGTCACTCCTCGAGCATGCCGGTGCCAGACCAACATGAACGACAAGAACCAAAGCACCTGCTTGCACAAAGTCCAGGAGTTTAACCACGTGCAAGGGGGCGGACAAAATCTCGCGGGTTCCCTGTTTTGTTTGCTCCCTCAGAAGTCACTCCCAATTTGAGCTTGCCTCAAATGAGGTGTTTTTGCTTGGTAATGCCCTTTGTAGAATAGACAGAAACATACAACAGGTGGTCTCAAAAATAACACACTCATTTTGAACCGGAGCCCCATGAACAAATGGCCTGGAGAATGCAAAGTTGCAGCCAACCTCAAGCCGCGCGACCGCAAGTTGCTGTCTGGCTTTTCTGGGCAACTTATGAGGGATTCGACGCATTGGATAGGATAGAGCCAGGATCACATGCCCAGGCAGAAACCCACATGCGCTTGTGTCAAGGGTTCGGTGGATGCCTGGATGCATCTGTGGTTGACCGCACGTTGCCAGGTTTATGTTTTGGCGAATGAATGTATGGGTTTTGAGGAACCCTTGCTTGCAGCCAGTGATTAGGAGAACAGTGAGGTACGGTGCTCGAACCAAACAAACGTGTCATGATCATATTATGGCCATGGGTCAAAACCCAAATCGTACCCCCAGTGAACATCCCAATCCAACCACTAAAATAGGTTCTAAACTGGGTGGTGAATTCACCTATCCCCAAATGGGATCCCATAGTGGTTTTGAGCCATGGCCACATGGGAAGAATGCGTGCTATATGCGTCCTCTTCTGCGCCTTCTGGCTTCTTCTCTTCTTTATTCTTGTCCTGCGAGCGAAAAAGACGCAGTCTTGGGACACCACAAAGACTCAGCTTACCCTCAAGTCATGACTTACTTCAGCACGTCGACGTTGTTTTGGGGCTCCTCCAGGGCATCTAAGAAAGTGGCAACCTGAAGCTGATAATTTTCGACTCCTCCCAAAAGGTCATGGTATCCTTGGCCTGGCCGTGTGTTGTGGCCAAGTTGGGTACATTTAAACAAAACCTTTCAAGCTGTTATTGGAAGTGTCTATGTGGGAAGCACCCAAAAGTGCTTGCCTTCACTACCAGTCCTTGTCCTTGCCTTTGCCCTTGCCCTTCTTTCCTTCTGTCTTCCCTTTGCCTTCCTTGCCCTTTCCTTCGCTCTTTCCTTTGCCTTCCTTGCCCTTCCCATCTCCCTTGCCTCTTTCCTTTCCCTTGTCCTGGCTGGAAGGAGGTTCCCACTCGCTAACTGAGCGCACCTGCAAGATGGCCCAAGGGACATGCAGGAAACTGCGAGGCATTTTAAGCGACGAGCTTCTGCTGTTGATGCGCCTGGCTGCTGTTGTTGCAGCGGCTGCTGCACCTTTTTTTGTCGCGTCTAATGGTACAGCTCTTATGAATGTTGCCGTGGTTGCTGTTTCTGCTTCCGCTGCCACTGCTACTGCTGCTGCCGCCGTGGTTGCTGTTGCTGTGGCCGACACCGGCGATGATGATGATGATGATGATGATGATGATGATGATGATGATGACGATGACGATGATGATGATGACGAGGCTGAAGACGACAATCTGATGATGACGATGATGATACAGTCGTCGCACGGAAACGCAAACAAGACGTCACCAACGAGCCGGGGGCCTGGCAACTTCAAGCCACCTGGTTCCAAATCAAACTGCTCTTGCTGGCACCTTGTAGCTTCAAGAACCCCACAAACAGCACGGGCTCGAAGCAAAAGCGCGGGTTCCACGGGTTCCACACGAAAAAGGCACAGACGGTGCACTGAGTGGTCCTTGCCCTTGCCTTTGCCCTTGGCTTGCGGACCACCTGGCACTCGAAGTGGGTCAGTGAAGCACAGACTCGGTTCCCAACATGGAACTTGATTGGGGGTCCTGGAAGACAATCTCCTTCTAGAAGGGACCCTCTGGTAAAAATTCGCCAACCCAAGATATGACGGAAGAGAACTTTCATCATGGGTGAGGTCGCAAACCACAGCCTTTGTGAGGTTGCCATAATTTGTCCAGACCTGTTAGTTGCATGTTAACGGGACTGCACATGACTACTTCAAATATATATATATATATGTATATATACATATATGTACGCATGCCGTTTTGGTGCCTGTTGGGACAGAGCCAAATTATTGGTGATTGGTTTCTTTGCAGCCTAGGACCTAGGCTGACTCCTGAAGATGTAGAGTCAGCATAATGTCAAGCGGCTCGCACTGAAGATGGGCTCGCGTCTCGTGCTATGGTCGTCGGAGTGTTTTGTGA